AGAGAGAGAGAGAGAGAGAGATGGGACCAATGTTTTCCGTTGAACGGCGGTTAATTGCGGCTGGCAAAAGAAATGGTGAAATGGAAGGAATTCCTTATTCACTGTCTACCGCAGTGTCCATCAAGTTTTTCCTCAGTCTACATACAACCTCGAGATAAAAGGTGTGTTTCCCGGAAAATAAAACACCAACGGTAGTAGTATCGTCGTGGGCTTACATACGCACATACATACAGCCTCAGCCAATATCAGCCTATGACGTCCACGCGAGAAGGGATCTCGAGTTCAAGGGAGAATTGTGTCTTGCCCGCATATGCGAGGCTGAAAGATGAAACAAGACCCGCATGTTGATGGGTGCAACGTGCTCTACATCCTACATTTCCTTTTTCAAACAGTTGTGGCATTTTAAAGTGGACTTTTTTGTTTTGTTTTGGGTGTTCACTCATTGTGTGGTTTTGACATCCTGCATCACATCACTTCCATCTATAATCACAGATTGGAGGCTCTAGGTGGAGTTCATAATTTTGCGCCAAAAAACAAATGGATCGGTCGGGTAAGGGGAAACGCAACACCTACACCTACACTACAAGGTAGGCGGCTCGGGAAGACTTTGCTTCATCAAGCGGTGAGAATAGGTAGTGTACAATGAGCCAAGTATGAACCGGTATTCTAGGCTTCGAGGCTATGAAGCAGAGATGTTGGGATGATGGGTTCACTTGCTGAAAACTTTGTAGACTTCTCGCACAGTGGAACGCGGTGACTACAAAACCTGGCGGCGAAGCGAAGCTATTTTCTGATCCATTACTATTTTCCACCTCTTGCCGAGGAGGGTGTGGCGCATGACATGTCTAACAACCGCCATTCTTGCTTGGTCTTTGGCGAGAAGTGAGGGGAAGTTCCTTCTGGCCACATGAGCATGTTTCGCTTGTCTCACCATCTCTCTGCAGACCAAAACACATACATATTGTATTGTCCGTGAAGCTGCAATGGGACGCTCTTTGGTTCTAGTTCCCCCCTCCCGAAGTCTGGAGAAAAAGTATACTAGTGAATGTAGGGTTTTTTTGGTTTCCGGAAGGGGGCGTGCCAGGAAATGATGTGCGTTGAAGCCTTCCGGAAACCTACCACGCGACTGTATACTACGGGGAAAGTGTGTTCTGGACTTTCAACACCGGCTGCGGTCCCAAGCTGGGCGATCAGAGACGATCGCGGCTTCAGAAAGCTTTCCCGGGTCAAGTTATGGACAGATGGGGGTGTTGTATTGTGTGCATCTCTGGGCACCATTGTGGACCCTTTCTGACCAGTCAGGTGAGCAGCCACCAACGAAGAGCGTTGGGCATCTTTCCTTTCTTGGATGGAGGCAAAAGTGACGACGACGCAAAAGCTTGTTTCGTCTTTGCTGCTTTACTATTCGTGTCCTTTTGGAGAGCTTCGTTGGGTGTTCGTTGTGGTGTCGCGTAATGACCAGAGTTGACCTTTCTATGTAATGTACCGTAGTTGTTGGAGATGGAGTTCGGTGTGAGAGCAAGGGATCTAATTGCCTGGGGGGGGGGGGGGGGGGGAAGCGTCGTACCTAAGTACACTGTGTGCTATATTTGGAAATGGATTGGCATAGCGAAATCCAGTTGGGATTTTTCCAGCACCTGACGGTTCAAAGTGGATTTTTCAGGGCATTGTGGTGGCTGGGCTGCTGTTGAATAGAGAGGTTGGAAAGCAAAAAGTGAAGCCAACATCCATGGTCTTGAAAAAGTATTCCCTCCACACCGGCTGAGTTGTAAAGGAAATATTTCGAACCCAAAACGTTGTCCAGTACAACGGAAAGAACGATATCTGTACGCCGGTCACACCTGCTGCGTGCTGCGCACTGCACCGAGTCACCGTTTATTGCCCGCCGCTGCAGGAGAAAATAAACACTGGACTTGGTACCTTCACGCTGAGCTACGTCATTTTCCTCTTGTCAAACACAGTCCCAATTGTGCACCAAACTTTTCACACAATGTCCAATTCTTACAGGTGAAGACTGCCACAGAGACATACATATTGTAATTAAGTGAAAGTCTTGTAACTTTGTCTAGTGGAACTCTGGATAAAGTCAAAAACGGCTATGGTGGATCTGAAAATGGGTTAAAAGGGTGGATGTACCCGGACTTGGGAGGGAAACACCAGCCATCTTTTTGTAAATGCCGATGGCTAACAAAGATTAAGCAGTCAAACATCCAAGACAATGGTCCCAGTTCTCTGCGGTCATGCCGGTACTGAAGAGCCGCGGGCCGAATGCCGAGAAGGTTGGAGATGTTTATGACTTCCAATCATGGCAGCATCTGAATCTAGACCTCTACCCTAGTTGTCAATAGACTACCTTACAGTACCTATCCCTAAGCAGCATATGTAGAACCCTAAACCGGTGGTTGAGAAAGTATGAAACCATCTTGAGGGGTCCCTTGGGATATCAGAGGTCAAGACAACATGCTGCCAGGAGACAGCTGCTTCTACAGCAAAAGACGTTGAAGCCTCCGACAGATTGCAAGACTGGCTATCCTGGATAATTTCAGCCTCAGGTGTCGGTGTGAAACCCTCAACGGTAACAGATAGATATCAAGAGACTTGAACGTTTTTCTGTTTCTTGTTCTGCCTCAATGTCAATATTGAACTTTAAGACAGAGGTAACTGTATTATGATATTCAAGGGCAATTGGAGGGAGGTAGATGCTGCAGGAAAAGGGACCGGCCTCTGTGGAAGGTAAGTAAGTATGGTGCATTGCGGCACTGCCATACAGTGTGCCTGAAAAAGTATCCACACAGTCTGCAAAGTCCCCGGAGAAGCCATTGATCCCCTGTTGCTCTTTCCCAAAATCGCTTTCTCAGTTTTGAGGAAAGTGGAAGCAACAGCCACAGCTTCTGTCAAGGACCCGGCCATCTTTTAATTTTTACTCCTTTCGTTGTTCAGTTTTTGAACGCGATGCATTGAAACGACATACAACGTCGTCGAGTTACCCCCGCTACTCTCCCTGCCGCCAAACAGATCGGCCACCCACCTCCGCCAGCAGTGTTACAAGCACTATTCCGTCACTATACAGGGAGAAGGGTACCCTAAACAGGACGAAAACAGACTCAGACGAGACGAAAGCAAAGACTCCTCCCCGGTCGCCCCGGCAATGAGCTAGATCCCCCGCGAGATCCCCTCCCCCCTTTCTCCCGGCGCCCTATACGGTAGCTTCGGTCATTTCTTGAGCAAGAGCCTCAGAGCAAACAGCTTTGCGACCAGGTTGAAGGCCCTTCGACAACCGGGTTTCCCTTCTCCTTTTTCAGCCATTGCGACGATCCGCGCCCTACTAAAAAGGCCTTCAGCTCGCTAGCCCCCTGGCTTCCAGTGCCCAGGTCCTCCACTTCAGAGCAGCCTGGCCAAGGAAGTGGGCGAGCAGGAACAGGAACAGGAACAGGAACAGGAACCGACAGGAACAGGATAGGATAGCACCCAGAACCAAGACTGGTCTGGTCAAGAGACAAGGGACAAGACCAGCCAGACAGGCAGGACAGCCGACAGGACCAGACAGGGTCCCATTGCCGCCAGCCGCCCCCGTCTACCCGTGCGGTGCATTTCAACCTAGTTGCATGGGTCCAATATCCACTGCCACCACTATCCGGCCCGTCGTCAGCGTCCACTACAGCACTCCAAGCTGCCATCGCGTCGCAGCCAGACAACCTCCCGTCCTTCTTACAACATTGACCTCGACCTTGACATACAGGACAGCAAGGTACCACATTCCTCTGCTGCTGCTACATAGCACCGTCTGCAACCGCTTGCCAGACGCTGTTTGTGCTGCTGTTACTGCTGCACAGACTTTTTAGCTTGACAGTTCCATTCGACAAGCCTGCATCCTCCCATCTTGTGCTCGCCTCGGCTGCCCCACGCGCATCCCCCCGGTTGCTCAACATCCTCCCCCCAAGCCGTCATCGTCTCCCAGTCCTGCGAGTTCGAGTCCACAACGTTCGTCCGGTTTTGTCATCTTTTTCTGCCACGCGCGGGTGACTGTCGACCGCCTCCTCAGCGTTTGCCTCTCCGGCACCCGACTGATTCGGCACCGTCCCGTCCCGTCGCCACGCCCGCCATCCCTCCTCCTCCTCCTCCGTCATACGGTCACCGTCATTACCGTCGCCCGCCATGACGTCCGCCGCTACCGCCGCCGCGCCCGTCGCGCCCGCCCACGTCCCTCCACCACCGCCTCCAACATCCTCCCAGTTGCAGTCGCATACTCAGACGCAGGCGCAGACGCAGGCACAAGCGCAGGTCCAGGCCCATAATCAAGTGGCCCAGGCTCAGGCCCAGGCCCAAGCCCAGGCGTATTCGCATTCGCATACCCAGTCGCTGTCGCAGCCGCATCATCGAGCATACAATCCCTACAACGCCTTTGCGCACCACCCGCAACCTCCACCCCCCTCAAAGCGAGACCTCAAGTCGTGGTGGAAGGGCTTCAAGCTACCCTCGAAGCATCAGGAAGCACACGGTATAGCCACCCCGTTCACTAGATCTAAACCCTACCGATCAACATCGTTATTTGCGGAGGACATGGAAGGCTGCCTCAGCGACCTTCCGGAAGCTGTGGCCCTCTTGCAGGAGATAGTTGCGCAGGAGGTCCTCATCGCAGCCCGAGCGGATGCCCGATCTCAGCCAACAAGTGTGAGCTTGAATCGGATGTCCACTGGCGCTCTCTTTTATGAGAAGCCCCTTCAACTAGAGACTCTTGCCCGCTTCCTCAATTGGCGTCTTAGTAGAAGATGTACTGGCGAAGATGGATCGTGGCCAGTACAAGACCCCGCTAAAACCAAATCAGTAGTACCAGAACCGCCCAAAGGTATCTTTGGCGTCCCCCTTCGCGATAGCATCAAGTACGCCAATGTTGCCATATCCCTTGTCGACGAAAACGGGAAGAGCTACATCTACGGTTACGTCCCCATTGTAGTTGCCAAATGCGGTGTCTTCTTGAAGGAAAAGGGTTCGTATAAAATCATCCCCTTCCTCCCCCCTTCCATCTCGTGGCATACTTTTGGAGAGTCCTAACTTTTCATCCAAGCAACCGATGTGGAGGGCATCTTTCGTCTCAGTGGGTCAGAGAAAAGGATAAAGGAACTCAAAACGATTTTCGACTCGCCAGACCGCTATGGCAAGGGGTTGGTGTGGGATGGATACACAGTCCACGATGCCGCCAACGTCCTCCGTCGCTACCTCAACGACCTCCCGGAACCGGTGGTCCCCCTGGAATTGTATGAAGAATTTCGAAAACCGTTGAAAGGGGCCACCAGGCAGGCCGCCGGCGACACTGATGGCCCCCAATTCGTCGAGAATTTCGATATGGACGCCGCCATCATCAGATATCAGCAGCTGATTACCGAGCTGCCGCCACTCAATCGTCAGCTGATGCTTTATATCCTCGATTTGCTTGCCGTCTTTGCCGCCAAGTCCGACATCAACCGCATGAATTCGCAGAACTTGGCTGCTATTTTCCAGCCAGGCATGCTGTCGCATCCGGCCCACGCTATGGCACCCGAGGAATATCGTCTCAACCAATGTGTCATTATCTTTCTCATCGAAAACCAAGATCATTTCCTCATCGGCATGCAGGGTACAGCGGCCGACGAGAGGACGGTTCAGGAAGTCCAGAAGGGGACGCCAACCGTCAACGCGCCAGGGACACCTAAAAACTACCAGTCTGGAGTGAACCGTACAGCATCGAATGCCAGCGCCGGAGCCGAGAGTGTTTCCAAAGAAGGCATGATTAGGAGGAACAAGTCGACATCTTCAAGGCGTTCTCTTGCTTCGAATGGTGCGCCCAGCCCGGGAAGCCCTGCGTTAACTTCAACGCCCACGGGAGGCTTAGGCCGGAGTAACACCCTGCCATCGAAACGATCACCTCGCGTGCCTCCCGGAAGGTTTGCGCATCGGCATGATGTGTCGAATTCTCCAGTCGGTCCCTTGACACCGGTTCATCCGCCGTCAGTTCCCGAGGTTACGCCTCCTACACCGACAGTACTGCCACCAGCGCCAGCGGTTGTTTACGAGGTCGTTACACCCCCCGAAGAATCTTCGGTACCCTCGATAACCACGTCCACGGCTCCTTCGAGTTTGCTACCCAGTCAATCTGTCCAAGCTGCTAGGAGTCAAGAAAAGTTGCTGGACCCCAGTGCTGAGGCCGCAGCCCCCTCCAAGGAACGTCGCATGCCGAACATACCAAGTATCTTCCAGAGAGCGCCCACTGGGGAAAATGAACTTCGACAGCCTAACAAGCTGAGGAAAAAGATGCCCGGCGCCGGTGGTCATTATAGTGCTCATAGCTCGACGATATCGCTCCCTCGTTCAGCAGCAGCTTCGCCGGCCGTTGAAGCTACCAACCCCATGGAAATGGTCCCACCCTTGCCCGGAAACCTTGATGCGGTAGTGTCTAGCGGACAAACTGCGCCTTCCCCTTCGGACTCTACGCCGAGGGCGTCCCAAGCACCTTCGGCGCCCTCCACCATGTTGAATCCCAACAACGCCCCTGAAACACAACTGAAGCTACGAGAGTCTCCGCCCACTTCGGTCACATCTTATAACGACATGTCTGATCCCGACCAAGTCGAGACGCAAACGACGGCTAGTTTTGCTAGCCCAGAGGTGGCATCCCCGGATAGGGATAAGAGAAGGCGGTGGCGCCTCTCGCGGAAGAAGGAGGACAGCATATCCTTGCATTCTCCTCCAAACTTCAGCCAGCCTCCCATCTCCCCACGCATGCTGGGTTCGAACTCGCAGGCTGAGGGGAGCAACAGTTCTGTAGGCAGCTCTGGCTATTTCCATAATCAAAGACCCCGGGCGAGCATGAGTGGGGATGTTTCTGACGCGGGCATGATGAGTAGCCTCGATGACCGTTCGATGATGAGCGACGGAACCAGAGAAGGCAGAGACCGCGACCGAGATAGGGACTGGGACAAAAGTAGTGAATATCGCAAGTCAAACATTGCCGACTGGTTGAAAAACAAGTACCGCGAACATAGGGAGACTGCGGAACAGAGAAGGAACAAGTCGCCACCGGCACATGATGGTAGATCGGCATCCATTGGGGAGCGAATTCGCAAGAGCATCGACACGAAGCGGGAGATGAACAACGGGAGCGAGAGGGGGTATAGCGATGAGCATATCCCGATGCCACCGCTGCCCCCGCGGGAACCAGGACCGGGAAATTCACAGAGCTCTATCCAGTCTTCTCCCCAAAGCTTCCAGCAAACTCAACCCCAGCCGGCGCAGGCTCAGCAACCACCAGCACTTTACCAGACCGAGCAGTCGGTAGAGGTGCAACTCGTCGCGCAGACACTTCCAGCACAGCCCAGTGTCCAGCCGGAGCAGCCTCAGTTGCAACATTTTCAACCCCAACAGGTTTCGGTACATCAGTCACAGCCCCAATTGTCGCCAGAGCCCCTTCCGCAAATCCCGGAACAGCCGACTGAAGCACCCGTGCCCGCTCAAGCGCCGATTCCCACTCAAGCACCCATCCCCACTCCTTCAAGGCACATGGACCTAGATGAGTAACACAACCGATGCGAGCCCAATGAACAGGGCACAATATCCTACCACTGTTCAAGCCAACCATAACCGTCTTGTGGCCGACCACACACCCTACCACCACGTTTTAATGTCTAAGTTAGTTTGTCTCGGATTTCCTGTTTTCTGCTGCTTTTCCAGCACAAGAAGAGCGGCCCCGTCGAGGACTTGTTGCGCGGATGCCCTCCATCCAGAGATACCCAAATAAGACTGTGTTTGTCCCTACTACACCTCGTGACGAGCGAGATCAACTGAAGAGAAGAGAGTTCAAGCGTCTGTTTACCTGTTTGAAGCGTTGTTTCTAGACTCGGGGATATCGTTCTGCTTGTTACATGTTGGAAAGCATATAACAACACACAAAGGGAAATCTGTATTAGAACTCTTGGTCTGTCTCTTGGGGCGGCCTGAATTAGTCAAGCATCATCAGCGACAAACTCAACAACCACCTACTACAACCAACCATTTATGGTAGCGCTCACACCCCGTCCGTATTCTCCTCGCCTTGGAATCCCACAACAACAAATCATACATACACGGCCATCAGCTTTGGGCTTATTTGTCCTCCCATGTTTTTCGTCTGCATAGTGGGAAGAGTTGGCAGTCACAGAAACACACAACATATAACAAACATGTTCGATCGGTCATTGGGACGGGACTGTGGGGGAGGGAAACCAAGATGATACACAAAATTAACGAATTCACGAAATTGGATGACGATTTCCTTTCTTGTTCTTTACACGTTTGTCTACCAAAAAGATTAGGCCTTAAGTGTAGGGGATGGATCACTTCTTATACTACTTCTTCTTCTTCTTCGACGGTCGCCTTCACTAGCCCCTTTTTTTTCCATCCATGTAGGATTGAACATATACTGGTAAAGTGTAAAAAATTGATTGCAAAAATGTACCTACCTCTGCTTAGTACCTGTCTACCCATGTGCCTGTATCAAGGGCCTATTCCCAAGTGCCAAACGCGTGTCACTAAGCACGTGCGGGAAAGATCTTCATTGTTTCATGGCTATACAACCAGATATGTGTGTACCTAATGGCACCGACGCAACGCGAGTGATGTAGTGTAAGGAGTTCCCGTACAGCTGGGACCAGATCAGATCAAAGTTCATTGATGATCTGCAAAGACGAGCTTTGTAGTTGTACATAGCTCGAGCATAGCTACTTCTTCCTCTCTACACGCATACACTATCCAGTACACTAGTTCTACACATCCATCTCCACAAACACTTTACCTTCCACACACCACACTTATATATACTTATATACACTACATTAGTAGAACCCGATTCAACCTGGTTTGTAATATTAAAGTGCTGACGATTATTGTCACGGCGCTGGCGGACCACTACATCACTAGGCTATGTTCCAAAAGGATACAAGTAACCGAAGCTGGCAATTCGGTCGCTCAAGTGGTCTTATATAGTTGTGATGGCAGTCGAGAGGCACAACTGCAAGGCTGCCATCACAATTATTATAAAGAAAACCGCGTGAGTCTGGCCAAGTTCTAGTTCTAGACTCCACTCTAACGAGCGTACAGTAGTTAGTGTGCATAATAAGCTTCTTTTTTTTTTTTTTTTTTTTTTTGAAGTACGTACCGAATGGATAGAATTTGCGGGGCCCCGGAAACTTTCTAGTTTTGGTTTTAGTGTACATAGTAGGTCCGTCGATCAGCTTGTGAAAGGTTATTCTAGACTTTATAGTTAGTTAGCTAATTAGTTAGTACCGAGTCCCGAGTGCGTGTCCGAGTGGGAGTTCGAGGGGACTGGTACGGTAGGTAGGCAGGTAGGTAGGTAAGTAAACCGTTTCGTACGTGTACTTGGTCTGGGGACTTGGAACTAAGGTAGGTATGGATGTTGAAAAGTTGAAAAAAGGAGAGCAGTACATGTGAATGCAACAGAAGTTTTGAATACTCTGATTACTCTGAATACTCTGAATACGACGTGATGGGTTTGATAAGATGTACTTGTTCAAAGCTCCATATCAACTGACTTACTGACACTTCTCCTGGAATCAACGAAGGAGGTTAAACAAGTAACCACCCACGCCAGCACAGCTTGCTTGCTTGGCTTTCTTGGATCTTGAGGGAGTACGTTGAGCGGTTGAGGCTCTCAGCGGCGGTTGGGTTGTCTTAGCGCGGCACCATTCCGAGCTGAACTTCTCGGATCTTGCTTGACAGCGGAATGGGCGGGCTTAAGTTAGTGGCGTGCATGACTCTGTCCCGTCTCCAACCGTTCCTTTTCTTCCCATCCATCACTCAGCCGCTCCCGTTCGTTGGCTGTTGCTTGATTCCGCCTCCCGCTTCCTTACCACCAGAAAGAAAGAGCACCAAGAAAAGCCAAGTCGTTGGCGAAAGTTGGGGAAAATGCTTGGAAATATGTTTTCGGTAATGGATATCCGAGAACATCTATGTAACAAGAAGTCATTTTTGAGTTTGGATGTGTAGTGTACCAACCTGTGCGGTTGCGGTTGCGGTTGCTACAGTCTTTCCCGCAAGAAACGTCGTGTGCCTGTGTTACATCCCGTCTTTCGATTTTCGATATCGATGGTAGTGTAGTGTGTTTCGATATGATCCTGCTGTAAAAGAGCGGCGACGTTAATCGAGACTACGTACACTACTTTACCACGTTTAATCTATACTACCAAAGATAATGGAATTTCGCACATGCCGTCCGTCGTTTCGTGGCGGTGGTACACTTAAAGCGTGCAGCGTCAGAACGATGTACTTTATCGGGATTTAATCTACAGTACCTATCATCGCCGATCTGGCAGAGTGACTGACTGCATAACGAAACCGAAAGCCGAACGGGAGGTCCCATCAACGGAGTTCTACATAACGACGAAAGTCTCTATCCTGTCATCAAGAATTTTCCATCTCGTCGAAGATCCACCATGATGACTCCCGCTTCATCACACAAAAGATTTCTTCAAAAGATGGAGCTCGTGTAAAAATCACCATTAATGAATCACACGAAAAGGGGCATTCGAAGAATACCAACAACGCAGGAGGTTGGCATAAACTCCTTGTAACTCCTCGATTCCTAGCGGGACTCCGTATTTCGGAGCCCAACACCGTGACCAGTCAAAGCAGGATGTTGACAAAGTCTGCGCTAGAACAAACCGGGAAAGGCTAGCGTAAATCTTTTACCCCATCTTCTTTCCCCGCAAAATCACATACAGATTGGAGGAGAGACCAGGTTGTGTGCCAGGGTTGTAGCGCCAACCTCGGGCTTGGCGCGGGGTAGGGGTGGTCGGCCCAAGAAAGTGGCACTCTGCCACGCTTTTTGGCCTGGACGCCTGGGCACGCACCGTTGGTCGGTCGTCTGTTCTTTTGCGGCAACGAACGTGAAGTTGCCTCTTGGCTTTGACGGCTTGGGACCCGGGCGGGAGGTGTGGTTGGCGTGGGGTGGGTGATGATATCCGGTAAATTCAAACGGGTGTTTTTTAATGACTCCAGCAGCTGTAGCATTCATTCACCGATATCCGGCGACCATCACCCCAAGGTGAGCCAGGTTCGAGACCGAGATCGCTCTCACCTCCCCCATGCCCCCCGGGTGAGACTTCATTTCGAATGTGACTCCCCAAACTCCCATTCTCCACCATCTCCACCGCAAGAAGCTCAAGCTCACACCGGCCCCGTCCCGGTCTCCATCCCGCCGTCGTCGGGGCCCGTGTCCATCACGACCTTGCTCTGGGGGTGTTTTCTCCACCGCTCTCCGCTGCCAACAACGCTAAAAACCTAAACAAGACCGGACCTGGACCCGGACCCGTCGCGATGACACAAACAATCCAAAATACCAATTCCCTTCTGTCGAGAATTCCATTACATGACACTACACTACACAAGGCGATAGGGCCGACAAGCCAAGGGGATCGACCTACCTAATAAAGTTTAGATGGAAATGTAAGCCAAGGCGCAATGCAATGCATGGAGCGAGTCAGAAGAACAACGTCCATGCCCAAGAATGGCGAATCGGGCCCGAGACAAAGAATGAGTGAAGAGTACAAGACGGGATTCCACTTGCGAAACTACTTTGTGTGTATCTGTGTCTGTATAACAGAGCGGGCGATAGACAGTAGAAAAGAAGAAATATGGAACACTGGGGGAGAACGCTGTGCTCTGTGGTGTTCGTTCCCGTGGAAGCAATCATGATGAAATGGAAGGATGGAGTTGGGATTGGAATGGTTGCGTTGCGTCTTTACTCTGCACTACATGCGTACACGTGCAGGAAAAAACAAGGGCTTCGACAGAAAGTGAAGAGGAAAAGGAAGAAACATGTCTACCGGACAGAAGGGTGATGGAAATGGGGGCAAATGGATGGCGATATCAGTTCAACTAACTGAACATTCAGCTGAAAGAAGAGATTGACCGCGGCTCTTCGAACACCCCTTCTTCTTCTCCTGTTGTCCGGATCGTTTCTAGTGGCTTTCTTTTTGCATCAGCTCGATTGAGCTGAACTCTACCAAAGTTGCAGAGAGGCTGGGATTGGAGATGGATGGCGGTGGTGGTTAGCTCCAGGGGCGACAACCTCTCAAGTGACAAAGTGACAGGGGCATTACCCCAGGTTGGAAAGTCGCCGTGTCGGTGGCCGGGAACCCTAACAATGACAACGGATTGGGATACAAATAGTGGAGGCGACTCCGAAGACGATCACCACCGGCCATCCACCGGCGCACGCCCCAAAGGCACCGTTCGTTGGTCACACCCATCCAATTATACGTTGAGCTATCGAGAGATCTAGTGAAATCGAACACTTCAAAAGAAGCGGCATTTGATGCCGGCTTGGGTGTATGACTCGAGTCCAGCACCCTTCCTCAGTCCCCATGTCATCATGTTTGTACAGATGCAACCATATGCAGCACTGATGCATTGCACCGACCCCGACCGACACCCCGGCGTCCGCCGTGTCCGCCCGCATTGCGTCTTTGATCGATACCTTACATGTTGACACCGCGTCCGACCCCTACCCAAGTATTTAAGCCTCGAGTCCCCGTTGCATGGCCGATCGTCACGGATTTTCCTCCTCCCTCCCCTTCTCCAGCTTTTTATAACCAACACTTCTTCCCCACCTTCCCCCCTTTCCCTCCCCTCATATTTTATCCTTCTTCTAGGTGGGTGCTGCTCGGGAACCAGAAGAAGCTGTAAGACAAGATATCATGTCCGACACCAAGGACCGTAAGTTCATAATCCTCACCCCTCCTCATCTTACTCACACTCACCTTCACACCCCTTCATACACAAACACCATGAAAGTATTCTAACACAATCTCACAGTCTCCCTCGGGGAGAAGACCCATCATGACCCTTCAGGGTTCAGCAGCTCCGACAAAGGCGCCGAGGCCGGCCGCGTCTCTTACGACGTCAGTCCGCACTCCCCCACGACCGTTGTTCCTGTCCCGCTTCCCGAGGGCATGACCGAGGCGGCTCTCGTGCGCAAGATCGACCGACACATTATCCCCTTCATCATCTTCCTGTACCTCTTGGCCTTTTTGGACCGCGTCAACATAGGAAACGCCCGCTCCTTCGGCCTCGAGTCCGATCTCAAGCTGGAGAAGGTCGAATACAACACGGCTCTGACCATCTTCTTCGTGCCCTACATTATCCTCGAGATCCCCGGCAACATCCTGCTCAAGAAGTTCTCGCCCCGCGTCTGGCTGTCCGTCTGCTGCGTCGGTTTCGGTCTCGTCTCCATCTTCCAGGGTCTCGTCAAGAACTACGGCGGCCTGCTCGCCACCCGTTTCTTCCTCGGCGTCTTCGAGTGCTCCATGTTCCCCGGCTGCTTCTTCTCCTGGCCTCGTGGTACAAGCGCGCCGACGCGCAGAAGCGGTACTCGCTCTTCTTCTCCTCCACCTCGCTCGCGGGTGCCTTCGGCGGTCTCCTGGCCTCTGCCATCGGCAAGATGGACCACCTCCAAGGCTACCGCGGCTGGCGCTGGATCTTCATCGTCGAGGGTGTCGTCACCGTCGTGGCGGGTATCGTCTTCTTCTTCACCTTCCCCGCCTTCCCCGAGCAGGCCCGCTTCCTCAAGCCCGCCGAGCGCGAGTACGTCCAGGCGATGCTGCAGGCTGACCACGGCCACTCGGCGGCCGAGCGCAAGATCACCCTCAAAGACGTGGGCAAGGCGCTCACCGACCACCGCATCTGGCTCGGCGGCTTCATGTATCTCGGTTTGATCGTGCCCGCTTATTCCTACGCTTACTTCTCGCCCACCATCATCGGCACCTATAACTACAGCGCCATCCAGACACAGCTGCACTCGGTCCCGCCCTGGGCCGCCGCCTTCGGCTTCGCCATGGTCACCGCCGTCGCCTCGGACTACCTGCGCCACCGCTTCATGTTTGCGATCCTCGGCATCGTGGTGGCGATCGTCGGTTTCGCTGTGCTCATGACTGTGCACGACCCGGCGCACGTCAACGCGCAATACGGCGCTTTGTTCCTGGTCGCCATGGGCGCGTACTCAGCCATGCCCATCATCGTGTGCTGGTTCAACATGAACCTGGGCGGCCACCACCGGAAGGCCATCGGCACGGCGTGGCAGATTGCTTTTGGCAACATTGGCGGCATCATTGCCACGTACAGCTTTGTGGCCAGCGACGCCAAGAACCACTACCGCACGGGGTACGCGATCTGCGTGAGCTTTACGTGCTTGAGCGCGCTGGCGTGCTTGATGTATGCGATTAGCGTGACGATGGAGAATAAGAGAAGGGCCAAGATGCAGGGGGATGGCGGACTGACGGAGGAGGAGAAGGCGGATTTGGGGGATCTGAATCCCGAGTTTAGGTATATGTTGTGATGAAAGAGTGGATGATGATAATGAGCAATTGAAAGTAATCATGAGAATGGGAAAGGGAATGGGTTTTTGTTTGCAATGAAATGATACCATGAGAATAAACAGGCTTTTGTTATTTTTTTTAAAACTTTTATACCTCTAGTTATGATGACTTGTTTGTTGTTTTGTTATGGGAGTATATATATATATACTAACTAAGGCTTATACATTACGATACATACCACTGAGGCTATAAACCTGCTCTAGGTGGTGTTTTGCCTACTAAATGACGAATTTTAATGATATACGTACCTACCCATTCATCCTCGGTCAATCGCTCTAGGTACTATCTGTTCCCTATCCTCAACTTCACTTTTGTTCCCACTGTTACTTTCTCTTGACATTTCTTTCATGCTGAATATCCATCAACATTGGTTTATATCAGACAGACAAAAAGAAGGGAGCATACCTACCACCCAAGACGAACAAGTTCCACTCAAATTCAGTTTCCGGCGCATTATCAAACCCCCGAAAGACACAGACACAACCCCGTGATATCATCGTCCCATGTCCCACGTCCCACCCATCCATCTTGTCCTCCCATCCGTCCATTTATGGTCCGTCATGTCCGATATCCGATGTCCCGATTGATGTCTGTAACATGTTCCACTTGTGCAGTTGCAGCGTTCTGTCTGTCTGTGCCCTTCGGGAACATGGCGAGAAAAAAAGAAAAAGAAAAAAGGAAAGAAGAGTGAAGGTGATGGCTGGCAAATAGAAAAAGAAGTAGTAGAGGTGACATATGTGACGTGTGAAGTTAAACTGACATGGCAGACCCGATGTTCCTGAACTCCCCCTCCGTCCACGTCCACTTGTAAAAGGTTACCATATACCAAGACGTTCACGATGTTCCAGAAAGATTGGTAAAAGCCTGATCAATGGGTAGACGGTTGCCGAGTTCTCCGAGGTAGCATGTCCACGAGGTTTTTTTTTCGTGTTTGGTAGGACTTGTGGAGGTGTGAGGCAGGGTGTACACACTCGGTATTGATTTCGTTTCAGTCTGTTTCCTCATTAAATACGTTAATGTTATATGGTGGTGGTATATATATGGACTTTTCCCAAAATCTGATGATGTTAAAACGTGTAGGACATCAATGATATACCCAAAATTTCATCAAATAGGTCAGTCTGGTATTCGTAAGTCCCTGGGTATTCGAACAATGAAGAGAGAAAACCAGTTTGCGCCCGGGTACAAGAACAAAAGCAGTGTGTGCTGAGTGGAAAATGCAACACGCCGTCCCCATGCTTGTCAAACATCATTTAATGTCCCTCGGACTTCTTAACTGTTGGGAGTTCCTGCAGGGCCTCTCCAATAGTCTTGATGGCGCCCCGTAGCTCCTCCTCGGTGATGACTAGTGGAGGAGCGAAGCGGATAATGTTGCCGTGCGTGGGTTTCGCCTGGATTTTGTAGTTAGCACCTTCATCAGCAATGCGAGAGGAATGGGAAGTACTCACGAGAACGCCCTTCTCCTTCAACAGAATGCACAGATCCCAGGCAGTCCGCCCAGAAGCCGCAGACTCATCAATAACCACAGCATTCAACAATCCCTTTCCGCGCACGAGCTGTACGATAGGGACTTGAACGCCTCCACACCCTCTCTGAAGATTCTGCCGAGTCTGTCCGCATTTTCTACCATGCCCTCTTCCTCTACCAGCTCCAGCGCACGCAGCGATACCGCACATCCCAGTGGGTTACCGCCATATGTGGAGCCGTGAGTACCAGGCTCAACAACGAGCATGATCTCCTTATCGGCCAAGACAGCGCTCACGGGGTACATGCCGCCCGAAATGGCCTTGCCCAGGGTAATGATATCAGGCTTGACATTGGCCCAATCGGAGCAAAGCATGCGACCGGTGCGGGCAATGCCGGTTTGGATCTCGTCGCAGATGAAAAGGATGTTGTGCTTCTTGCAGAGCGCGGAGACCTTCTGGAGGTAGTCGTCGTCGGGAACAACAACACCGGCCTCGCCCTGTATGGGCTCCACGATGAAGGCAGCGGTCTCCTTTCCGTGCGCCTCCAGCACTTCTTCTAGATCGGCGATGTTGTTATAGCGGATGACCTTGCCGGTCGAGGGGGAAACGGCGCCGATTTGGGGTACGTAGGGACCATAGTTGTCACGCGACTCGGGATCGACGGAGAGGGAGATGGCCGTCATCTGTAGCAGTTATAGTCAGAATATCGGCGTAAATAGCTTGGGGGTTAAGACATGACGTACCGTCCGGCCGTGGAAGTTGTCAGCAGCGCTGAAAACCAGGGCCTTATCATGTGGCACGCCCTTGACCTTGTACGCCCACTTTCTCGCAATCTTGATGGCTGTCTCGACCGCCTCGGCACCAGTATTCATGGGCAACACCATGTCGTAACCAAAGACGGGCGGACCTTGGCGGCCCAGACGGGGAAGACATCGTTATGGAAAGCGCGGGAGCTCAAAGTTAGGCGCGAAGCCTGCTCTGTGAGGGCCTTGACTAGCTCTGGGTGGCAATGGCCTTGGTTTACAGCGCTGTAGGCAGATAGGAAGTCAAGGTAGTGCTTGCCCTCGGGATCCCACACATGAACGCCCTGAGCCTTTGCAAAGACGACGGGGAGCGGGTGGTAGTTGTGGGCGGCATACTCGTTCTCAGCGGCAATAGCAACGTTGGTCGCGGCAGCGTGGTACTTGTCCGAGCCGGTGATGAGATGGTCGAGCGAGAGGGTAGAACCGCCGTTCGAAGGAGCATCAGCGTGTGGCGCCATGATGGTTGTGATTTGGTATTAACGGTGGGCAGGCAGTATGGCTGAAGAGGTGTAAGATGTAGGAGGACTCGGGATGGAAGATTTCAAGTCGAAGCAATTGAAGTGTCTGAACTTGATGGATGGACCCAATTTGGAGCTGGGAAGATGGCCGTAGAAGAGGATGATTCAAAGAAGAGAAAACTTGGAAGAATTGGAGAAGTAGAGAAGTTCAACTTGAAGCAAGGAGAAGACAGACAATAGGGAGTTTTGAGGCAAGGAAGTCAGCAAGAGCAAGGTATAGCAAGGTAGAGCAAGGTACACGTAGAGCAAGGTAGTACTTGTCTTGTAATGCAAACGCGGACAAAGGGTAACACTAACACTTGCCGCCATTCATTGCTCTCCATTGCCCTCCGAGACACTGTCGGCATGTTCGCTTAGAGGTGGGCGTGGATAGGTAGGATGCGGCATGCACTAGACCCCTAAGTGATAAACGTCCGCACCACTGCTTCGCCATCAGAATCAAAGACAAGGGAAGGTGCAGAAGATGACATCCGCCAACCCCTCCACGTGGACATCCGCCGTGCTGGATGCAAGCCGAAGGAAGCCGCTTTACATTGTGTTGGAGGCATCTTCACATTTCTGTCGAAGTCGAGTTCATTTCCAACAACAGAACTTCAATTCTCTGATATGACTAACAAGACAACTGCTGTTTCCACTCCATTTCATATCAAGAAGGAGACGGACCCTCAATGACGGACCCTCAATGACGGAAGAGCGGCTCCAGTCCGCAAGGTACCCCCCGCCATTATCGGTGCTGTCACGGAGGGGTTCCGATAAACATGACGCTAACCAATCAATGCCCCGCTGATTACCGTGCCCCGTGATAGGGCTGGTAGCTGCTTCGCGGGGGCTGTCAGCAAGGCAGCTGGCAGCTGGCGGTTCCGAGAACTGACAAGTGCCGAAATGAGGACCTCTACGGCCCCCTGGAACATGCCTTAACAATTTACAGATGACAGAAGTACCTGGACTACCCAGTCGACCTCAACATCACCCAAGGGCATCAAGCCCAACACTTCAAGACTAAAACATGTCGAATAAACCGGCCACCTCAAAGCCCATCGAGGCTGAGAGAGGTAATACCGGTGATGTAAAGACGCAAAAAACACCACCCATTTTGGTGCCTCCAGTACCACTGTCAAAACCTCACCGGCATGTTGTCTCTGCACAGATCCAAGATGTCCTCACCTTGCTCTTCGTCTTTCGCTTTCTCAATGCCATCATTCTCCGCACCTTCTTCCAGCCAGACGAGTATTTCCAGGCTCTCGAACCCGCATGGAACATTGCCTTTGGAGATCAGAGCGGTGCTTGGTTGACCTGGGAATGGCAACATCAGCTTCGCTCCTCTCTCCATCCTGCCATCTTTGGTGTGGCCTACAAGGTTGCCCATTGGTTGATGTCCGCTCTTTTTCCTCCTGCTTTCGAGACGTTTGTTCTCGAAGGCTTGCCCAAGGTCATCCAGTCTGTCTTTGCTGCCTTGGGCGACTTTTATACTTGGCATGGCAACCTCCATCTTTGGAGATGAGAGCAACATCCCATGGACTGCTGTAAGTCACAAGCCAATGTATCATACGTATCGGACAACCCATTGACTTCCGTGTCTAGCTCTGGATGACCGTTCTCAACCCTTGGCAATGGTATTGCTCCACCAGGACCTTTTCAAACTCCTTTGAGACTACCTTGACCATTGCCGCCCTCTACTACTGGCCCTGGGATCTTCTCCAGGATGCCAAATCCAACAAACAGGAGCCTCTGCAGCTCAAGGGCAACCTGGGCAGCCTCCGAGCTTCACTCATTCTTGCTGCCGTGGCCGTCTTGCTGCGCCCAACGAACTTGCTCATCTGGCTTGGAGTCCTCACCCTTGCCATCACACGGTTGACACTTGATGGAGAGTCTCCCATCAAGAGATCGACATTGTTTGTTCTAGCCAAAGAGATCGTGGTCTGTGGTAGTGCAGTCCTCGCCGTATCGCTCATCTCGGACCGCCTCTACTTTGGCTTCTGGACCTTCCCGCCCTACAAATGGCTCTACTTCAACATCTCTCAGTCCCTCGCCGTCTTCTACGGCCACATGCCATGGCACTACTACCTCTCTCAGGGAATCCCTCTACTCACGACTACCTTCCTCCCCTTTGCGCTCGTCGGTCTGTACAAAGCCACTTCTTCCTCCAAGACCCTTACGACACTCCAGTCCAACATCCTCAAGACGCTTTCCTTCGCCGTCTTGTCCATGGTCGGCACTCTCTCCATCATCTCTCACAAGGAAGTCCGCTTCATCTACCCTCTTCTCCCCATTCTTCACATCCTGGCCGCCCCCTATGTCTTGAATTTCTTCACCGTCCCAGAAGCAGCATCAATAGCGGCAACCACCACAACAACCGAAGGCGCTTCCACCACTACCACCTCATCAACAACAACAACGACAACAGGCCCCGTAACCCTCCGCCACAAAATCTCTCTCGCCAACCTCTTATCCATCAACCTCCTTCTAGCCACCTACCTCTCCATCTTCCACCAACCCGCGCCCCTCTCAGTAATGACCTTTCTCCGCACCGAGTTCGAGCGCATCCACCCCGAGTCACTTTCCCTTGACTCTTCCTCTTCCTCTTCCTCTTTATTCTCCTCCTCCTCTTCTTCTGCGTTGAACAAGGAGATCCCCCAAAAACAAGAACTCTTCGCCCTCTTCCTAACCCCCTGCCACTCCACCCCCTGGCGCTCGCACCTCGCCTACCCTGCTTTGCGCGCCAGGGCGTTGACTTGCGAGCCGCCTTTGCATACGGCGCCGGGAAGTTTGGAGAGACGGGAGTATATGGATGAGGCGGATCGGTTTTATTATCGTAACTCGGAGAAAGAAGAAGAAGAGGGTGAGGGTGACGGTGGGCTGTATGGAGTGGAATTTTTGAGGGAGGAGATGTGGGGTGGTGATGGTCTTACGAGTAGCAGTGCAAGTGGACAAGGACCGGAAGAAATTCCGAGGTATATCATCGGGTTTGAAGGGGTTGAGGAGATGTTGAGAAAGTTCTTTGAAGAAGACAAAAGGGGAAGGGAGTTGGGTGTTGAATTGAAAAAGGTGTGGAGTGCGTGGAATGGAGCATTTAATGAGGATTGGAGAAGGAGGGGGAGGTTGGTTGTTTGGGATACCGGAGTTTATGAGCCTGTTGAGGAAGTGAAGAGGAAGGTGTTTGCGTAGTAGGTCGTGGTCTGAGGGGTTAGGTTTGGAGAGAGCGAGCAGGGTGGGTGAGTTGAAGGGTTTATAAAAGTAGTCTCACTAGGAAAGAAAGTAGGAAAAAAAGAAACCATGATAACCGTCCGGGATAGACCTTGCGCAATAGTAGAAGGGAAGTAAATGCAATGTAACAATGAAAACAGAAAGGAAAAAAAAGCTCCCGTCAAAAAAAAATTGACAGGAAAGTCTGACAAATATGTACATCGAAATGGAGGAACAGCCGAGAATATCTGGAAAACAAATAACCCAGCCCAAGATCATTCCTCTCTCTAGGTATCTTACACACCTTCTCACGGTCACTGGGTATCTCCTCCAGTCTTCTCTCTTCCCTCCCTCCCTTGCCTTTCTTTTGTTTCCTTCTTCATGTTTCCTTTCCTCACCTTCTCCACCATCCGTTCCCTCTTCCTCTTCTGCTCCCCTCTCCAGATGTTTTCCTCCCAACTCACGTCAAAACAGGATTATCATCCTGATTCCCATGGTACGTAGGCACGTCGCAGCACGCCACCTTCAGCTGGCACGGTCCCATAGGGTACCTGTCCTTGGGCGGGTCGCACCCGTGCAAATTGTGCTTTATGTTCTCCCGGTTGAGCGCGTAGATATTGCCGTCTTCGCACAGGCAGATGTTGTCGATGCAGTTGCGGGGGTCGGACCTGTTTGATAATTCTAGGTTAGTGGACTGACATGCTTGTGGACTGCATGGACTATAGCAAGCTAGTAAGAGGGAGGATAAATGATATGGTGTATGTATATAGAGAAAGGGAGGGTGGTGGAGGGCCGAACAGAATGGGAGGGCCGAACAGAATGGGAAAAAAAAAAAAAAAAAAAAGGGTTAACATACCAATATTTACATTGACTCTTCGTATTACCAAATCTCCCCTCCAGTACGTGACGTGCCGCTATGCTCTGGATGAGTTTATCATCATCGGTAGGATGAGCTGAAACTCTTCCTGTGATGGCGCTTATGACGACGATGCCAGCGGCCACAAGAACATTGCTGACGGTAAACCTCATCGTAGAGGTCAAGAGTTCTTATTGAAGCGCTTATTCAATATCGCGATGCTGGATAGGTGCTTTGTCGACGTCGTCGTCGTTGTTGTTTGATGTTCAATGTGCGCGAGTGGGTGTCTCAAACTAATCGAGTGTCTCGAGTAGCCGGTGGAAAGAACTGTACGGCGTTGATCGGAGAAACTTGCAGGAGTAACAGAACCAGCTGTTGAAAAAGCCAGGGTGGGATATAGTGCCAAAGTCTCTTTATATCTCCCAAAGAAGTGATGAATAAACGCTCGCATGTGGCGCCTCGTGTGGCTGAATACTCATGTAATTTCATGGTGGTTGGCGATATCATGAAATAGAACATGTCTTTACAAGAGAGCGACAAGTCCAGAGGACTTGTCTACTTTGATGGGCTCATGGAAAGAAGGAGAATCGGGTGTGATTTGGTGTTATAGAGGAATGTTGCGGGTCACAAAGTAAGGTGGCTTCGAAAGACCTTACCCGCGCGGTACGGTGCAAAATCATCTCGACGAAGACAAACTGAATTGCTGGATGGGAATAAGGGAGTCACTAGACAAGGGGCAGGTTCAAAGAGAAGAAACTGAAAGACGTCACACACCAGACACGGCTTTGATCAAACCCAACCCCTGACTGACCACGGGACTGCGAGTTTCTTTGTCAAGTCGTCGTGGCGCAACGATGAATCTCTCGTCCCCCTGATCATGTCAGCCAATATTTGGAATGATTATGCCTTAATATACTTTAGGCAAACTCGAGGGCCGAGAAAAATATAAAGGCAGAGGACAATCCTAAGTTGGAACTTACCTGTTAAACGGTCTTGATATTGTGTCCTCTCTTCCCATGGATGTTCATTCGGGTGATCAGAGGACCACACTTGGAACGACATCGTTTATTGGTAATTGGAGTTATTGAGTTTCAGTCAGTTAGGGCGGATGAAGAACGGTTGATTGATAATGGTCCTTGAGATGGCTGAAGATGTTATGGTGAGCGAGTCTGTATCCAAGCTGCGCATGGTTCGGTGTCGGGAATCTTTTGTGTGCGTTCTTTTAAAATATGAGCGCACGCAAGAGTAACAGGACTTGCCCTAAGACCCGAGTCGGTGTCAAAGATAAGTATTCCAGGCGAGGCAGGGACGACCGAGCAGTTCAACTGCTTGCTCTTCTCTACTTGCCCTTCTCGGTCTTTCCATTCTTGTGCTCCCTCCAAGCGCCAGCTTGGGGAAGGAACGACCCGGCCGTCTGAGTCGCGACTTCGATATTTGGATCTAAATCGCATCTTCCCGAGACCGGATGTCAATCTGAGCCAATCTGTTCGGGTAATATCCAGTCTGGTTTCCGAACCACCAAACCAAGGGGCATCAGACAAGCCATCAAGGTGGGACCTCACAGGCTAAGAAAACGCCGAGATAATCGAGTCTTTATATGTTGATTTCCACCACCCAGCGTGATTATCATAAACTCGACATCAACCACCAGGCTAAAGGCCATGAAGCCATCACCACCAGTATCCCTTGCATTCCCTCCGCCCAAAGCGGCTGGTCTTTGTCGAGTGTCTACAGAGCATGGCCCCTTGTGTCCATTGTGCTACAGAATCCTTGTTGCGCTACCCTTGTTCGTTTGTGGAAGGAATTGTAATTTGTCAACGGATGTCTTTTGTGCCTGAGTTCTTTGTTAGATTGTATGCTTCTTATCTTGACTTTCAATTTAAGGAACTTGATGACCACCTATTTTGATGTTGACGGTACCCATTCACAAAATGAAGAATAAAGGAACTGTTGTTACCATCGTTACAAGCCCTCCGACAGCGGAGTTTCTCGCAGTTCAATACATGAAAATGGATTGGCCCAATGAGCTTGTTGTGTGTACCAACCTAATGTCAGGTCCGAGTGCGGTCTGTAATACCTACACAAGGTCTTGTTCTGTTCAAGCCTGTTGAAGGTCAAGGTAGAGGATATGTAAATATCTTACGGAAGCACGACTAACCAATTCGTCCTCGAATGTGAGGTAACTAGAGATAACAGGTGACGCCTTGATAGGACCCCTTAAAGCCCCTGAGTAAGCTCATATCGTCACCTCCCCTGACAAATGGTCGTAATGCCAGACAGCTGCACCACTTCTTGAGTGCAGTCACGTTAAGGGTGTTGATTTTGAATGGACCGTACCTTTTAACATTAAACATAAACATACAGAGGTAAGTACAGCGCCGTCATGCACCACACATCATACGCACCTGACTGAGGTGCTGAGGTACGGTACATACGTACCTATCTACACACGACGATGCTTGACACCATATGGCTCCAGCGAACAGGTTCACCTCCCTCATACACTCACCCACCTCACCTTCACGCCTTGAAAGTCTCATCCTTATTTCTGTGACTTCGTTCCCGCACAGCCGTTTGGAGTTCAGTGGTCTGATTGTCGAAGTTCCCTCACCGCTTTCCCTTGTTCCCGGTGGAGTGGCTGGTGAGGCTGGGCTGAAGTGGTATGGGCGGCGGCGGCGGCATGGCGGGTAGTGGCTTTTCTAGAACTTCCTCATCCGCATCCGACAAGAAGGTATCGCGGTTCACGAATCGGGCTGTTGCGAGGTTCCGGCCCGGGGTTGTCTGGGGTTGGACTTGACGTCTACCTACCATGAAACTTGAGTGGTATTGAGACGAGTAAGATTAAAGAATCCTGGGAATGAAGAATGGTAATTGGAAGAGACAATGATGGTTCGGTTTTCATTGACTTGTGTTTGAGTTTCTGTGAGTGGTTGTTTTTCCTTGTTGACGATGATGACGGTGATGGGATTCACACCAAACCATTTAACGATGAACACAGAAAGGGGTCTGACGGGAAGGAAACAGTGAATCTGCCTGTCCCCATACTCCTTGTCACAATCAAGATGGCGGGTTGCTTGCTGGCTTGCTGGCACACAACACAAACTGTGGGGGAGTGGATGTGAGGACGAGATGGGTAGGTAGGTAGGCTGCCTGTTGCCAAACAGAATGGGTGGTTACACCAAACTCCATGTAGGGGTCCCTACCTCTACGCTCCAGACCCAAACCTTCCCCACATGTCATCATCCTTTGTTGTCCTATCGAGTTCGTACATTCCGTTACGAATGTGTAGCCTAATGATACAGAGCATTCGAGGCTGACGAGTAGGTATTGTTGCGCTTGATGATGATGATGTGAAGTTGGATTCGAACCAAGCGGGTCAAGCAGGACGCACATAACGATGGTTGATGTTGCAGGCCACTAGGCCACTGCAGGAGAGCAGCAGGCAGGGCAGAACTGGGAATCGCAAGGCAGAACTACTAAATGGCAGATAGGAACCGCGCGTTTGCGTTGAAGGGAAAATGATATCGAAAATAAAGAAGGAAGACTGCGCATGTTATGGACAAGAAAACTTTGATGATCATTGGTGTTTAATGTTGAATTTTGGCAAGTGGCGGCCGGGGTGGTTGCCTAACACCACTCAGATAGGGTTTAGCGCGTGGGGAATGGAGATGGGGAGATCTGGGAAACCGCTTGTCCAATGTCGTGTCGTTCAAACATTGTTCTTGTTTGGGCGCCATTGTTTCGTTTGGCTCCATTTCTCCATTCATCATGTCCATCTGGCTAGGGTCAGTCAAATTTTGAACATGCCATATTCGCGCAGTCTGGGGTAATGTTTATCAAGACTTTAAAACGTTACAACCGACGCACCCCCCAAACTCTTGTGCTGTGTAGCGCCATACCTGGACGCATTGTAATGACTGGACGCTCGCCCGTTACCTACTTGGATATATCAAGTTGGCAGAGAGCCCGGAACCACAAAGCGATATCGCAAAGATCACGACCCAGCCAGTATCCGTCCGTCTTCGATGCTTTCTCTTGCACCTGACATCATGATTGGACAGCGATACCAAATTCACCAGATAAGGGGTGCTGGATGCGTTGCCTTGCATATGTCCGTGCTGTTGTAGGGTGGTGTTGAAGTTGGTGGGTGGGTGGACGACGTCTTCACGTTGAAAAAGAGAGAGAGAGAGAGAGAGAGTAGAGAGAGCAATCAACAACATCGAGCTCCATTTCGAGCTTGGCGATTGGCCAGTATCACGACAGCCTCACCCACACTCGCACAGGAAGGTTGAATACGTCCACCTACATATATACATACAGGCGGCCGGGGTTTTACTTCTGTGCTTGTGTTTCCAAGTCCGTTGCCGTAGGATGTGCGCCCCATTGCGTGTCCAGCCAAGCCAGCCAGGCACAGGGTCGACGACAGGGTCGACGACAGGGTCGAATGCGGTACGCCGTGGAAACTGTGCTGTACTGCAGAGGAGGGGGTGTGTGTGTGATGAATCTCGATCGCCATGACCGGACAAGAAAGAGTGAAAACTCCTGGTGCCCATTCAGTCCCTAAACCTGATAGATAGGCGAACCTGCAGCTGATGCCTAGATATCGCGTACAATGCCTTGGTACTTTTCTCTTTGGTCGGAACTGGCGATCAGGACCGCCGAGGATGAGCAAGATCAACCTGATGCGCCAACAGCCAAATCGCACAGCCATTTTGGGTAATGGCGTGCTCTGCTAACTATCAAGCAAGCATTGTGGTTATCGCGCCGCAGAATCAGGATTCTGCGTTTGAGATTACCATGAGCTCCAGAGCTTCGTTGTCGGGGTTGTTGCCTGGGTGCTTCTTGTGCTTTTGGTGTAACACGAAGACTTGCCACATCTGAGGACAAACTCTCGCGGAAACGATTAATCAGCTTGTTCCGTCAGTGTTAATGGACACTGTCTTGTGAAAGTGATGAGAGAAGTCAAATATTGATTTTTTTTGTCCGTGTGTTGACCTCGTAAGGCAATGTTCCAGGGCCGTGACGGGAGAAGCTCAATGGCCGCTTCATGCAAGTCGTTCACGCTCGCATTCTGATGCAGGCTGTGGCTCAACCAAACAGGTAGGACTCGCTACCTGAGATTCTTTGGTTCCGGTTGGCTGGTCATTATAGGTCCTGGTACTTATCCTATACTCATACAACCCGCACAGTGGTTGCGATCAAGTGTTCGATGACTGTTTGTAGTTGATTGTTTTGTGAAATGAGAAGTGTCCGACGTTATTGCAGGGGCATTTGCTCGCTTTTGTTTGGAACAATAAAGGCGATTCCAAGCCCCCGTCTACAAGAAGCAGCGGGAGTCTTGAACTGAGGGTCCTTGCCGATGACTCTTGGGGACACTACCGGGGAGCCGGGCTATCACCGTCAACTTGAATGGGAAAGAAGATGGAAAACTAATATGGATGCTCGAGGTAAAACGTGTCCAGGGCATCGATTGCGACTTTGTCCCAGTCTGCTACGTGATTCTGCTACTATGCCTTGATGAACGCCCGGCCCCTCGATATCCACAAGCCATCCGGGGCATTTGGTCCAAAGACGCAAGACAAGCGGTAGACCTAATTGACAGGGGACAGCAACATCATCATCAGCATAACGCGGACCAACCTCGAAGCTGGTTGTTGTTGTCATCACAATCGAAATGTGATCAACAACACAAAGCCCATACGAGCTTTCATCCTCCCCGTAGAGAAAGAAGCAAAAAGGCCGGAAAGCAGGTGTCAGTGTCACCTCCAAGCGGTGATGTTATCAAGCTGTCTTATCACCACAGAAGGACAAGGCCATTTTAGCGTCGGGAGTTGTGGCCAATGGCGGGCCGGCGACGGACGTCTCCACTCGCTACGTAACAGGGCCCTCGTACCGTGCGCGTACCTCGGGCCCACCTGACTCCTTCTGGAAAGGGCGGAAGAGCTGGGGAAAAGGCCCTGAATGGAAGCGCAGGGGTACCCACGAGTTACATCGACTGGTGCGCACCATGTCGAGGCATGACTTCAGTGCACCTGCACGGACCAGCCCCCTTGCACATCACGAGCCCAGGTGTCACTCGCAAGTCGCTTGGGATGCTGCCCCCTCTGCTGTTGTCACTTCACCACTGCTGCTACCTGGAGCTGGCTGGTTGCTGGCCTGCCCTGCCCATCGAGGTTCTCTCTTGCTGCTGTCCGATTCCCTCTCCCGTCGCTCACTGTTTGTCTGGAAGTCACTGCCATCTCGACTTCTTCCCGTGTTCCCAACTTGAGACTGAAGATAGAGACCAAAGCACGACACATGATCGCGACTCAACATCTACAAGTACCGCGCTTCATTGTTTAAACCGAGCAAGTGAGAGTTGGACCCTTTTTGGCTGGGTACCTAACAACAACGGCTCTTTCCCGCTCTCCGCCCCGGGCCCCCCGTCTTATATCTGTTACGTCGATACCGCCTGGGTACCTGATACGGTGCTTTGAGGTACTGGTGCGCTATCACTTATCGCTGTCTGTCCATCCACAGTTCCACTCCTTCCTGCGTCCCTCGACCGCATCACCCATCACCGCGACTGTCGACCACGGCCTACCGACCACCCAGACACTCCCACGACAGGACCACACCCATTCCCCCCGTTGCGTCAGGTCCCCATCCACTCATCGTTCGCAACAACTCCTAGCACCGCTCTTGGGTCCTTCAGGATCGCCTCCCCCGGCCGACTCTACCGAACCACCTTCGCGTTCTCTCTCTCCCCCCCAACATCGCCCTAGCATCGCCCATCCATCTCTCTCCATCCTCCGAGTCGCCGTCCGTCAAGGTTACAGCTTCGGTCTTCCTCTCCGCTTTGTCTCCGGTCGCGCACCCCTGGGTTCCGATCGCCATCAAGGGGGCTCCATCGCATATTCAACATCTATCGCCATATACCACACCACACACACCCATACACCCGACACCACCCAACTGTCGCCGCTTCCGCATCAACCGCATCAACCGCCGTATGCCGGTCCGGCCATCGCATCATCCTACAATTACTCTCGACACCCGTTCCCCATAGACGCTACCTAGTACAAACTCGCCCTCCTATACATACCATTTCCATCCTACAAACAAGATATAACGCGGCTCAACTTTCGCCGCTGTCAAGAGATCGGACGGGCCTGGTACCGAACCAGCAACCAAAACTGATACGGACGAGGCCAGTCTGCGGCCGATCGGGTCTGAGTCATTGACTTGACATAGGACGTCAGTCTGCCGCGGTGGAGCAAAGCAGCTGTCGATAACCACACTTTTGGTGCTGATAGTAGACGTCCAGATACAACAGTGTCGGTGTCGGAGCTTGGACCCTCTTCTACTGTGCCTTGAGCCCTTCTTCCGTCCGTCGTTTCCTCCATCGATCTGCTCGACTGCCTGGCCTTCTGCCGTTTCTCCGCTCTTTTTCGCATCGGCCTTCCCTTCGGCCACCCGTTCGGGCACACCTGCGCCTCCCGTCTCCTCCGACCTCTCCAGACCCTGAAACGATCGTACTGAGCTCGACCCCTTTCGCAACTCCTCTTCCATCCCATACCACCGTATAGTCCTCTTCATCCAACCCAGCCTCGTCGTTGCCTGGCGCATAACATATCCGAGGAGCCATCAAGGTACCTCGTACCTGGGACTTCTTCCCTCGACCACGCATTCGTCGTTTCATCTTTGGCTTCGACACATCCTCGACCTATCATCTCCACTTGCATCATTGCATAACCGAACGCCTCCGCTTGCCAATACATCGGCCTTATTAATACACACTTCTCCGCTTCTGCCTTGGGCTCGTCTTCATCATTCCAACCACCTGAACCCCAGATCGGAAGCACCAGACCATTTGGCGTATACATGCCTGCCAGACTTGAGGTTGACGTCTTCCGAATAGTTTAGGCCCTTGGGCTATCTACCTTTTACACAGACTTCCCGTCATCAACACGCACACCAGGAAGCCATGTCGGAACGAACATCTGCTTCCTCGTCTTCGAGGAGGACGAGACAGAGTTACGATGCCATTGGATCCTTCGTCATTGACCAAGAGATAGGAAAAGGGAGCTTTGCAAAGGTTTACCTGGGCCGGCATAAGGTCAGTGAGCCCTGCAGCCTCCCATGTTCGATCCCGTAGCATCCCATACGGCCTTGAGCTCACATCCGTATCGTGATTCGGGCTGCTTGCTGACGTATCATGTCTTGTAGGTCACTGGCGCATTGGTTGCCGTCAAATCCGTCGAGCTCGCCCGCCTCAATAAGAAGCTGAAGGAAAACCTGTACGGGGAAATTCAAATCCTCAAGACCCTTCGACATCCTCACATCGTCGCGCTCCATGACTGTGTCGAGTCCTCTACTCACATTAATTTGATAATGGAGTATTGCGAACTTGGTGACTTGTCGCTGTTCATCAAGAAGCGAGACAAGTTGATCACAAATCCCTACACTCACGACCTTGCGCGGAAATACCCCGTCTATCCAAATGCCGGACTGAACGAGGTGGTGACTCGGCACTTTCTAAAACAGCTGGCGAGCGCATTGCAGTTTCTGCGCGCTGGGGATTTCGTTCACCGAGATGTCAAGCCCCAAAACCTTTTGCTGCTTCCATCTCCCCAGATGATGGCCGACAATAAGACGGCGAAACACATTATGAGCGGCAGCTATGACTCTTTTACACCTGCTGCCGGTCTAGCCTCGGCCCCGATGCTGAAGCTTGCTGATTTTGGTTTCGCCCGTGTACTTCCGTCGACATCCCTCGCCGAGACACTGTGCGGCTCTCCTCTTTACATGGCACCGGAAATTCTACGGTATGAAAAGTACGATGCGAAGGCGGATTTGTGGTCCGTTGGCACGGTTTTGTACGAAATGGTAACCGGACGACCGCCTTTCAAAGCCAGCAATCATGTGGAACTTCTGAGGAAAATCGAGTCATCGGGCGATGTGATCAAGTTCACAAGGGAGAGTGTTGTGAGCCAAGAGATGAAAGGCTTGATCCGTGCTCTGTTAAAGAAGAACCCGGTGGAACGAATAAGTTTCGAAGATTTATTTGACCATCCTGTTGTCACAGAACCTATTCCTGGACTTGTGGAAGACGACATCCCCCAACCACCACGTCGGAGGTCCGTGAAGGAGGAGAGGCCTGTCAGTAGGGCAGAAGAGTCGCTCGTACCCTCGAGGAAGCAGTCTCTCCGAAAGAACCTCGCAGATCGTGAGGGCATTCCTCAGACGGCTGGCCCCTCTTCACCAAAACCTCGCCGATCGTCTCCTCTAGCGACCCCTAACGAGCCCCCTGAGTTCAATAAACCGAACTACTTCCAGATGCAACCTAGAGATGATCGTCTTAGCCATTCTCCTCGACAGGAATCTGCCGAAGGGCTAGGGATTAAGCGCCCGCAAGTTCAACCGTCAACGTCTGCTCCAACCCGTCCATCTTCGTATGTAGACCGCCGACATCGCCCATCAAACGCCTCGCTCAGGGCTCCTGGCCGGGAAGCCAATGTCCCTTCAAATGATATCGTCAGGTCGAAGTCTACCAGAGTCTTGGCCACAAAACCCATGTCAGAGGAGGAGAGGGCAGCTCAGGATATTGCGTTTGAACGCGACTATGTGTTGGTGGACAAGAAGCATCTTGAAGTCAACGCACTTGCGGACCAAATATCAATGTACCCCCAACAGCCACAATCCCCAAAGTCGGCGCAAATCGTCAGACGCGCAACTCAACAAGGCTCACCCACCTCGACGAGTGGTGCAGTTCCGAGCCCACCTTCCAGAGCGCTTCAGCTGGCTCAGGGTCATAGCCGTCAGGGTTCATACGACAAGGCACTTGGGACGAGTCCCAGCAAGGCGACCTCGGTGATTTCCAAGGCTATCCAAGATGCTAGCTTGCGGTTATTCGGATTCAAGTACGCCCCTCACCTGCTAGGCAAAGGCCCATCTCCTGTGCCGCTGTACAACCCGTTCCCGACGTATCCAGCCCCAAATGCCCAGACCGGCTTGATTGCAGATGGGAAGCAAGGCACCCCCGTGGACGAAGACTCCCGTGTAGCCCAGTGCATAGAGGATCACGCAACACGGAGTGATGTTGTGTACGGATTTGCCGAAGTCAAGTACAAGCAACTTGTTCCGCTTGCGCCCTCGATGGATCATGGTCTTGGCGGTGCGCCCATTGAGAAGTCGGCAGAGGAGGATGGGCTTACAGCCGAAGCCATCGTCTCGTTGTCTGAGGAGGCACTAGTCCTATATGTCAAGGCGCTCACCCTTCTGGCCAAGTCGATGGATATCGCCAGCCTCTGGTGGTCACGGAAAAACAAGGTTGAGACGAGCAACAGTATCACTTCGGCGGCACGGGATTCGGCAAACTCGGAAGCCTTGGCTCTCAGGATCAACGGTATTGTCCAATGGATCCGTTCACGCTTCAATGAAGTCTTGGAGAAAGCCGAAATTGTTCGGCTTAAGCTGGCTGAAGCACAGAAGCGACTACCCGAAGATCATCCCAGTCACCCAAACAATCATGCGAACGACTCTACGGCTCTGAACAGCCTCAGCACGGTCGGCGTATTCTTGAGCGAGGGGATTAGTGCCGAGAAGCTGATGTACGATCGCGCTATCGAGATGAGCCGTGCTGCTGCGATCAATGAGATTGCCAACGAGGATCTCCCCGGATGTGAGATCTCTTACATCACAGCCATCCGCATGTTGGAGGCTGTTATGGATCAGGATGACGACCATCTCCCGAAACGAAAGGTTTCTGGTGCGTCAAAGGAGGAGAAGGCTGGCGCCAAGGACGAGCTATCAGACGAGATCAACAACGAGGACAAGCAAGTCGTCCAAAACGGTAAGCCAACTTCTGTGCTCTCTAACTTACAACGATATTGGTCTTTGCTAACGAGGATGTGAAATTATAGTGATCAACATGGTTAACAACAGACTTACGGTCCTTAGGAAGAAGATGCGTTTGATTGAATCGGCTTCGAAAGCACAGCAACAACAGGGGCAGAGGCATCAGCAACAGGACCTGATGCGTCGCCGCAGCGGAGAGATGACATCCCGCAGCGTCCCTGCTTAGCAAGACTCGGCGTTTTCTTATGAATGAACGACACAGACCCAAAAGCAAGATATCGGCATTACAAAGCTCATGTGCCCCACGGCCGCTACCATACTTCGATCGCGCCTTTTATGGCCACTCTCCACTTCACTCTCGTCTCCGTTGTTTTCGTCTATCTATTTTTGTTATCATGCTACATACCATACCAAGGAGTTAGGGTTTGCTTTTATTTGTCTCTTCCACGTTGTCTACCTTGGGCCAGCTCCCGGCAGATGGCCTGGTTTGACATTACACATTGCGCTGGCGCCATAGGCTCGTGCTTTTCTCTTCATATTGTCGGAGGTAACACCAAACTTGGGGCGCTTGGCAGAGCTTCATGGAATTACTACCCTCTGGACGGTTTGACTTATCAAAGGCGTTTTGAGGAAGGTACACATTATCGAACACATTTTCAAGGGGGGATACTTACTACCAGATTGTTGATAAGACGGTTTTCTTTTTCGGAGTGTCATGTTCAAGCGGCTTCTTCTGACTATTTTTGGTTTCAGTGTGTTTTAATATCCTTTTTAGGATCCTTTGAGGTCAGGTTTTTTCGGTTGTTACTAGCAGCAAGTTCATGCAGTTGTGGTTACTAGCAGATATCAGGCCCAGTGCCTGTCATTTGGATGAAACAATAAACATATCCTTCATATATCATGACTTCCGCTTCTCACACATTTGTTGACCAAGAGGAGACGTCTTGAACAGATGAGTGCACCCTGGAGTACGCCTGCCAAGCGAAGCCAACTCATCTGATCATTAACCCGGCCTCCCAGCCGTGTGACCACGAATATGCGATAAATTCGTTGTCCTTCAAATGACGCTCATGAGTGTACTATTACGCTAAAATACTTTGGGTATATTATCTCCATATCAACGCGTTCCCTTCTCTCCTTACCATCCAAATTTCAAACTCCCTTCGAAAACGTCTGTCCACCCATCTTCTTGTCCAACTCCACGCACTCACTCAACCCACAAAGCTCAAAAAGCTCCCTGATCCCACCCGGCACCTGCTCACCACTGGCATCCTCCCCATCGCTCTTTTGCTTTTCGGTAAACCCAGCAGTCACCGCCCCCGTCTCCATCAACTCCCTCGCCGCCTTCTGGTATGCCAAATACGCATGCGTCATGGCAAAGCAGGGCCAGATGGCAATCCTGTACCCCAACTCCTTGGCCTCTTTGGCGTTCACCAACGGCGTCAGTCCGCCGGGTACCAAATTGACCAAACACGGCGTTGGGGCCATGGTCTCGGTAAACTTCTTCATCTCTTCCCGATCCTTGACACCTTCCAGGAACACTACGTCCGCACCGGCTTCCACTGCGGTTTTCAACCGGCTAACTGCCTCATCAAAACCCATACCCTGCAAAGCGTCGGTCCTGGCGATGATGACGAGATCACTCTGCAACCTCTCCCTCGCTTCGCGCGCCGCTTTGATGCGTGATGCGAAGGTGGTAACGTCGACGAGTTCCTTCCCGCCCAAGTGGCCGCAGCGCTTGGTGGTTACTTGGTCTTCCAAGTGCAAACCAGCTACACCACCCAATATGTAGCGCTCGACAGTCCGGGAGACCATTACCGGCCCGCCGAAGCCGGTGTCGATGTCGGCGATTAGGGGCACGGAGCGATCGAGGGAGGCGAGCGTGGACGCTTGACGGACCATGTCGTCCGCGGTGGTTAGGCCGAGATCAGGCATTCCCAAGAGGGAAATTGCTGTGCCTGCGCCGGTCTGTAGCACGATGAAGTTGTTAGCTAGGGTTAGGGCCGAAGGTGAGATTGGTGCGGACTGCGGACTGCATGCAAACTTACCATGTACAGATTCTTGAAACCCTGCTGAAGACAAACCCTTGCAGAGAGACCATCTTGCACGCCCGGGCAAACGATGAGCTCATCCGAGTCGAAGAGTTGAGCGCGGAGCTTGGCTGCTGCTTGGTTTATTACTGCCATTTTGTCAATTGTGAAGTGATAGTAAGTATTGAGATGGATGGGATGAGGCGAGAGAGTAAACTTCAATGGACCAACAAGCACAAGAACTGAGAGGATTTTGTATGCTTTTATTTGAAGAATTGAAAACCGATCTGTATACAAGCGTTTACTAATCCAACATCGCGAACATCCACCGACCGCTCTCCGGGTCAAGTGCGTGGCGGAGAGTTTTTATCGACCGCCCCCGGAGTTAAAACTCGGCGAATGCGCGGGCACGGCAGGATCGTTGTTGACATTATGTTCCATTGATCTCCGCTCCGCTTTCGGAGTTCGGTTTGTCAAGCTGTCGGGATCTCCCAACTTTAAAAAATCATGCCGATTGAAAGCGGCAGGAGCGGCAAATGTAGCGTGGGTGGTGGAGAGTGGGATGGATGGATCGTGGGGAGAGCGGGGTGGGGGCTTTTCATTTTGACCAAGATTATTCCTTGGTGACCATCAAGGTTCGCATTTTCTCTGTTTTTGTTTATTTGTTTTCTTCACGGGTTTCTTTGTCAAGACATTCTGCTTTAATGCCACGAACTAAATATCAAACACCATGGCGCTCACGAAACTATTGGCGATATACCACAGCTTCCCTTGCGACAACATCAACATTTTGCAACCCCCATTCGATACGATAAATCTTCACCATGTCCCCCACGCCCCTACGTCTTCTCGTGGGGGGAGACGTGAGATGAGTGAGGTCGGAATGCGTTGCCGAGAGTGAGACATTCCTCCGCTTGGCTTGCTTACATACTCTTCAACGTTGCCAAACTTGAGCCTCAACGTTCCATCGCCGCAAATCATGGGGTAGGGACGAACGTCGTCCGATCTTTCGGTTTCATCCGGAAGCTTCACCTCTCCTCTGGCGGCGCTGATTTCTAAAATTGATCTGCTACTCGTGTTTTAACGTGCTTGAGCTGTGTCTTTTGTGTTGATTGATATCCCTTGGTTGCTCCGGCCTCTCATAAAGCGTATTAACTCCCAATCCCGACCTAACTCCCCAAACCACCACACAATGGCAGCGACATTCCCCCCCCTCCTGGACCCTCACCCCCTCCGCCCGCCTCGAAATCTTCACCACAAAAATCCTCCCCGCAGAACTCCAACCTTGCCTCCCTTCTCCGTCCACAACAACAGAAGACACCACCAACTTCAACCTTCGACGACGACGACGACGACCCCTCGCCATCCTAATAGTCGGCCAAACCGGCGCCGGCAAAACCCGTCTCGCACCCCTCCTCCTCCGCGCCATGACCACTTCCCACCCCTCCCATGCACCACCGCCAGCGCACTTGATAGCCGACACCTACAAGACCTACCACCCCTTTTACAGCGCCTGCCTGTCCCAGTTCCCTCCAGCGCAAGCCTCCGTTTTAGCAGGACTCGACGCCCGGCTCTGGCTACAAATGGTCTGCCAACACGCCGCCGAGCACAAAATCGACGTGCTAGTTGAGTCAGCGTGCAGACATCCGGATGATTTTCGGAAGCTGGCGGAGATTTTTCATAAAGGGGGTTATGTGACGAAAGTGGCTATCTTGGCGGTTCCCGAGGCGTTGAGTCGGTTGGGGTGTTTGGTGAGGTATTGGAACAAGCTGCCGGAGGCGGGGTCGAGGGGACTGCCTGTTAGGTTGACGCCGAGGAGGGTGCATGATGAGAGTTATCGGGGGCTGAGGGAGGCGGCGAGGTGGGTTGATGATGATGAGGGTGAGGCTGTGGATGCGGTTGTGGTGGTTAGGAGGGGGAATTTAGTTGGGTATGGGAATGAGAGGGTTGAACTTGATGATGGGGGGAGGAAATGGGTGAAGGAACCGGGAGCGCTGAGGGCGTTGGAGATTGAGAGGGCTAGGAAATTATCGGAGGAGGAAAAGAGGATTGTGGAGGAGGATTTGGAGGTTTTGAGGAGGGTGGGGGATCCGAAGGTTGATGAAGAGGTTGAGGCTATTCAGACGCTGGTGGATGGGATTGGGGTTGGGTTTTTGGGGACTTTTTCGGATCTGGAGCCGCTGGATGCGGATGAGTTCGTTAGGAGCGGTCTCGAGGAACGGTGATGTACACGGAAAAGGGGAGCCACCAAAGTCATGAATTCCGTGTTGCATGCTTCCGCCACAATTTTATGTTGGAATGCTGTTATTAGCACCGGTTATTGATCTTCCTTCTCTAGAGAACCATTTGACACGATGCTCCGAGTAGACTAGTGAGGTTGTCATTGCCAGTCGTTGGAGTTCCGTAGACTTATCTCTCAACTATGTCACTCCATTGGGAGCTCGGAGATCTTGTCGCCTATGGTAAGTCGTCTGAACTATGCGATGGCTTTGGTAGCAAGTATTTCATCCAACCTTTGATCCTGACGTTGTACATCTTCTCCTCGACTCTCACCATATCAGGTATAAGACTCACAGCTTCACTTTTTAAGCCTCTCATCGACCCAAATAAATCTCCTCCCCCATCCTTCTTCCACAAAGCTCCCGGCGTTCTCTGTTACATCTCCAGACTTCATCTACTACATCTCCAGATCCTTTTTCTACCATTGCAGGTCCATCTTAATCAAGCGAACGCTGCCGTATATCAGTATCAGTTCCCGATTCAACGCCGGATATCGAATCCCTCAGTTGTTCACCTCAATACCACGGATCAAACTCACCACTATCCATCTCCAGTCTCATTATCATTACAGTTCCCAGACCGAACCTCACGCAAAGCTCAAGTGATTCGAACGTCTCGCCCACTTATCCAAAATGTCCAGAGGAAAAGTAGGCACCGGACGCCTCAAGCCAATCTTCAGAGGGCTCAACATCGCCCTATCCGGGACCTTTGACGGTCAATGGACAGACTCAAAGATTTCCCACTGGGTCAATCTCCGAGCCGGCACGTTTAGCCGGCAGATGAGCGAGGCCGTGACACATTTTATCTGCACGAAGGAGGAATTCGACAAGAAGGGGTCCAAAGGTGGGTTTTCATGTCCGCACGGATAAATGGCATGCATGGTTGCTGGAAAATACTTTTGGTAGAGGTACCTATGCTAGGAACAGAAGCAGAAGATGATGATTGCTGACATATCTGGTTTAAATCAGTCAAATCAGCACTTGCACGCGCGTACAAAAAGGACAAGAAATGCTTCATCGTCTCCTTTGACTGGCTTGAGGATTCGTTGTTCGGAAACAAGCGGCTGCCCGAGGACGACTACTCACATGTAGCGTCGCTCAAGGCCTTGCGGGAGAAGGCAAGGTTGGAGAGGAAGATTGCGAAGGGGGTCGAGGAGGAGGATAGGGCTGTGAATGAGAGTAAGTGTTTGGATCTGTGACCACTACCTTGTTGCCTTGCGGAGCAGCAGCATTGTTGGCTAACATGTGCTTTTCAATTACCTAGACTTCTACCACGTCTACTGGGATCCCACCGACCTCTTCCAGTATAACATCACCCTTCTCCGAGATGATCAGGAGATGGGTATTCTGGGGGAGAGATACGTGGTCAAGGTGAGTGAGCCTTTCAACCCTACCTGAGGTCGAAAGAATCCCTTCCAATCCGTCTAACAACAAGATCTTGGACTTGGACATCTCTCACATAACCTAACCAAACCGATTCTGCCCCTTCACGATTCCAAAGACAGACAACTAACATCAAGAATAAAAGCTGCACGAATCCAACGCCCTCCCTCATCTCTACCAAGTAGCTGTCAGATACTACAAAAGCAAGAAGGACACCATTCCGAAGCTGCACCGACTGTCCGAAACCCCGGGTGACTTTCAGCGGGAATACGACTCGTTCAAACGCTTCTTCGAGATCAAAGTCGGGTATCCGTGGGACGAGAGACTGGTCAGGGGCGTGGGAAGTTTGGGGGCAAAGTTCTTTTCTTATCAGCCACCGGTGAGTTCAATTCCTTGCCCTCTTGGGATTAAACCCTATGCACCAGGGAACTAACCGCGAATGTGGTCGGAAAAGACGGGTGGAAAGCCAGTTGGCTGGGTCCCAAAGGAATACATCCCAAAGGAGGAGCCAACTCCGGCCTCTGAAGCTCAAGTCAACAACACCAGCTCGGAGTCTATTGTGTCGAGTCACCAATCCGTCTTGGTGCCATCCAGGTCCGAAGCTGAGGTTAACGCCGGCTCGGAATCTATGCCCAGCGCTCAACCTACACCTACTTTGGTGCCCAACTCTGAAGTTCCCCCTACTCAAGAGAGTGTACCTACCACTTCCTCCTCGCAGATTGGATGTCACGATCAAACGCATCAGAACAATCAACATCAGCAGCAAGATGAAACCCAAGTCGCCATGTCTTCAGATTCGCCCCAGCATGACACACATGAGGAGGGTTTGGAGACAGCAACGGAAGATGCACAGCTCACTGAAGATGCAAAAGCCACCAACGGAGAAGACGCAACGGTCATCGGAATGCCAGTGGTGGATGGTCAGACACTGATCATCTAGATAACTAAACGCAATTTGACACCGAAGATTACCTATGTAGGTAGCAATGGAAATGACGTACGGAACGGGAAACTTTCAAACGGGTTCCGAAGCCATGCGTGAAGGAGCCGACAAGAGCTGTTGTTGTTGGTGGTAGCAAAACACGTTTCGAATCCTTTGGGATGGATGGATGACTGGAAAAGAAAATGGGATATCGTCGTCGAACCATTCATGTGTTTGACTTGGACATGGACATGTCGGTGTCATCTTGTCCTTTGAGTGGGGAAAAAAAAAGAGGAGTTGGGTCATGTTGGTAGTTAAATATCTTATCAACCAACCGTTCGTTGCACACATCAAGAAAAAACTGCAAACAGTAAAATCGCAAGACGGAACGTTTATACACGCAGCCTTTATGGTAGACACTCTCGGCCGTCAGGCAAACACAGTTGAGAGGTTACTGGAGAGGTATAAGTACCTTTGCACCCTCAAGTTTCCTTGGATGCTGAGTTCTTGACCATCAACATTAGCATCACATCTATTCCCACAAGCAAAAATCACAACTACATCACTCAACCAACCATAATTCCCCCTTTCCAAGCCAGAAAACAGAAAAAATCACTCAACACACCCACCAAGCAAACAAAAGCCAACATGTCCCCCACTATCTCCAACACCACTTCCACATCTACTCTCGCTGCTGACACTGAGCAGCAGCAGCAGCAGCACCCCAAGGAGACCGCCTCCATTCCCGCCTCCGTCCCTGTTCAGACCACTTCCGCTACCACTACTGAGCCTACTGAGGCCGCCACCGCCATGGCTGAGAAAGTGAATGAGGAGGAGGATGCTAAGGACGCCAAGGAGGCTGAAGAGGGTGGCGAGAAGGATGCCACCACTCAGTAAGGGTAGGTAGCGACTCAGCCGTGATGGAACGCATGACGACACTAGTGGAGGAATGAAGAGATGTCAGCTCGGTGGCTAATATTTTAGACAGCCCGGGTTGGTCGGCATTGGACTTTAGGCAAACTGGGATGTGAAGGGATGTCTTGCGCAAGAGGGAAAAGGGGTAGATGGAGGTATGTGAGGCGCATAAAGCGAGGTACTGGTGGGGAAGAAAAGATAGACAAAGTATGGTTGGTCCCAAGAGGCGTGATGGGGAGGTATAGGTAGGACCTAGCGAGTTTAGTCCAATAAGTATATCGTTGAATTACTACTTTCCTCAACATCAATTTGCTCCTCCTTTGCTGTGATCCTCCCCCGTGATCTTCTCCTTCGACCCAAGTCACCCCCACTCCATCTCAAAACCTCAACTTGGGCAACACGAAAACCACCACCAACAACAAAATCATAAGGGCGTAGATATAGGCGAATAGCATCATCCTCCCCCACCATCCTTCCCCCTCCGTCATCCTCTGCAACGTGCTCATTTTGCCCGTGACCTTGGTCATCCCTTGCTCCGTCTTATTCATGCCTTCGCCCGCCCTCTCCATGACTTCTTTATCTTCATCCAGGTACGAAGAAATGCCTGCGAGGAAGCCTTGAGCTCAGTGGCGAGCTTGAGGATGGACTCAGAGAGCGCGTCTTGCTCGGCTCGCTGGTTGTCGAGGATGGCTTCAGCGGTGGCGGAGATGGTTCCTGGTTGTGTTGAAGTTGTTGTTGTTGTTGAGGGTGGGAGCAGGGAGGAGGAGGTTGTTTGTGCTGTTGGCTTTTCGTTGGTTACGTCGTCGTTGGGCTGTCGGCGGGGGCGGATTATTTGGGTGGTGGTTGTTTCTGGGTATGGGTGCTTTTCGGAGAGCGATTCTGGTTGTTGACTCGTCTCCTCCATTTCTTCTCTGTCTGCCCCTTTCTTTTCGTTCCAGTCCTGGTTGTGTGGTTGCTGTCCCCTTTCTTCAGCGTTTGGTGCCTCCTCTGCTCCCTGATCCTGGTCCTGGTCCTGGTCGTCGCCCCAACCGTGCTCTTCCTCCTCTTCCTCAAGTGCCGGCGCACCGGGTGATTTGTTGGAATCCAAACTCTCGCTTGGTGTCGCTATTATGTCGGCAAGAATATCCTCACTGTCGGAGCTATCTTGCCCATCCTCACCCTCTCCTCCATGCTTGCTGGCCTCTTCTGCCGCGGCGATCTCGGCCAAGTCGCTCAGACGCTCCGTGAGTTGTTCGATAATTTCTCGCTTCCGTATTAAGTCGGATTGGATTTCGTTCTTCCGGACGTGGATCTTGACCCCTAATGCCTCCTGCTCTAGCTTGGTGAGGAGTGATCGGGCATATTTGATGTTCTGCAAGAGATCTGTTAGCGTGCTTGACTTGAGAGTCGTCGGGTTTCGGGTGGCTCCGTACTGCTTGCGCCTTCTCTCTTTCATACTCGCTTGCTCGTAGTCTAGCTTCGCGCTCGGCGTCGGCGCGCAGGATGGTTTGTTGGAGACGGTTGAGAAGTCGGGTCAGATCCGTTAGGGGATCGACTGGGCGCGTTACCGGGGTAACACCCGTTGTTGTTAATCCTGGGATATACCGAACCATTGTGTATGTTGTAAAGATATGTAATTGTTTCTCGGTGTTCCGGTCCTCGTGGCTTTCCTGAATGCGATCTCAAAAGTGGTTGATGCCGATGTTTCGGGAGCAAGTTGGAGTTGAGGACATTGATGGACAAATGTCCTGTTGGACTTGGGACCGGCCGCACTGTGAGGCGCGAGCTTGTGTGGGCCGACAGGGACCTTCCGCGTGGCTCAGTCAACCCTAACCCCTGTCTATGGACCGCAACGTCCGAGATGTGACCTTGTCCAGTTCACGACATGAATTGTGCAACCAGACGGCAACGAAGATCAAACCATCTAGGGTACTATCGACAGACTTTTCGCAGTTCGATCATGCCATGGTTGATTTCTGGTAACATGGAACAATGGTTTAAACTAAACACCGGACCTGGATGGAAATCGTAAGGGGGTTCCATCGACTTACACAAAGAGGGTTAGGGTCTGGCTCTTATCGATTTGGAATTTGGATTAACTCACCAAAAGCTCTCGAGAGGAAACGGTGGTGTATCACAAACCGAGGCCGAGGAAACGGGATGAAAGCTCCCGCTAAACCCAGAGTTTAAAATCTCAACCCTTCCTCTTCTCATTTTGAGCTCAGTTGCTGCTCAATTGCTCACCTATCGGCCACCACACCATGACCCGGTTGGCCGTGACTCGTGCGCTGCGGAGTGTTCCCCGGGCCACCATCTTATCGAGACCACAGCTCCCCAGAACCCCATCTTTCAGGAACAGGGCTCCCCCTTCTTTGGCCAACTACACCCGCCGCAACCTATCAACAACCGCTCGCCGTTTAAGTGACAAAGACGAAGACGAAGACGAGAGAAAATGGTCAACTCCTCTGGCAAAACAGCTGGCTGAGGCCATCACGGTCTGTTGAGAGACCCCTTAACAAGATGGCAAAATGTACTGACATCAATATAGGCAACCGGGCCAGTGCCGCTAGCCAGCTTCATGCGCATGTGCCTAACTGGCGACATTGGTGGTTACTACACGGGCGCCATTGAGAAATCCGAGCAGAACCGTGACCAGTTCGGTGCCGCAGGCGACTTCGTTACGTCGCCTGAGATCTCCCAAGTCTTTGGTGAGCTTTGCGGGCTGTGGTATGTCACCGAATGGCTGGCCCAAGGACGGCCGAGTAAAGGGGTCGAACTCATCGAAGTCGGCCCCGGTCGTGGTACTTTGATGGATGATATGCTTCGGGTATGTCTGTCGCTCTCACCCTATTATCACTCGTCCATGAACCTGGCACTAACATTTCGACAAAAGACAATACAAAACTTCCCAGAGATGGCTAAGAGCATCGATGCTGTTTACATGGTCGAGGCCAGTCCCCAGCTCAGAATTGCCCAGAAGAACCTGCTATGCCGAGAGGATGCCGCCATGAGCGAGTCCAAGGTCGGATATCACAGTCACTGCAAGTACGGCAACATTCCCATCGTCTGGACGGAGACCATCAAGTCCATTCCCTATGGTATGTCATTAGATCTCTTCATACCTCCTCCATCTCCCCTTCCTGCCACAAACCAACTGACACCCTCATCCTGTTATAGACCCCGAAAAAACCCCCTTCATAATGGCCCACGAATTCTTCGACGCCCTCCCCATCCACGCCTTCCAATTAGTCGAAGTCCATCCCTCGTCTTCCGATTCCGCTCCCGCCTCCTCCCCCGTAGCGAAAATCACTACCACATCCGGTCCCAAAACATTCAAAAAGCCCTCCTCCGACACGCCAGGTGGTTCCACCCTCGAATGGCGCGAACTCCTCGTCTCCCCCACCCCTCCCTTTTCCACGCACTCTTCCCTCCGCACCCCCACCTCTCAAAACCCTCACCTCACCCCTCCCCCGGATTTCCAACTCACCTTATCCCCCTCACCCACGCGCCACTCCCTTTATCTCCCGGACCTTTCCCCCCGGTACCGCGCCATCAAATCCTCCTCCGCCTCCTCTTCCTCTTCTACCACCTCCCAGTTACCCGACGGCACTTCCCGAGGTGGCGGCCCCGGTTCCCTAATCGAAATCTCGCCAGACACATACCTCTTCGCGACGGACTTCGCCACCCGCATAGGCGGCTCCCCCTCGCATCCCAAGGCTCAACCCCGCGGCGCCGCTTTGATATTAGATTACGGCCCCGGCGACGGGAGCGTGCCGGTGAACTCGCTAAGGGGTATCAGGAAACATCACCTCGTCAGTCCCTTCGCGGAGCCAGGTCTTACGGACTTGAGCGCGGACGTGGACTTTAGCGCGATAGCGGAGGCGGCGGTGAATGCGAGTGAAGGGGTCGAAGTACACGGGCCGGTGGAGCAGGGGTGGTTATTGGAGGGGATGGGGGGTAGAGAGAGGGTTGAGAGTTTGGTTAGGGCTGGATTGCAGACGAAAAAAGGGGATGAGGAAAAGGAAAAGTTTGTCGAGGATTTGAGAAGGAGTTGGGAACGGCTGGTGGATCGGGGACCGAATGGGATGGGCAGGGTATATAAGGCTTTGGCGATCGTGCCAGAGAATGATGGGCGGAGGAGGCCGGTTGGGTTTGGGGGGGATGTTGTTATGTAGGATTTGAGAAAGAGTGTTTGGGTGTAGGTGAAGTGAGGCATCAGCTTTTCCTGAACAGCCAGGCTTACAGCTTGTACTATATGTAGTAGGAAAGAGTTTCATGTCTATTATTGTACACAAAGAAACCGGAATATGCTCATCGTTCTTTTCTCCATTTAGCCTCGCCGAGCCTACGTAGCCTCAATGTACCGATTTCAACCTCTAAACGACAAAGTGAATTCTAAGAAATAGGAGTAAGATGGCCGGAAGAAAATGCAGGCATCCAACAAACGCCATCAAGAACAGATGTAGTAGAAACCAAGAAAAGACAAAACATATGATACACGGCCATGTTGCTTCGGTCACAAACCGACAGTACACCTTCTTGGGATGTTTCTCGTCAACAAAAATTAGACTCTTCATAGTTATTCTACTAATCCTCCCACCAAAACATCTTGTGATTAAATAGCCCTGGAGCCCTTTACTTCTTGGCTCTCACCAGATTGCCCTCCTCGTCACTATCCTCGTCAGACGAGAACTTATCGCCATCCTCACCGACCGCAAAGATAGTCTCCCCATCCATGGAGTCCCGATGAGGGCTAGGTCTCCTCTGTTGTTGTTGTTGTTGCTGCTGCTGCTGCTGCTGGGAGGAGCTGCTTGGTCCTGCTAGGTTTCGTGACTGGGGCTGCAGACTAGCTCCAGCACCCGAACCCAAGCCCGCATTTTCATTCTGGTTCTTCCTTCCCTTCATGCCAACCTGGGCCTCTTCGTCATCACTATCATCCGGCGCACCGATATCCAAGTTCGAAAATTCGATAGTGCCGTCGTCATCCTGAGCAATCTCGTCACTCATGGCAAATCGCTTGTTGTTCGCTGTCGGGCGCCACACGTAGGCAATGAAAGCGACATCGGCAAAATAGACAAGGTTCGGCCAGCCGTCAAGGATGAACCATCTGCTCTTCCAGTGGAAGGGAACGTAACCAGGATCGCTGGCTTGAGAAAACTCGAAGCTGTTCCAGAAGAAGAAGCCAAAGATGACGAGGATGGAGATGAGGATGCACCACCACAGCTTCTTGTACATGCCCTCCTTGACGTGCTGCTTGCGTTCCTTGAGGTCCTTGAGGGTCCAGCTAAGCGAATTGAGCGTCCATACATAAAAGGCCGTCAAGGTACCCGCCAGAGGGAGGATTATGAGTAGAACGAAGGGGCCGGCGCTGTCTGGGTTGACAAGAAGACCCGTCATGGCGTAGACGATACCGAAGACGAAGTGGGCAATGGCGAGCCAGCGGACGTAGATCATGGTGCGGCCGAGTGTGTGCTTGACGACGCCGTAGCCCATGCACACGATAAGGAGGAGGAAGAAGGAGAATGAGTTGCGAGCGGCATTAAGAATGGCCACCACAATGAGTAGTACGCGGGAGCCGAGGTTCGAGCCGTGGCGGTTGAGGAAGTCTGGAGATCAACGGTGATTAGCGATTACCTAGGCAGAAGGGCCGAGCTGCTAGAAAAACGTACCGTAGAAACCCCATGTCATCAGCATTTCAACGACGAGGAAGATAAGAATAGCTGTAATGTAATTCTGCACAGCCAAGATATCCGAACGGTGCTGGAAGTACAGGAAACCCCAGAATGCCAACACCAAGGCGTACAAGATAGTGATGCCGCCATAGAATGGCAGCTTGGGGATCTGTGTAGCAGGGAGCTCTCCATAGGCGTTCCGGAACTCGACAAGCGCCTCGTACTTATCGGCCGTATACTTGTCCGTAAGCACGCAGTAGTAGCCAGTGTTCTTGATCTGGTACTTGACTGGGGCCGATTTCTTGAGATGGATGGCGTCGGTGAAGACAATGTTCTTGGATAGCGCAGCGGCGTTGGGTGCGAGGATGTACTCGCCCACGTTGGTGGTGTTGCAGTATCCGGCGTCGACATACTTGGGCTCGCAGATGCCAACCCTACGGTCGGCGCCCTCAGGAAGGACACCGACAAGGTCCGAGTCCTGCCATTCGAAGATAAGGAGACTGACAATGGGATCGTCGCCAGCGTCGGAGCCGAAGTCTGTAAACTTGACACTGATGAAGGGATTGACCGGGCCAGTCCATGTCTCTTTACTGTACATGCCCGCGCATCGTTGCCGGTTCTCTTCGGTTTCGTCCTGCCATTGAGGATGACTTGTCAGCACTTTCGTGTTGTCTATTGTAGGACTAATGATGTGTCTAGGTGTGCAGCCTGCCACTTACTAGCTTGACCTCCAAGGCCTGTGCCGTCCATGCGGACAACACCAGGAGGAAGAAGGCATACGCCCAGCTCCTCATTGTAGCTGTTCGAGAGGGTGTCGGTCCTCAGCCGTGGTGTTTTGTAGGGTGATGTCGTCGGTTTGGCGTAAATCGTTCGTTCGTTCAGCAGTGCCTCCGAGGTTGCTGCTGCCGTCGTGTCTCCGGAAGAGATGGATCAAGGGGAGGATGGGGCTCGGTCGCGAAACATGGGGTTCGTTATTCTCGGTTACGTATGCGGGAATCCCTTGGCTGCGACTGTGGTGGCTCGTGGGGCGAACCAGACGTCGATGGTTGAAATTTGAAAAGGGACGGGAGTCAGGGAGAGTCGAGAAAGGTGGAAGAGGACAAAAGTTGAGTTGAAACAGTTGTCGTGGAGCAACTGTTCCTGTAGCTGTTTGGCTGCTGTGTCCCTCCAAGTGGAAGTGTACTTGCACAGGCACTCTGTCAACTCCCGGGCAGTTGTGTCGTTCCGCACCACCACCAGCACAGCCTTGCAATTAATATGAGCACAGTATCGCCCGCACTGGCAGAGTCCCCTGTTGGTTCAGTTCTAAATCTGGTGCAAAACGGGCACCTCAACGGCCGACGTCAGGGCCGTTCCAGCAGTTCTCGGTATAGTGCGGGCTGTGGGGCGGCTGACGAAGCTCATGTCATGTCATGCAGGCGGATAAGATAAGTAAGACTTAAGCTAAGGGACCGGGATCTCGACTTGTTCCCAAGTTCTAGACTTTGTCGCAAACACCACACTTACAACCATCTTCAACCCGCCGGCTCGACAAGATGGGCAAAGGAACCGATAAACTATACATCACCCACTCCGAGTGGTCGTCCTCGGATGCGTACGGCGCTAGTAGCGGTGTCAATGCTGGCGCGCGTGCCCAGCGGCGCGGTGCCAATTTCAAGAAACTTCCCTTCAACTTCTGCGCCGCCAGTCTCCAACCCTTTAAGAACCCAGTCTGCACTCCCGACGGCACCATTTTCGATGTCGAAGTCATCGGCGCATGGCTCGAAAAGCACAAGACGAACCCCGTCAACGGCGAGCCGCTCTCGGCCAAGGACCTGATCAAGCTCAACTTTGCGCGCAACGGCGACACCACCGACTCGGACGAGAACAAGGGCGACCTCATCGATCCCGTCACCTTCAAGGTCTTCACCGACAATACCCACATTGTCGCCATCCGCCATGGCTCCTACGCCAACGTCTTCGCCTGGGAAACCGTCGAGCGCATGAACATCAAGGCCAAGATGTGGCGCGACCTGGTTGACGATGAAGAGTTCGGCCGCAAAGACATCATCACCCTGCAAGACCCTCAGAACATCTCCAACAGCCGCGACCTCAGCCAGTTCAAATACCTCCAAGACGGTCAGGAAGCCATCCTCACCAAGGAACAGGAAGAAGAGCGCAAAGGCGGCACCGTCAACATCGAAGCCCTCGGCCGTGTGGGGGAGAAGGTTCTCCGCGCCAAGGAAGCCGTCGAGCGCGCTCGCGCAGCCCGACAAGCCGGCGGCGCGGACGTCAACCGTCTCACCCAAGCCCTCACCACCTCGACTTCCTCCGCCACCGGTACCAACAAATCGATTGCCCCCCACGCCCAATCCCTAATCCAAGAGCGCAAACGCCCCGCCAACGCAGCAACCTACACAACCGGCCTAACCGCCGCCTCCTTCACCTCCACGGGTCTCACCCCTTCAACCTCCGGCACCCTCGCCCTCTTGTCAGAAGAGCAATACCTCCTCAAGCCCTCGCACCGCATCAAAACAAAGGGTTACGTACGAATGGACACCAACCTCGGCGCCCTAACCCTCGAACTCCTGCCCGAATTCGCCCCCAAAGCCGTCTGGAACTTCCTCCGCCTTTCCGAAAAGGGCTACTACAAAGACGTGGCCTTCCACCGGTCCATACGCAACTTCATGATCCAAGGCGGCGACCCCTCCGGCACGGGGCGCGGGGGCCAATCGATATGGGGCAAGAATTTCGAAGATGAATTCGAAGGGCCCATGACCCACTCCGCCCGTGGCATAATCAGCATGGCCAACAAGGGCAAGAATACAAACAGCTCGCAATTCTTCATCACCTACCGCCCTGCTTCCCATTTGGATAGGAAACATACCATTTTCGCCAAAGTCATCGAAGGACAAGATACGACCCTTACAAAAATGGAGAATGTGGCCACCGATGGCTCGGATCGCCCTCTCAACAAGATTGTTATCAAGGATGTGGTTATCTTGATTGATCCGTTTGCGGAGTGGTTGAAGGAGAAGAAGGATAAGGAGGGGGAGGAGGAACGTAAGAAAGAGGTGGCGAGACGGGGAGGTACCGAGGATGATCGGACGACGTGGACGGGGAAGAGGATCAGGGCTGATGGGACGGTGGAGGGGGGGCAAGGGACCGCAGAAGGGGGGCCGAAGGTGGGCAAGTATTTGGATGTGGGGGCTGCGAAGAAAACAACGACGAAAGCGGCAGAAGAAGAGGCAGAGGTTGATACGTGGGAAGAACCGGTGAGGAAAAAGGCCAAGATGGGAGGGTTTGGGAATTTTGATGGGTGGTAATTTTGGGTTGAATAGCATTTGCATCAGCTTCGGAGTTAGGTTGGGTCCCGGTTTGGTAAATCGGTGAAAAAAGGATCATGGCACAAAATGTTTGTTTGTTTACATCAGGGGCTGATAGTAAGAGGAAAAATGTTGCATTAATTACAGGGAAAATCGCACACTGTAAAACCAGATACTCCAGCCCTGTCAGGTCATCAACTCCTTTACGTTCTTCCCATGTCTCTGGTATCATATTGTTATTTGACTTTGTACATTTGCTTGTTTTGGTATTTTTGTGTGTTTATGTTGCTCTCCTTAGTCGTGTAGTATAGCCTGTACTCCAGGCCTTGCGCGAGACGCTTTCTAGTCCAGACGAGTAGCAATTGTGAGGTATCGTCCACCGAGATTTGGCCTATCCCCTTTAACCGAGCGCGTATCGTACACCCGACTTCTCCGTCCCGAGTTGTACCTTTGCACACAACTCCTCAGGTTTCTTCCATATCAGATCAGCTGGGGATCTATCGTTCCTTTCATTCCATCCTCCATCATAACCGGCCCGTCATGATAGAACTGCTCTTGTCGAAGTCGCTCATGGAACAGCTCATGTTGTTGTTGCACCACCCTCAGATGCAGCGGCATATCCTCCATTTCATCCGCGTTCATCCAATCGTATCCAATCCCTAGTCCTGCTGGCAGCCACAGCCTTTGATCCTCTGACCCATTTTCCTCCTGTCCATCTTCTTCCATATCCACCGCATCGTGCTCGTCAAGCAGATTGGCCACGGCATCTGCTTGCTTTACCCCCGTCTCCATGTACAGCGTGCGTAACCTTCCAGCGACGTAACCCTTCACCTCCCCCGTGCACACCGATGACATCCCAACCATGTACAATGGCCAAACCACCGGGCTCGTTGCTGATACCAAGAGCACGAAGCGGTTGGCCTCCTCTTCTGCGTCTGCTGAAGCGGGAGTTACCGGGTGAAGGATGGTGAGGTTCGCGGAATGGGCCCTAGATGGGTCCAGAGGACTCTGGCCGCTACCGCCGGAATCGGATGACCTGGCAGATGGGGACGTTGGTGGACTGGGGGTTTCTCGGACTTCGACACTCGATATTGGCGTTGAGCATGAGTTGTCGACGCGACCGTTGGTAGGGTCCACAAGCCCAAGTATCTGGGGTACACTGCCGCATATTGCCTCCATCATTTCCTTCAACTTGCGCTTAGCACTTGTGAACTGGTCTGCGTAAGGGCCGGATGTTGGCTTTAGGCAGAGCCCTCGTGAAATCTGTTGGATCTCGCAGATAATCGTCTCCAGCACAAGCATCCTGAGCATACGGAGACTGTTCCAAAATGTAGTATCCCATAGTGTGGGGTAGATATTGCATACCCCGTTCAGCACCGCCGGATGATGTCTCGTCAGTCGGAATCTTTTGTAGGGTAGGTCCGGAGAGAATTGGGACGAGAGTTGTTCGAATCCTTCGTCGAGACGGAAAAGATGAGCGAGGATGCTATCCGAATCTACCAAGGCCCCGCTTAGCATGTCGGCACGCACTTGTAGGAAGTCGTGCATGAGTGGTAACGCAGAGAGTGTAAGGCCTCCGTATCCCTTAAGTTGTATGGGTTGAGGCATTACATGCCACAAGTCGATCAGTGGTTGCGGCATTGGCATGGGCTCGCGGGACTGCAGACAGCTCAGCATGACCCGTTGGCAAAGCATCGAGAACATTTTGATCCCTGCTTTTGTCTCGAACTGAGCAGCTCCTCGCAGTTTTACGAGAGCAACTGCACCGTTGATGTGTTCTTGAAAAGCTTCGACAGTCCGCATGCGAGATGGATGCTCAGCTATCAGCTCGAAAAGGCCGAGAATTAGTACCGAGAGCATCGTAGTGTCTTTGACAGCTTCGATAGGCGTTTCTAAAGCGTGATTGGTCAAGCGAAGAGCGGTCCCATATGACTTCCAAGCGGCTTCCATCATATCCGGTGATCGAGTGACGCCTGCGAGACCAACCAGCCCAACGGCCGTCATACTGGCAAGGACGCCGTCAACCCGCCGGTCATGGGCAACCGATTTAGGCTTCCATACGTCAAAGACAAAGCTGAAATTGTGGTGACAGGTCGTCTCTTCGACGGATACGTATCGTGAAAAGAAATAGGCAATGCCTTGCTGCTGACAACTTGGGGAAAGGTCATACAATAGGGCAACTGCCGGAGTAACTGGCCAGCTTCCCGAATCGGGAGACATCGGTGGACTGTCTTCATCTTCCGATGAAGCAGCTTCGGGGGTCGGGCTCGTGGGCCTAATAGGACTTGGAACCAGAAGCGAGAGTGATGCTTGCCGAGGCTCCGGTGTTGTTGAGCATCTGCTCATGGAACTCGGGGATCTTGGCGCCTTGACGGTGAGATGGCGACGTCTTCGAGCCTTTTCCATGACATGGTTACTCTCGTCTCTAAACATCAAATCAACGATGTTTCGATACCCAGGGCACTCCTCTTTTCTCTTTTCACACTGGCCACAACCCGGAGCCCTTTGATCACACTAGCTGCATGTTAGCCAATATGTTCTGTACATGTGCATTACATGAGACTAGAGCAAGCCCGACGGGCATGACGAATGATATGGGATGGGGGAGTTGCGCGGGAGGGTCTTGGGGCGCCGCCGTCAACTACATAGCTGGCCGATCATCCGCTAGGAGGAGTGGGGGCGGTGGTCACCTCTTGGGTATATATGATATGACCCGGGAATAGGGATAACAGTCAAGGTGTGAAGGAGCTGCCGAAAGTGGTGACTTACGCGAATCTTACGTTTCCGGCACACAGAGCACCCTTTGCTTGGCTTCCCGCAGAATACCATGTTCACGACTTCCGAAGGGGCCGCACCGAATTCAGTGGGTTTGATCAATCAAGTGACGAATAGGTCGGGGCCTTGGTGTTCAGCTTGGGTAGGGCGCAAATGATAGAGCAATAGCCAAAGGCAGCTCGACGCCACGGCTGTGTCCGAATCTGGCAAAGTACTATAGCCTGTACAGTTGCTCGAAGGTAAACCGGAACACATGCCCCGACTAGTAGGAAAGGCGTTCAGGTAGGCGTATTGAAGGCTGCGTGTGGTCTGTATCAAAGAGGAAGGTCGATATGTCGAGCAAGTCGTCCTGGTTCGCTGCCTGTCGAATAAGGTGGGACAAGACGGACCTGCCGATGCAAGAAGGGATCCGGTCAACGGGCAGGCCTTACTTAACCTGATGAGATAGGTCAGGATGTTGGGTTTTGAAGGAGGCCTCGAAGAAGGATATGTATAATGAGTCGTCTCGTCTAGAGACTGGCAGCCTTTTACATAGATTTGGTGATGGTGCCAGTATGATGAGCCATGCCGAGCCTAAGCCTGTCCGCTCGATCGGTTGTGCATAGGGCTATGGCTATGGCGATGCGTAGATGGGAGGTGCCAGGCGAGAGTGTGACGGCAGTGTGTGAGTGGTGCTCTAGGCGTGTGTGGAGGACGTGAAAAGAGGACCACTGGGCTGGTTTGCCTTAGCTGCTCAAGTAGCCATACGCACAGCCTCACCGAAGACTTGGCAGGGACACGGAAGGTCAGGAAAATGGCGGGTTCATAAAGTCAAAAGAGAGCGAGACATGGGCAACAAGCCTCATCCGCGAGCGCCCCCGGCAGCCCATGACTGAGTTCCGCGCGCTCACTCGGCTCATGACATGCTGGACTGGTACGGTATCATTGTTGCGCCGATATCTTCGGGCAAGGTCGAACCAATCCGCCGTGGGAGTCGTGGCGAAAGAAGAGAGAGCATAGGTGGCTGTTCGATTGGGTGAGTGTGAAGTTGGTGAAGTTGGAGAGAGAAGTTGAAGCTGCAGACCAAGGTGATGAGGTCCGAGTCATCTCATTGGTGTGTCTCGACTACCCTTTCCTATTTGGGCTACCTGTGCGAGAGCAATATTGACCCACTCCAGCCACAAAGATCCACTTGGAGATCTTGGCGGAACGACTTTGGCCAGTGGGCAAGGGGCACCAAAAGCTTAATTGTTAATGATCCCCTGCAACGGAAAGTCGGATCTCTCCACAAACCACTTCCCTTCCACAGAGCACCGCCTCCTGACAACTTCAAAGTTGGTGATGTTACTCCATGTGCGGAATGCTTCTGGAATGGTTTCACCAACACTTTCAATTTCCGTCGTCTGCAAGATCGAGCTAATTTTACCTGGAACCACCCCGTCATTGCACATCGTTGACCACTTTAGGTTTGAAATATGCCTTACTTCCCGTCTCTGAGCCCGTGTCCAGCCCGTTATGGCATCAGTTGTGTGCGCCACGAGTCAACGGGAGATGTTAGAGGTCTTCTCTCATTGATCCAAAAACGAAGTCCCTATCATCGAGCCATCTCTGGATGAACCCAGGCCCGTGCCAGAACGCCAGCTGTTACACGACACCACTTGGGGCATGATGTGGACTGGACCTTGCTTATTCCGGTTGGATCCGTTATCGTTGCCCGTCAAGAGACATCTGGCCACTTTTATAGTTGGTCCTTAAGAAGTGATCCTATGGACATAGTTCAGACGAGTGAGACAAGGTCAGATGTAAGCTCTATGGACGCCATTGGAGCTATGAACACCATGAGCTGCTTCGGTCAAATCTCAAGGGCAACCTTCAAAGACATGCCTTGGAATATGTTGCGCGAAGGTTTACGATATCGTGAAACGTGGCTGCGGCGGGATGCTCAAGCTTCAAGCAGCACAGTTTAACAAAGTAAGGGACCACCGCCATCAAACGACATATCCGATGCCAATATCGCCGAATTTGTGGTTCACCAAGTGGACTAAAGCCACAAGGGTCCTACCTATGCCCACCCATCCCACAAGAACCACAAGGCGATACAGTTGCGCCTTTAAAGCATTCATAAGGCTTTCACTACCATTCAAGAACAAACCCTCCGCTTCTTCTAACCAATCATTGTTGCCGCTGAAGCTAGAAAGCCTTACCTGGAGGTTTCTTATATGGTCATACAACAGCTCCGGGAACGCCCATTTGGAAGGCTTGGCCTGCAGCCACCTTTCGAGATTGCACACCCACCCACTCAGTGCTACCCGTCCCTTCATGCCCTTCAATAGGAGTCAAAGACCCAGATGTAAGTTTGTGGCTGTAACCCCATCTTGCTTCTGTCCGCCGCGGATACGAACTGCGGAACTGGAGATAATTGATCAGTGCCAAAATAGCGACCTTTCAGTTCTCTCCATTTGCACGATTCGCACAAAAAAGTTGACGAAACTCCCCTTCGAAACTTCACCTGATGCGGAGGATAACACCGTACAAGTATGGCGCTAGAGATTCCATTGGTCTCGGTAACCGATAAGGACCAATAAAAGTTAATCCTTCAACTTGTTTAGTTTGGTTGATATCGGTAACCTTGAACGTCCACCGAAGCTTTGCTTCCTCAGCTTAGTACAGGTATCGTGTGACCAGATGATGACATATGTATCTGCCATTCATGCTTTTCCCCTCGATTCAGCAATGAATTTACACTAACTAATACACAAGTCGACTTGTCATCATCATCAAGTTGCAACTGAACTCAACTGAATTTCACTTTTGACACCCCAAAAATAGAAACTAGGATGACGTTACCGGCAAGATAACCGAACAGATCAGATCAGTCCCGCGGAGTCTGTACAGCTCAGTTCGATGAATGCATGTAACTAAGCGACGGGGCATCGCCGCATCGGATGGGGGCGGTGCAGCCAGCGGCTTTCTTAGATCTCGCCAATGTGATATTGTTTACTTTATGCCATCCATCCATGTGTGCAATGTACCTACATACCTAACTTGAGCATGGATACGCTACCCGCATTCTTGGTTTTGAATTGAAATGAATTCATCATTTAAATGTTTTCAGAGTTTTTTTTGGTCATACTTGTGGTTCAGCTCCGGTCCCGGGCCGTGTCCGATATTCTCCACAATTACCGGCCCCCATATTTCCGCCTGTCCTGTCCCACATCCGGATCCGGGCCGGACACCGAAGAGGAGCGTTCCAGTGTAGTGGCTTCCATGCCGCTTTTGAACGGCTTGTCGCAATGAAGGCGAGAGTGGACTGGACTGGATATCGAAAGTCCGAATTTTACTTCTTTGTGCTTATAGTAACCTCGTAGCCTTTCTCCGTCTCAACCCAGCCGTACAGCATGGCATGTATGCAACCCATCCCATCCCATCCCATCCCATCCCGCTCACATCACATCACATCTCCTTCTCAAAAGCATCATTCAGATACCCAACAAAGCTCTCCCTCAACCTCCCCGCCGCCAACGTGCCCACCGCCTCCAGCCCAATACCACCCCTATTCAGCGCCACAAACGCCCTCCTAAACCTCTGCAACTGTGGCAACCCAACCTTTTTCCCGGGCAGCTCCACCTCCAACATCTCCTCGTCCTCTTTTCCTGTCGGCCCACCACTCCTCGACAAACTCACCGTCCCTCCCTCTCCCACCTCAGCCTGCTGCTCCAAGATCTTCTTGACAATATCCTGTGTCTCCTTTTCCAGGACATACAAATAATCGCCGCCGGGGTCTTTGTCCCGCTGCACAGTCGACTTGTTCGCTCTTATGAGCTTCTGCGGCTTGTTGACGATCACCTCGTCCCAGATCTGGTCAAACACCTTGCGGGCGTCCTCCGGCGAATCGGTCCAGGTGAGGATGAACAAAGGGGAGTCCCAGCGGGTCATGGGGTTCGGTTCCTCGTAGCGGAACACGAGGTTTTCCCAGTTGGAGCGGGGCAGGTATGGCTCTTGCGGGGAATCTGTGTCGCCGAGGGTTACATCTTCGTCGAAATCGGGACCTGTGCTCTCCTCCTCCTCCTCCTCCTCGAACTGTTTCTGTTGCCAGTTTTGGTGGGATTGTTGGTAAGTTTCGGGGTGGAGATCGCCGGATTTTGGTGCTGCTCCTGCTACTGCTGTTGTCGTCGTTGCTGATGATGATGTTTGTGTTGTTGATGACTCGTCTTTTGTGATGTTGTTGTCGTTGCCATTCTGCTCCTTCTCCTGCTCCTGCTGCTCCTGCCTTCGTATCCTAGCCTCGTTAACTCCCCTCGCCCGCGCCACGGGACAACCGATTTGCACCAGACCAAACGGCGTCTGCACGTTCTTGGCCTCGCAGTAGAGCTGGTAGCGCCACCCCTTGATGTAGTTCAGCGTGTCGAGAATGACAATATCGCGGGGGGAGAGCACGCGCTTGACGGCGCCGTAGAGCGCGGCGCGCGCATCTTTTTCCGAGGCGTTGGCGGAGCGGACGTGCGCTGGCGTGTGCGCTGGGTCGAGGTCGTAGACGGAGCGCGAGATGGAAAGGCTTTGGTCGGAGATCAAATGCAGGCGGAACTTCGGCGTCGAAGAAGCAGAGGACTCGGCGGCAATGCGCTCGGTGAGATAGTCGTAGAGTTGCGCGGCGCGCGTGGATTTGCCCGAGGTCGGTAGGCCGGTTATGAGGATAAGCTGGAGGACGGGGAGGACATGGTTAGCGGATGCGACGAGGAATAGAAGGGAGATCAAGTGGTGGTGCGCTTACCGGCATGTCTGTAGATTCTTCATGGGTATCTCGACAACGGATTCTAACTAGACCCTCGGTACGTCGTAGGAACCAATATAACCCGTTTTTTGTGTTGTAGTTTTTGTGGTGTTGTTCCAAAAGATGTTTGGGGATCCGTCATGGCGGGGTACGGATTTGCGATTTCTCGATAGCAACTTCCCAGGTGCCCCACCCATCTGCTATCAAGGTGCCTTGTCTTGGCGGGCATTTTGGACTGCGGAATCTCTAGAGCGGCTTTCTTCTTTTTGGCCTTCCTACAGACTAGGCTACCTCTGTTCAGTTATATTTCGAATCATTTCTTTCAAGGTCTTGAAGTCTTTGCCCTTTTCTTTCCTTCTTCTTGGAGTTACAGCCTCGTTGCGAAACATAACATCTTGTGCTCCACGGACACCCAATATCAAATCAAACAAAATCATTGACTTGCTACCCTGTATTCAGAGAGTTGAATTCTGTCATATGCTTAATCCGGTTCATTGTAACCCGTCCCAGTCCGCAACACCTCAAACCTTAACCCTTTTATAAACCCTTTTTTTCCCTTCCATTATGTGACCAGGTAACTACGCCTATTTTTTCCCCCGAATTTAAGCAGCCCAGCTCTCCAAGTTCTTCAGAACACACCACTCGCCCTTCTCGCCACCTTCCCTGTTGACGAGCTTGCCAATAGTGTAAACCTTCTCACCCTCAGCCTCCAATCCCTTAACCACGGCATCCGCAGTCTCGGGAGCGACAGCCAGAACCATGCCGATACCGTTGTTGAACGTTCTCGCCATCTCGGTAGGGATAACGGACTCTCTGAGCCACTTGAACACAGGAGGGTGCTCCCAGGTAGCAACATCGATCTCGGCGGCGAGGTGCTTGGGGAGCATGCGAGGGACGTTCTCAGTCAGACCACCACCGGTGATGTGCGCCATACCCTTGACCGCCTCACCAGTTTGAGCGAGGACCTTAAGTAGAGGCTTGACGTAGATGCGGGTAGGGGTGAGAAGGCTCTCACCAACGGAGGCAGAGCTGTCCCAGGGGGCCTTGTCAGTGTAGGACAGGCCGCACTTGTCGACAACCTTGCGGACAAGAGAGAAGCCGTTGGAGTGGACACCGGAAGAAGCAAGGGCAACGAGCACGTCGCCTTCAGCCATGGCATCCTTCCTGGGAAGACGCTGGGCGGCCTTCATGACACCAATGGCAGCACCAGCAGCATCGTAGTCATCGCCAGTGTAAAGGTCGGGCATCTCAGCGGTCTCTCCACCAACCAGGGCGCAGCCGGCATCCTTGCATCCCTGAGCGACACCTTCGACGAAAGCGGCGGCAACCGAGACGTCGAGCCTGCTGCAGCCGTAGTAGTCGAGGAACATGAAAGGCTCAGCGCCCTGAACAACCAAGTCGTTGACGTTCATGGCAACCAGATCGATACCGACAGTGTCGTGCTTGTTCATCTTCTGGGCGATAATGAGCTTGGTGCCAACACCATCGATGGCGCCAACAATGATGGGAGCCGAAGGGTGTCCGGCTTGAGAAAGGTCAACCTCACCACCAAATCCACCGATGATGGCATCAGCGCCGGGGCGGCGAGTAGTAGCGACAGCAGCCTTGATGCGGTCAACAAGCTCGTTACCAGCGTCAATGCTGACACCAGATTGGGCATAGGTAAGCTTGTCAGCCGAGGACTTTTCATCACGGAAAGCACGGTGAGCAATATCCTTGCGATAGTACATTCCGTCGAAGTTGATGAGCTTAACGCCCTCGTAAGCCTTGTCGACAGCGGCGCGCAGAGTCTCGCCAACGGCCTCAGCAGCAATAACACGGCCACCGGCAGAGACGAGGGCATCGCCAGAAAGCTTGGTTCCCGCGTGGAAAATGTTGGTACCAGCAGGAGGTGTAGAAACCTGCATGGGAATGTTCTTGGGATAAGAGTTGGGGTATCCGGGAGCAGCAACGACGACGGTGGCGCTGAACTTTTGTTCGATCTCCACAGGCACGTACTTCAGGAGGGGAATAGGACCTGAGCAGGCGACCATGATCTCGGCGAGGTCGGACTTGAGCAGAGGAAGGACGGTCTGGGTCTCGGGGTCGCCGAAGCGGACGTTGTACTCGAGGACCTTGGGGCCATTAGGGGGTGATCATCAAGCCGGTGAAGAGGCAGCCCTTCATGGGGAAGCCGTCCTTGCGCATGCCGTCGACGGTCGGCTGGAGGATCTCGCGCTCGACCTGAGCAAGCAGAGCAGGGGTGGCAATCTTGGTGGGCGCATAGCATCCCATACCGCCCGTGTTCAAGCCAGTATCACCCTCGCCAATGCGCTTGTGATCCTGGGCGGCAGGCAGAGACTTGATGGTAGTACCGTCGCAGAAGGAGAGGATGCTGAGCTCATCACCCGTCAGGAACTCCTCGATAACGACCTCGTCGCCGGCATTGCCGAACTGCTTATCCAGCATGATGTCCTTGAGAGCCTGCTGGGCTTCCTCCTGCGACTCAGGGATGATGACACCCTTGCCAGCAGCCAAACCAGTGGCCTTGATGACGACATTGTGGCCCACCTTCTTGATGTACTCGCTGGCCTTTTCGTAGTCGGAGAAGTTCTCGTAGGCGGCGGTGGGAATGTTGTGCTTCTTCATGAAATCCTTGGAGAAGGTCTTGCTGCCCTCCATGCGCGCGGCATCCTTGGAAGGGCCGAAGACGGGGATACCGACCTCGCGGAAGACGTTCTCGACGCCATCGACAAGCGGCTGCTCGGGGCCAGGGACGACGAGGTTGATGCGCTCCTGCTTGGCGAAGCTGACGAGGGCAGCAAAGTCGTTCTCGGAGACGGTGTTGTTGTTGGTGACCTTGGGGAGGCCGGCAGTACCACCGTTGCCGGGGACCGCAATGATTGACTCAACGCTGGGCGACTGGCTGAGCTTCCAGGCCAGGGCGTGCTCGCGGCCGCCGCTGCCAATGAGGAGAATACGTAATGACGACATGGTGATTGTGGTTTGTGTCGGTTGTTGTTAAGGGTCTGGGTCGATGAGAACTCGGCGACACCAAATCCTCTTGACCTCCATTTCCATCAGCTCAGGAGGAAAAAGGGAGACGGATGGTTGGCGACGAGAAATTTCAATTTACCCCTCGGCGCCCCTCCCCCGCAATCGCACGAGGGGAAGCTGCGAGGTCGCGCTGACTGGTTAAGCGATTGAAGAGTCACACGAATTGGCCAATCCCCATTCGCTTTGGGAGTCATTGCCAGATCGCTCCGAAATAGGAAAGCGTGCTTGGCTGTTTCACGCTGGTCGCTAGAACTAGCTGCTAAGAGCTTAGCGGCTGCTGAGCATCGGACCGTGGTCTGGCAGCGGCTTTCAGCGGCATGTGATGTTAGGGAGCTATGTCTTGTCTTGCAAAAACTTTTCTAGGTATGTAAAGTAAACATACACGTCCTGGCAGACTGTCCAGAGCATGGATGGATATAATATTATCAGCATTGGATCTTATGGAAGCTTGGGCTGCTTTTGAGCTTTCCGACAGGTTGCTGTAAGCAAAGCAAGCTGTCCGATGACAATTTCTGATAGCTGGCAGGGGCACCTGGCATTCAACGCCAGTTTCCAGTATCCCGCTGAGTGTTTTTTTGGGAGGCAAAAAATGCAGATTTGGTGACAAACCACTCGTGCTGCTTCTCCATGCCATATCATATTGGCCAAAGAGGTTCACAAGCTCGTAGCTGGGGTAACGGGGTAGATATCAATAAGCGGAGACCTGGGGTGGTGCCATATGATACCGCCGCATGGTAACCCCAGCCAGTGTCACCCATCACCATGATACCAGGCCACGAAGACCATGTCTTGGATATCTGCAGAGCTCTGCGATGACTCTTCACTGATTTTTTTTGGCTTCGTATCCAGAACTCGGACCTCAGATGGGTGAGTAAAGAATATGATCGAATTCCAAGATTTGAAGCTCTTATATGTCCAAGGCGTTCTGGCCGGATCACAGGTAGAGTTATACTTCCCTATGGCAAGTTCCGTGGGAGCGCAGTCCACGAATGGTCGACGGGAGGGCTTCACTGACACTGCTATAGCATGCCCAGTTTGCAAACTGCATTTGTCGAGTCCGACCGTGTTCATCGTACCAGCTCGGATCCCAAACATCTTCCGCATGAAGAGTCCAGAGCATCGTGAAACCTTCGGGTCCGGGCTTTCGGGTTCGAGAAGCGTGGCTGACTGCGTGAGACAAAAGCAGCTTATTCTGTTGGAACAAGTCGACAAAAGGGAACCTCAGGCGTAGCACAGCTTTGTCGTCCAATGCGTCCTGCCGACAGCAAGGCAACCTTGATGAGGGAAGAAGACGACGGACACCCACTTGCTAAGTACTCATACTTTCCGCGAGATTGGCGCAGGGCAGATTGATATTTCAAGAGGTCTCGTGCTTCACGATATGGATAGACTTAACCAGAGATCAGCATAGTCAGAGGTTGGCAAAACAAGATTCTGGCCGCTGGCATCAGTTGTCCCGCCGTTTCACCTTCTCTGCTGACCGTCAAATGTGAGTCGAGTGCCGCGATCGACATTGAACATCCAACGGACTTGGAGGATTTCATGCCCAAGGTCACCGAGAGATCTCGATGCAATCAGGCTGGGACTTCCTGAACAGGATATAAGCCACGAAAACAGGACTGGAGAGGATGTGAGCATCCATCGTACGGGAACTCATCTGCCTGCTTAATCATGCCCGAGCCGCCTGCCTCGTCTGCCTCGTCTGCCAATCGACCAAGGTTGCATTCGCTTCCAACATCAGTGGAGGGAAGGCGAGATGTTGATCGTGAAGCCGGTCGACACCGTTGCAAGACTGTTGTGTAGATCAAGTCACTTGCGCAAGGTACGGTTGAACGGATGTGAATATCAGTGGGCGTCCTTCATGTCGATTCCGTTTGGTCGTGGTGGACCAACCGCAAATCACCTATGAGTCGCAAAAGCCGAGAGAAAAAAGCAAAGGGCAATAGGGTTGATGGACAGGTACCGGGCTGCTGCTGTTGGCTTACTGTGTAATTGTTAGTGACTTATCTTGGGTGCTGGTGGATTTTGGTGACAGTCAAGATATCGCTCTATCAAATACGTAAGTTAATACATAACCTTCAATGTAACGTTCACATCAGTGTCAACACCATCTGGATGGTGTCCTTTGCTCGCAACTCGCTCTCAGCATCAGAAATATATCCAAAATGGTTGTTGAAGTTGGTCAGGCATTTACAGCATCCTGTGCACTATCTGATCGACTACCAAAGAGACGCTGCTTCACAGTCCTTGCTTGACAGTGCCTGATCTTCCATTCCAAGTCCCGGGCAACGGCCCCGCCTTGTAACGGGAAGAAAATATGGGGCGAGCCGCAGTGTCTAAGAAAATGGCTGGTGCTTCCCGTCGTTCCGTCCATCTTCCACTCTTTTCAACTGATCATCAAATCCCGTAGCCACCTAGCCAGTCAGCCTTTCATCTGGAGTCCGGGATCCAAACCAACCGGATGACAAGTCATCACATTTCGACAATTTATGCGCAGGAAACCAGATGAAGTGCCTCCGACGATGCTACCATGAGTCCCTCCTCTTGCTGCGTATCGGCCACCATGGCTCGGTCAACACCAGCTCATCAAAAGGTGGGTGTCGATGGTCGGGCACCGTCAATAAGCAGAAATTGACTAGTAGGTGCATCGAAGCGAGTAGCATCGTCGACAGGAATAGTCACGAGAGTTGACACGGAACCCGTAAAAGACATGGGGCCAAAAGAACATCTCACTTGCTATCAGAGGGTCGAGTCGCCTCAAAGCCCAATGGCGACGTTCAAGCCCTGCCACTGCAGTGTTCAACTCACCAGTAATCACAGCTCCTCAGGTCACCTCGCATATCAGCAAGATATCATGTACCCGAGACTTGTCAGACACACCAAAAACAGACACTCGACGCTGGCCAGAACACCATGGCCCATCGAGGTTAGGAAGCCAAGCTGCCAGCACCTCATCACCTTTGAGCTAGCGAGCTCTTGTCTCAGCGCCTGTTGCGATATCTCGTCCGTTCTTTTCGCTTGACTCGCACATTGAGTGGTGCCAACAAGAGGCGCTATACTAAAGAGACAGACGACGGTTTCGGGCTTTCAGCTCACTCGGTATCTACAACTCCCGGCTCCGACATTTCGGTCAACCCATTCATCGTTGCCCACGATGGAGGAAGTACTAGGACCGGTCCCACATTATAGCGGCCAGCTAACGTGCAGAGGGTGCTCGGGAGACAAGGACCGGATACTGAGGAGGGGTCAACGGGATTTTTCTCTTTGTTCCTGCCTGGATGGTCGGCTAACCCAACAGGTTTTGCTCCCTATGGCCAGGTTGTGAGGCCTGCAGATCGCGTTGGCTGCAGCCAAAGCTTCCCTGGGCACGAGAATCTCTAGCGAATTTCTTTGGGTCCTGCACGAACCCTCGTGTTGCGACAAGATCAACCGCACCACAACCGTCCGAACACCCAACCCAGCCAACCACGAACCAGTTAGGACGGCCATTGCAGGGCGACCTGGATCTGGCGGGTGGTCAGATTTTGCAGTAGTTCCCTCGCCAAGGCCAGCCACACACCCGGGAGCTTTTCAGAACAGAAAACTCCCGATTGCATCGCCAAATCCGGACTCCAACTCACTAGCCTCTACCGTATCTCCACTAGTGAGAACTGTGATGTGCTCTTGACAGTCGCCGCGCATGGATTTGCAGCTTGACGCAGTCGAAAAAGCAAGCGTCTGCCATGCGATCAGCAGGAGTACATGCGGAAAAGCAAGGGAACCTCTGTTGTCCAAACCACCAGCCCGGCTGCTGTCCGACTCTTCACGAGAAACATCTTGACAGTCAACAATGGGCTTATTGTTCGAAAATGACAGCAGCTGTAGCAGAGCGTCCAATGCTGAGAATAGCCATATCAACAGACTGAGAAACCCAAAGCTTTGCCATGTTTTTCTCAACGTCATCTGGCAGCCGCAACGACATCATTGGCAGGGGTTCTGATCGCTCAGAGCCAGGGGCGCAAGGGGGGTCAATCCCACCCTACGACTTTCAAACCGCGGGGGAACACGAGAAAGTTCTTGGCTCGCTAATTAGTCCAACCTACGATATGGCTTATGCCACTCCCGGTTCTCAAGCCCGGTGATACCCTTCGATCAACCATGTACAGTTGACTTTCGAAGGTCTCTGTAAGCAGAGATATCGTGTTCGACATTCTCCTCACAATGCTAGGGAACGCCACACGAAAACAGGCGGTTTTGTGGATGTGTGATATCTAAGCCCCCCGTTCGATAAATGCTGTTGGAACAAAGCAACCAGAAGGGATATGACCAACAAGCTTCCTTACCGAAACTGAATGGTGAGGCTACATCGAGGGGGAAGGCTATGGTCAGGCATCTAAACATCCGCAGGCACACTTGCTAGCGAATTCAACACCAACAACGATAGTCCTGGATTTTGGATCGGCGCTATCTGACTGTGCGTACCAGAGAGGTTGTCACCCCGGATGCGAAGGCCTCTCACAACAAGGCTCCATAATCCGGAAGTAAAGATACACTGCAACACAACATGGCTACAGACCGCACAAATTGTATGGCCAAACCAAACCAGCCGGATCCAGCAACTGTTCTCCGTCCACGGCAGTCCCACACAAACTCCTTGATGGAGCTCTCCCTGGTACCTAGCTTACACGGCTTGGTGGTTGCCCAACCTCGCGGCCCTTCTCTGAAGTTCCTGCGGACCCATCCTTCGCTTCCCGTTCTTGCCACGCCGTCAAACCCCAAGGGCCCATCCCTCTCCATTTTTATGGTACCCTGCAGTCCAAGTGGGATGGCAGCCAACGATGTCATTGCAAAGTTATCCACCTCCTCCGTTGGGTTCTCTGCCGACCTCTACCAGGCTACAGGTTCCTAGTGGTCTTCCTGCCCCTCTGCTCCCGTCTTACACATGTATAACAAGCCACCATCCCGTTCCTGCTACAGGTCTTCTGTCCTTCTTTCTTTTCCCCAGCCTTCTCGGTCAAGCATCTCCCAGCCAACCTCCTCAAGTGACTCCTTCGCTAAGGTTACTTAAGACTCTCGCTCATCCTCACGATATCTGAACATATCAGACCCTCGTTACACACCTTACACAGCAACAACCCTTAATCAACAACATGAAGGCCGCTCTGTCCCTCGTTGCCTTGGCCTCCTCGGTCCTTGGAGCCAACATCCCCAGAGGCTATGGTCATGGTGGTGATCACGTTAGCTATACTACTGAGGTGATTGTTACTTACACAACTGTATGTGGATGTCATGTTCTTTTATTCGTCTTCAGAATCCATGGTGCTAACAAACTTGGAAGATCTGCCCTGAAACTACCACGATCACCGAGGGTGGTGAGACTATCACCAAGACTTACACCACCACCAGCACCGTGGAGACCAAGGTTCCCACCGTCATCACCGTTACCGATGTTGCTCCCCCAGTAACCAAGACGGATGAAGCCAGTATGTTTCTCTACTCAACCGTCCCGGTTTGATATCACTTGCTTACCAAGACAATAGTCATTTACACCACCATCACTGAGCTATGTCCCGTCACTGAGACTAAGGTAGTCGGTGGCTCTACTGTTGAGGTTGTCTGGACGTCCACCTCCACCCTCTACACCAAGGTCCCGCACACCGAGACTGTCTACACCACCTCAGTCGCCACCGAGTACGAACACACTAGTGTCTACGAGACTGTCGTATGCCCCGAGACCACGGTCACCACCGTCTCCAAGGGCGAGACCGTTTATATCACGAAGACAAACACCATTACCACGGCCGTTACCGAAGTGCACACCTACACCACCGTCATCCCCCAGACCATCACCAAGGCCGTTGATGTCACCATCCCCGTCACCAAGAGCGAAGGTGTCGTCGAGACCAAGTACTCGACCGTCGTTGTCTCTGCCAACAACACCATCTACACCCCCGTCGCTCCTCCCCCTACCACCGTCATCCTCCCCACCACATCGACCGTCGGAGAAGCTCCTGTCAGCGAGACCAGCGGTTCTGCCCCTGTTGTGGGCGCCGCCAATGCCATCATGCAGAAGAGCCCTGTCGTGGCTCTGATTGCTGGTCTCTTGGGTGCTTTCGCTCTTCTCTAGGCGAAGTCAGTCTGAGAAGAGGGAAAAACTTAATGTTGATGATACAAACGACGCTCCTTATGATACCCTTCTATTCATAATGCATTCTGCATTTTCAACATTTATTTTCGGGGAAAAGGGGTAATAACGGGAGGATACCTCTTTGGATGGAGAAGTTGGGAAATGTTTACATGACGAACTCGCGGCCAAGTCACCACTTTCGAATCGGACCCTCCTGAAAGACGGGGGACCGAAGAAGAATTGCTGGCTAGGTTGGCCGTGAAAAGGATATAATGAAGATACCATACCATTCCATTGTACATATAGATTACAATCCCTCTCGGGGTTCATTTGGAGTTTATAATTCAAAACAAGGGATTCCAAACCACCTGCTCTCTTTCTATCATTCTGGTATCCATGGAATGATATTCAAACTATCATCGCTGACTCGACTCGACCTTGATGATCCCAACAACAAGAAGTTCGCATCTTTCGGCAAAAGTGAAACATTTGCAAATAACTAGAACGGTGATCATCCGGGAGACCGAGTACCTACCTTGCACATCACTTTCTTCACTTTCGTCCGTTTGATCGTTCGTCCAATTCTTTCTTGTTTCATCGTCGATCAAGGCTCCACTGATGAGCTAAACTTGACATATTAAAGAAAAGGTGAAATCAGGTACAGGAACGCAAGTCGCAAGGGGCCTTTTAGCACGGCCATTTGATCCCAAGCTACGTGCGTCCTGGCGGTCGGAGCTCGGGAGATGTTGATGTCCACAATCAAGCACTTCATGTGAATAACGAGGAAAAGTTGGTCCTCAAATAACACTCAATCCAATGCCATTGAGAAAAAGAGAAGAAGAAGAAATTTAGATATAAGCTGGATCAGACCGGCCATGTTGGAAAGGCTTGGCTCTCCAGTTCAAGATTGAAGGTCTTGGAAACACCAAACCGTAGGTAGGCTCTTCACTATTGTTCCCGTCTTCTATCTCAAACTCTGATATCCTTCAACGTGCAGTGCATGTAGGTAACCGACCGTTCCTTCCTCCTCATAGCCCGGTCTGTCAGGTTGAGTCTTGGGGAAATTCCCGTTTTAGGGGCTTCAGCAAGGGAAGAGCGATGGTCGCTCGCATGTTGGGGGCATTCTGGCTCCTTCCGTCTATCTGCTCACAACGTATGATGCCCTACACCATCTATCACACAGGAAAAAAACAATACCATCGAGCAAACCTTCAATGCGTGTTCGTGTCCTTCATTCTTCCACAAGTAATATTTGACAACAGTATGCCCCTGTAAACCATCTTCAACATTCAGTCAAAAACACTAACAAATCTCAACCATGAACTGGCCAACAACCTTCTCGGCCCTCTCGACACTCCTCATCGTACTCCTAACCTCTTGCCCTCCTCCTCCCACCGCCGCTGCCATTCCCACCTATTCCCACTCCCACCTCGACAGCGAAAAGACAAGCAATGCCCTACCTCTACAAGCAAGAGCTCTCGGCGGCATCCTCATCTGCAACGGCCCCAACGCCACACAACCATGCGCCTACAGCGTTTACGAAATGGAAACTTGTTACAACCTACCGGCGCCATTCTTTCGGAATGCGAGCACGTTTGCGCTGGATGAGGGGGTTGGTATTGTTATCCTTACATGTAAGTGGAGTGACTTCTCTTTTATTGTGGTTGGTAACTGTCAACTTGAAGCCATATAATCGTATCCGTCTGAACTGATCACTGCAACTTCTTTCCCAATCCAAACTCCCATGGTACACAATATTTTACTGACCCTATCCCACCCATCCCTTGCCTCCCATCTACCCACCCATCCCTATTAGTTACCGGATACGTCCTTCATTGTAATACAGCATCACATATACGATCTGCAAAAGCATATGCTAACCTCAAGCCTCAACCCGATCGATCAACAGCATGTCTTGCGGAGAAATCTGCACCTCACCCGAAGGCTGTACTCTGGGCGGCGTGTCGTCGCAGTACGAGCACAAGTTCAACCTCAGCGCGGTGGGTTGGGATCATTATATCTCCTCGTTTGAGTGTCACTTGGGTGGTGCTCCGTCTGTACCGTAGTTGTGTTGTCCATCCCTTAGGGTGGGGACCGACCGGACTTGGTGTGATGAGGGTTTTCATCACTGGCACGATGATATTCGGAAGAGATTGATGATTGACGATTGTTGAAAAACAACTTTGGCGAGTTTGAGCAGTGGTGTATGTATGGTGGAAGATGTGTGTGGTATTCTCGCAAAAAGGAAGCAAGATACAGGGTACTACGCAACAGGTGGTTGTGTGATTTCGAGACGTACAGTTGTTTCCGCCATCCTCTCGACTCATCTGCCACAGATCCCTCAATGTTTTCTTCCCCTCTCTCTATCGTGAACACCGTTATATCCCTCTCAGTTAGAGAAGGCCAAGGTACTTGGCCGCATGGTCAATATGGTCGTCACTGAACGACGCCATGAAGTAGTACGAGTGGTCGTAGTCCTGTGCAGTTAGTCACTTCATGTCAGCCATTGATTGTCCACTGCAAAAAACACCACCACACAGAAATCACCACAGAAGTCAGCAACAGAAAAGAGAAAAAAAACTCACCTCCTGATACCTAACCGTCACCCCCTCCACTCCAGCCTCCTTAGCCGCCTTCTCAAAATTCTCCGGCAACAACTGCCCCTGCTTATAAAAATTATCCCCAGTACCAACATCAACCAACACCCTCGCATCCTTGTTCCCCCTCCACTTCTCCCCCCTGATCAGCTCCGTCGCATCATGCTTCTTCCACTCCTCCTCCTTTGCCTTGTCGTCTTCACCCAGATACCCTCCAAACGCCTTCTTCCCCCACGCGCACTCGCACGGGTTCGCAATCGGCGCAAACGCGCTCGCGCTCTTGTACAGGCCCGGGTTCTTCAGGTACAAGCTAAGCGCGCCGTGACCGCCCATGCTGTGGCCCGTGATGCTCACCCGCTCGGCATCCAGGTACTTGCCAAACTCCGAGTCCTGCCCGAATAGCACTTGGGGGAGTTCCTGCGTGATGTACGTGTCCATCTTGTACCCCTTGGAAAACGGCTCCCGCGTGGCATCCACATAAAACCCGGCTCCTTCGCCGAAATCCCAGCTGTCCTTCTCGCCGGGGAGGTTGAGGCCGCGGGGGGAGGTGTCCGGGTATACGACGGCCAGGCCGCGCTTGGAGGCGCCGTGCTGGAAAAACCCCTTTTCGGAACAGTTCTCGGGGCTGCAGGTTAGGCCGGAGAGGTAGATCAGGACGGGCACCTTTTTAGTTTGGGAAGACTTGAGGGCTTGGGGAGGCAGGTAAAGGTTCACGGCCATTTCGGTGCCGGTGGAGGAGGACGGGTGGGAGAGCTTGAAGAGCTTGCCGCCGAAGGAGGCGATGGTTGCTTTGACTGTGAGACCCATTTTGCCGGCGGTGGCTCTCGTTATCTTGATTTTGATTTTCGGTTTGGTTGTGGTGGTGGTAAATGCTGCTGTTGGCGTTGCTGATATCGTTGTTGTTGTTGTTGTTGTTGTTGTTGTTGTTGTTGAGTGGTACAAACAACGATGAAAGGTTGTGATGACGAAGGGATTCGTGGACGACTTGATGATGCTGCTGCTCAGTTGGCGGCGACCTTGACGTTTGAAGAGTGGAAAGAGCAAAGAAGATGACAAGAAGGCCCTCCTCGAACAGCTGTATGATAAACTTCCGGCTGTTATCATTATAAAACTAACATAGCCTATCAATATCCCCTCATCAATTGGAAGGGTGAAGCCAATTGATGGAAGCTGTCAAGGTGCCTACCCCACCTGAAGCTCACTGCCGATGCCGGTGTCACAAGTGCGGATATAGGCGGGGTAAACACCGTAAAGAGATGCAATGCCGTTCCGTCATCTGTGCATGTCCGAATTGGTTGCCAAGAGACAAGGGCCGCTTGAAGGGACGATTGTCTACCGTAGAAACTCGCGAAACTTAGAAAAGGCCTTCCCTCTTTGAGCGCCGGCATATGTACAGGAAGCTGGCAGGATCAAGCTGGTCACTATGCCTTCAAATGTGTGCAAGTTAGTATGGAGAGTGATATCCTTCAGTTTTCAGTAACTGGACAGGTAGTTTGCTTGTGTATGCATGCGTTTGGGGCAGCTTTATGGCAGATTTCTGCCATATGCCGGCGCTCAAAGAGGGAAGGCCTTTTCTAAGTTTCGCGAGTTTCTACGGTAGGTAGATGCCCCTGGGGACATGTCTCCGAATTGCCGACCCTAACCCGAGGAATATGAATGTTATACGACGAGTAGAAGAGTTAATTCAACTGTCATGATCGCGGGAGCATCCTCGACAAAGTTTCCGCCTCTTCCCGTTCCCTCTTTCCCCATGGACCTATGTAGTGATCGACATGTGTAGCAGTATTCTAACGCCTCCTTCAAGAATTGAAATGCCTGCTCTATATGCCATGCATACCTATGCTTGCCTCCAAAGGATTGGCTAGGAACATAGACTCCTGACGGCACGGGTTTGTTCCCGCTCGACGCCCAGACACGCAATTACTCATCTTGCGGTTCTAACTTCAATATCAAATAGGTATCACATACAATGACCTTTATCCCTCCCGGCTGATCCTCCTCATAGGGTCTTCACTTGACCCTGGCATTATCGTCAACCCTCCCATCCCTGTTTGCGCCTCAGCCATCTGCACTTCCTTCTTGATCCTATCGTATGCCAGCTTCTCAAACCGACTGAGGCCTCTCCACCAATGTTGGCCGGCCTCGTGCTGCGAGATCCTCTCCAGCAAGTCCGCCGTCTTCACCCTGACTTCTCTGTCCTTATGGAAAAGCCCGAGGGCGATGTAGAACAGGCCGGCATGTGCCTCGGGGGCGACACTGAGGAGCAAACAGATTTCGTCGTAGCTGCGGACGTACTTGGCGAACGTCAAGTAAATCTCGCGGCTCTGCATAGCCGTCAAGCGTTGCGTGCGCAGTCGATCGTGCATGTGATGGAGATCCAGGCCTTTGAGCGGACGGATTGTGTATAGCTGAGCGACGTCCTTGTAAGAGAAACAGTTAGCATGCTTTAGATGTCCAGTTACCATCAATCTCCCCCTCGCCTCGCCTCGCCTTGCAATGCAAATGAATGACTTGGACTCCGGAAGGAAATGTGATGACGCGCAAACAAGGAAACTTGGGCAAACTCAACCCTGAACTGAAATAGGAATGAAAGGGGCGAGAAAAGGTGAAGGCGAACCTGGATAAAGCTGTAGTAACTCCTGGTATTCCTCCAGCCTTCTATCCTCGTGACGTTGCCTGCTAGTTCCCTGCTCTTTTTCTCGTCGTCGGCCCACACATAGCCGTGCCCGGTTGAGTTGGTCGTATGTGGGTAGTTGTCGTGCTCGTCACTTCCTATGTAAAGAGCGCTGGCGCCGTATACGCTCTCCTCGAACGCAGCGGCAATCCGTGTGAGTTTAAGAACCCAATCCCGCCACTTGGCACGAATTACACGCTCTCCGGCTCTTGTGGCTATGCTCTTTAGTATGTCAGCCATGAAGGCCTGGTCGCCTGTCAAGTCCATTGCACTGTTTGAGTGACTCTGGTGTACAAGCGAAGCACAGGACGGATTTTGTTGCTGGAAGTAGACGAGGCCCTCCGTGATTGCAGGCTGTTCGATCCTACTACTGATCTTGATTCTCCCACTGGGCAGGTCACACAAGACATCCCACCATTCAGGATGGTGTTCGAATGTTGGGTTAGTCACACCAGCAATGAAGCCAGGAACTCGCAAAAGGTCGTCGACCTTGGTCAAATCCGTATAGGGAAAGGCGTGGCGGGTAAACCCTCTAAGAATACCGCCAGATGCAAGCGCACAGGCGGCGAGGACCGCTTCGGCAACCTCACCGGAAGGCATGTTGTGGCCTAGGAAGATGACTCGCTTTTGGGTAAGCAGACCGTTGACCAACACTATTATGGGATGCGTGTTGGGGCCGTTCGTGGTCAGGTGGGCATGCAGAGGAAAGGGATGTGGTGATTTCGCATGTGGTTCCGAAAAGTTTTGTATGAGTTTGATCAGGGAGAAATCCCCAACAGTCTCGGGCATGATTGCCGTTGGCACCTTGATCGGGATAGGGATGCCCTTATACATGACCCTGCTCTCAAACTCGTGTGTGTCGCGAGGTACTGCGTATGTAGAATGTCCCTCAAGGTGCGCTTTCGTCCCATGTCGGAAAATGCCAGGCCGTCTGGGCGGACTCCTACTCGCGTCAAAAGGCTGGTCCGCAAGGCCGTCTCGATCCTCTGAGATGCGCATTTGAATCATTTGTTCGAACTTTTCAACGAAAAGATCCTTGTTATTGCTCATTTGTAGCAAGTGCCTCTCCAAGAGGCTTAGCTTGGGCATGAGCGATAAATCCATCTCGTTGACTGCATCAAACAGCATGGAGAGTGTCTCCGGAACGGGAGACTTGAAGTATTCTTCCAAAGCCAATAATAAAAGGGGCTAAAGGAAAAGTTAGCGGTTGGCCGAGCGAGAGCTGCGTTTAGAGTAGAATTATACCTTGTATATGTGAAGAAACGGATGCCGAGTGCAGATGGCCATGGCCTTTACCACTGCACCTCTCTTGACCGTTTTGTCGTGTTTTGTGTTGACAAGGTTGAGAACGTATACTAACGGAGGTCCCTCGCCACCTTCAGGCTCGTCGTCGTCGTCGTCGGTGGACTCATCGTCATCCCAATCGTCGTCGTCCAGGTCGTCATCTTCATCATCCGACTCATGTATGATACCCTGTTCGCGATCCAGCCTGCGTTTCCTCCGTCGACGCCGCTCCTCCTTTGCCTGACGTTCTGCCTCGTCTTCCTCACGACTAGAATCCTTGTGCAGAAAGAATATGGTCCAATCCTGATTTCGTGCGTGGGCCTGGTCTGGAAGCATGAGCTCAGCCAACATGTGCTCATCCCCGGTAATAGCGACTGGATATTGATGCTCCATGACCGGACCACGGTCGATGTCAAAGGACGCAACCAAGATATACTCGACATGGTTTTCGCTACTCCCACGGGGGTACTGCGAGCGCAACTTGCGGCGAGGACGGCCAATGGCGTTGTTGTACTGACGAGTGACGCCGGCGGCAGAGAGCGAGCTGTGTTGCGAGGAGAAGCCTGTGCCAGTGGAAGCAGTCTTGCCTTTGGAGCTCAGATTGGAGGTCCGATCAGGCTCGGCTTGAGGCGGCTGCGGGGAGCGCGAGCGATGAGCTGGGCCATGATGGGACATTTGAGATACCGATCGCGATTGGGGCGGAAAGGAGGAGAGAGACGGTTTTCGGTCGTGGCCCGTTCCAGTCGCTCCGTTGACGTGTTGCGAACTATTATTTCGTGAAAACGAAGGCCGCGCCGGCTGAGGTGAAGCCATGCTTTACTTTTGCCGTCTGCTCTGCGGCAGATGGTAGCTAATGTGAAACGGGGTCTCAGACGTTGTGCGACCAGATATCCGATGGCTGTCCGTCGTTGGACACCCGTGGCCCGAGGTATAGAGAGGAAGTTGATCCCGCTGGTCGCTGTTTCGGGATGATGTGCCTTGGGTGACACCGGCCGAGTCAAGGTCGTGGTCCTAATCGTTCCAGCAACCACGCAATTAAGCCTATCGACCCTTCCAGTGTAATTCTCATGCAGGTATTGCACACACAGTCAAGTCTCGCGGGGTGTTCGATTTTGTCTCGCGATCGCGGCTCCTCGGATATGCTGTCGAGTCAATGTTGATTTTTAGGGGTTCCCAACGCGGGGAAGGATGCGCGCTTCGTGATTGTGGCAGCTGGCGGTAAGTATCCGAGGTGAAGCCAATCTCGAATAGGTGATGGCCACAGAATCCGTCGCGGTGTAATGGCAAAGACGAAGGGGCATAAAAGCCCAATGGTCTTGGCTCGAAGTTGAGTCTCTCCAAAGAATGAACTACTATGGAAGGTATGCAGTAATTAGATGAAGATGGAGGCCAGGAAGGTGCAGCCCAACGGTGGTGTGGACTCCCCTGCTTGGGAGATTCAGGGACCTGCATTCAAACAACCCCAGCTTCGACATTTTGGTGGAGTGCGGGCGGGAGCTGGACCGCACTTGTAGTTTATCGTGATTTGTGCCGTCCATTTTGTTCACATTGACTTATCAAATCTTGAAATATTCGTTTCTTTACAATGCCCTCAGTGTTTGACTATCCCCATATAACAACCACTGCATAACACTTTTCATCCCTTGACACCGAACGCTCGGTCCCGGACGAGAACTGTTAGAGACCACCCCTGTAGCCATTCCGAACGCCTTCTCCTGACAGGGAACCGCATCTCTGCAACCGCTGATGGTGGAGGAGGGGTTTAATGGCCTGGCCCCTGTTGCAGTTGCTGTTCACTGCTCCCATCCTCTGTTCACTTGCTGTTTTCTACCGCATAAAATAAAACTGTAGGCTTAAATACACGCAAGAGCCAATCAGCAATTGAGTTCAAGGCCCCGCCAAGGCTCAGCTGCTGAACTGGAACCTCGATGCGCTTGAACAACCGCGCTGTAGCACGGGACGCACCAGCCATTTTAAGATCCAAGTGCTTGCCGCTCAGCTTTCCCTTGAACTCGAACCGTTGTCTGGTCGCTTTTGTTTACTTTCAACTCCACTCTTCTACCATCCCGTCGTCGCCGGTAGTAAACCGAACAGTAATTGGAATCGCAAACCACCCCATTGCCTCACTTGGTAACCGACGTCAGAAGCTCTCCCAGTAATCGTACAGCTGGACGGAAGTAAACATTCATCTATCTGGCACACTCAGGGCCCTTTTGACAAGTTCAGCGATCGCCGACAAGAAATCCGGGGGATCGTACAGTACGGGGCGCATTCGTTCGGCCATCATCCGCCAGCCCAGCAAGACAATCCCGACTCCCGGCTGCTGTCAATTACGACCTACGTCACTTTATACAAGTGGGAACCAGGCAGAACCATGGTGCGTGATGCCCCGTCAATGAGTCCAATGCACGAGTATCGAAGTCCAATCGCTAACCCCGTCCCGTCTCGCGTGTCATGGTAACAGGCGACGCCAACAGCAGGGCCGTACAAACCATCCCCACTGGGATCGTACGCCTCCCCAATGGGATCGGGCTCCCTTGGTGCCCCAACTGCCACCAGGAATTCCCCATTCCAACGCAGACCTGTGTCCCCAGGGGCAGTGTCCCCGTCCCCACTCCGACCAGCACCGACATCTCCATTGGCGACACCGCCTGTCAAGCAACAGCAAGGAGGAGGGTCCAATGTAAGCGAGTTGACGTCCCGGTTCGCCAATAACATTGCCAACAACAGCGGCCCGCCGACCACGCCCTCCGGAGCTGGACTTGGAGGACTACTTGGAGCTGGGCCTAGCTCTACAGCTACACCGACCAGCAGCCAGACCCAGACCCAGTCCCAGGCCAGCTGGACACCTAGAGCTTCGGCATCGGCACCGGCCGTAGTCAACCCGCCTCCGCCTAACCCAATGTTTCTTAATGGCGACGCGCCGCCGCCGCGGCCTCCCCAGCACCGCATTTCCCCCTTGCCTTCGCCCTCGATACCACGAACGACTACCTCGGCCTCTACCATAAGCATGGGAACCGGAGGCAATGCCATGTCCCAGCTGCAGCCCTCGCAGGTGCGCACCCTGCGGGAGGGGTTCCAGATCCTCGACCGTGACAGCGACGGTGTGGTGGTCAGGGAGGATGTCATTGACATGCTGAACCAACTGGGTACGTAAGGTTCCTTGACTATCTCATATGTCTATCTACTCCCTACCTTGTGTTTGATGTCTCAACTAACACCGGCTCTCTTTTGGTATCTAGGTCTACCCAACAATGCCTCCGACGTCTCCCAATTCTTCCCTCCCAACGGGCCCCAGTCCATGACCATGGCTGTCTTCCTCAACTCCATCGCAACTGCCCTCTCCAGCCTCTCCCCCAGCGGCGAACTTCTCTCGGCCTTCTCGGCCTTCGATGACGACGACAGCGGCCAGATTGACGTGGCCGAGCTGCGAGACGCCCTGCTTAACACAGCGCCCGAACCAGGCGAGAAGCCGCTTACGTCGCTTGAAGTTGACAAGGTCATGGCCGGCTTCACGGGCCGCAGGGCGTTTGCTCAGAACAGCCAAAGGACGACTGGGCTGGGAGGGGAGAGGATCAGGAGCGAAGCGTGGGGAGGTGTTCAGATACCAAGAGTTTGTCAAGTTGATTCAGGGGACAGGGAATGGTGGTGAGCAAGGGTCCGAAGATTCAGGACGTGGTTGAAATTTCGGTCAGGAGAGAGAGCATGGTGTCAAGATCACCGTGATATAATGGGAATGATGGATGGAAGCTTAGGGGAGCGGGATATCAAAAGGGAAACCGAACCGAACCGAACCAGGAAGCTGTAATTACGCCTGGTGATGGGTGATGGGTGATTATGATGACGATGACGACGATGGGCTGATTGTTACGGGCTTTGTAATACTGGGTTTGATAGTAAGTTTAGAATTAGGACAGGCAGGCAGGTTGCATCGGCGTTGTCGAGTCGGGTATGTAATGGACATCACTTGGAACTTGGATGTTAAAATGGGGAAAGAAAGGGCTTGCGTTGCAACCGTACATACATACGCCCGTGGTTGACCTCGGCTGCAGAACTTGATCTTGATGCCGCTCTGTCTTCGGGATGGTCTGCCGATGTGCTGGGTGTTAGTGTGTGAGCAACGTGGGAGAGTCCAAAGACAAAGGTTGTGCTTGGCACAGAAGAAGTTGGTAGGTTTCTTGGTTGGGTCATTTTAAAAAGAATGTGAATGACGGGAAAGTTAATCAATTGAGGCAATGGGACATTGTACGAGACCAACTTGATGAGGCGTGAGCAAGCTCTTAAGCAAGCAAGCAAGCATTCGCTTATCAGCCTTGTAACCCTACACTACATTAGTAGCTTGTCATTTTTTGTAGTGTAGGACAACGAAACGGCCCATAGAAGCTTCGAGAAGAACTTCTTTTCGTCTGACCTGTGAAACCTGTTTAACACATAGGGTCTCACTCTTGGAATTTGGAATTCTTTAAACGAAGGATGATAGTGACTAGACTCCTAGACTACAGGTAGCTGACAGGGCGAGCTAGACTAGGGGGCAACTGCCCCAAGCTGTCTGTAGTAGTGTGGTATGTAGCCACTCCATGTGGTCGGGTAAGTTAGGTAGCTCAGCCCTTCTCAGCCCTTTTCATTGTCGACCATTCAGCTTTGTTAGAGATTATACTTACTTATTGTGGACAATGTGGTGTGGACAAGGTTTGCACAACGGGTGAGCGAGCGGGCAAAGCCACTGCATGATATGACAACGGATGCACCCGTGGTGGGTGGGCTGTGTTATCCGTTCCCGTTTTTACCACCGGTCAATGATTTGAAGTTGAATGTCCGCAACTCGAGCTCCAATGCCTTCTTCCCTTGCTGCTTGCAGGTTGTAATTCCCATCAAATCCTCTGGATTTTGATTTGACCACATCTCGTTATGATAAGACCAGACTGCGGGAATGGTGGCTGGACCATATATCTCCAGAGTCACGTTGTCTGTCATCCTGCTTGGCACGGTGGGATGGGTGGTTGAAGGTTTTTGAGAAATAAATAAAAATTAGGGGGCCGGCCGGAGAGACAATGTTGACATAGGTCCCCCGAGTGGAAAGCCCCCAATCAAGACAAAGAGGCCGGCTCGATGCAGCAAACCAACGGCGTCAAAGCTATTGAATGGTTGGGCAACAACGATGCCGCTGTCAGGACTCAAGTCATCCGTCACGGCCCTCTTTTTATGTAGTACTGGTTCAGTCTCCAACCGGGCCGTGATGCGGGGCGCGGGAGATGATGGATATGCCATAGATTTCTGGCATGGCATGGCTGTTCTCGTGGTTGATGTGCTGACATGGTGAACCGATTTGTTCGGTGTCTGAAGACTCAGCTGTCAGGTATCGAGCTTTGATACCTACAGTTGATCGTTGATGGCGGGTGTTCACGTCCTTCCTGGTCAAGTGTCAAAGAGCATCTTTTGAAGAAACTCGTGTTGAATGTGATCCCCGGATGAAGGAAGCCAAGTGGACGTTGGAGGCCCAACAACACTCCAATCTCGTCCCCAACTTTTCCCAGCAAAGGTTGGTATTGCTTGGGTCGCATGTACCTATGACTAGGTACCGACCATTGCTACCTTGATAAAATAAATATTTGTTTCTTTCGTTTTCGCCCTGGAGTCCGAATGTCTCGTAACGAATGACTGTCGCTTTTCTCTCTTTGGTCGAACTGAAGTGCTTGGTCCATATGAGGGTGAAAGGTGTAAGCGGAACCCCCAGCCAACTGATATTCCTGCGAATCGCAATGATTTGTCTGCGGAAGCCGAGCAAATCGTCCTAAACCCTTCCAATGCACCAAGACGGTTTATCCATCCATTCTTTTACATATAGCGTCGGATGTGATGGGATGGATCGACCGTGGCTAGCCTCAGTTGCTGCCTTTCGTTGGCTTCTCTTTTCCCTCTCTTGAGTCGAAACTGACGCCTGTCTTCTCTTGTTGAAGCTGTTCATCCAGTGTGCTTTGTGTCATTTGCATCCATCGTCCCATGTCGTCCCGCTTTCATCTCCATCCCAACCTCCTCGAAACCGCGGATTTCTGCAAGCTTCTCCGTTCCAATTCGACATAACGAACGCTACCCTGCCTCTTCGCCGCACATAAAAAGACACCAGAGGGAGGTTCACGGCCAGGATCCCGGGCAAACGAGCTGATAGCTATTATTTGCTTGCTTCCCGCACACGGTTTCCATCACCCTGACCTAATTTGACGGACGTGGCCTAGGTTGTTCCTTATACTCGGGATCTCCTGTAGACGATCGAACTTCAAGGGTTTGGTATAGGCGCTGAAGTTTTAAAGTGCCTGTGATCTCCCCACAGCAGTTCACAGTCACCCCCTACTAGTAAACGGGAAGACCGTGAATATCAAGGTCAGAGTTCCCACTTCTGACTCGGGTACGCACAAGTACTTGGAACAGATAGTCGCAGGGTACCAGCGCAGGAAGCCCCCACCAATTTTCGCCTGGATGCGGATGCCGCGATACAAGATCCGGCTCTGGTTGGAAGTCACCGCTCGCTCGGCACGCACACTGGGAAACTAAACATTTTGGCGGTCCCAGCCCGCATTGCCATCCGCGTTGCCATAACACCCGCCAGCGACCTTAACAAACCATTGGCATCCCGGTGTCAGAAAACGCCCTTTTGCAACGGTTTGCGGTCCGAAATTGGGCACAGAGCAGTCTGGCAGTTCCAATGAGGTTTTTCAGCAAGAAATCGCCCAAAAGCTCCATCTCCACGGACAGAGTGGACGCAGAGACGCGCGCCGGACGTTACGAGTCGACGCAGCCTTCTGGCGCTTCTCCAGGTCCAGGAAGTCCCTACTCGCACTCAGCGCACTCACGGCATTCGCACTCGCAATCGCCGCCGCCGCCGCCTCCAAAGTCTCCAAAGCCGCCCGCGCAGACGCAGCACCCGCATCACACGCAGCAACACCGACTGTCCCCCACCAAACCCGTGTTTTCGTCCCCCTCGGGCACCCGCACGCCGGCCGCCAAAAAAACTCACAGATCGGATAGTCAACCACGTCGGGACCCATCTCCCCCGACACCACCTCCGCACCACATTCTTCCCGCAACACCACCGTCGGGCTCAACTTCCAGATCTGCGAGTGCGCGCGATCCCACAAAACACTCGTCCTCGTCGTCGTCGCATCACCCGCGCTCCTCGACCAGTTCCCGCAACAGTTTTGGCCGCCATCCAGTCGATTCCGCCGCTGCGTCTGACAGCCGTTCCAGGTCAACTTCCTTCCGTCGGAAAAAGGTCGACACAGACATTCACCCGTTGAACCTGCCCCCCGAGCAGCGTAAACGATTTTCAGATCTCTCCGGATTCAGTGTTCGAGATTCAATGGAGTTCGACAACAAGGAGAACGGTGCGGCTTCCGCAGCCTCGCCCCCGCCCCCGCCGCACAAGCAGCAACCCCAGGACCAGCAAGCACAGCGCAAGCCCACACCGCCCGCTCACGGAAACACCTTTACCGTCCCTGTGTCCAACGGCGCCGATGCTGCTCAGAACAACAATGACGGCGAAGTTCCTACCCCTCCTCCCCATCGCTCGCAGCCCACTACCCCCGTGCAGAACCCTGCCGAGCAGGCAGAGGGCTTCAAGAATGAGGGCAACAAGTTCTTCAAGGCGAAGGATTATACTCAGGCGATTGCGTTCTATACCAAGGGTGAGAAGGAGGCCAGGTCCGAAGAAGAGAAAAAAATATATGTTAGAGGCAGAAACTAACTTTGGGCCTAAATCTACAGCCATCGTCTTGCAGCCCGAATCCGCGACATATCTAGGAAACCGTGCGGCAGCCTACATGTCCGCCGGCAAGTACAAGGATGCTCTTGAGGACTGCTCTCGGGCAGCGGAGCTTGAACCGAATAACCCCAAGATCCTGTTGCGCCTGGCCCGTATCTACACCAGTCTCGGCAGGCCCGAGGAGGCCATCGCCACTTTCGGCCGCATCCAACCGCCTCCTTCGGCAAAGGACATGGCTCCCGCTAAGGAGATGTTGCACTACATTGAGGCTGCCCAGAAGGCTCTCCAGGAGGGCACCGCCGCTTCCATGGTTCTGCACCCCCTCGACAGGGCCGAAAGGCTCCTGGGTATCGGTGCTACCAGGCCCAGAAAGTGGGTTCTGATGCGTGGCGAGGCCCTTCTTAGGTTGGGTGATGTCAACTCTCTTGGCGAGGCTCAGAACATTGCCATGTCCCTTCTCAGGAACAACAGCCAGGACCCCGAGGCCCTCGTGATTCGTGGCCGTGCGCTTTATGCTTCTGGTGAGAACGACAAGGCGATTCAGCACTTCCGTAAGGCGCTCAGCTGCGATCCCGACTTCAAGGATGCCATCAAGTGGTTGCGTACCGTTCAGAGGTTGGACCGCATGAAGGGAGAGGGTAACGACGAGTACAAGGCTGGCCGTTGGCAAAACGCCCTGGAAAAGTACACTGCGGCGTTGGAGATTGACCCGGCAAACAAGGGCACCAACTCCAAAATTCTTCAGAACCGCGCTTTGTGCTACACCAAGCTGAAGCAGTTCGATGAGGCCATCGCCGACTGCGAAAGAGCCATCAGCCTCGACCCCTCTTACCTCAAGGCCCGCAAGACCAAGGCTAACGCGCTTGGCTTGGCCGAGAGGTGGGAGGACTGTGTTAAGGAGTGGAAGGCACTTCAGGAGCTCGAGCCTGAGGATAGGACCATTGCTCAGGAAGTCAAGCGGGCCGAGCTTGAGCTCAAGAAGTCGCTGAGGAAAGACTACTACAAGATTCTTGGGATCGACAAGAACGCCGATGATACCCAGATCAAGAAGGCGTATCGTAAGCTCGCCATCGTTCACCATCCCGACAAGAACCCCGGTGATGCCTCTGCCGAAGCCAGATTCAAGGATATCAGCGAAGCTTATGAGACGCTTAGTGACCCTCAGTAAGTTTTCCTCACCTTATGGGGCTAATGTGTGATGATTTTGCTAACGCCCCGAACAGGAAGCGCGCTAGATACGATAGTGGTGACGACCTAGTGGACCCATCTGATATGTTCAGTGGTGGCATGGGCGGTGGCATGGGCGGTATTGACCCCGAGATCATTATCCAGATGATGGGCGGTCAGGGCGGCCATGGATTTGGTGGTGGTGGCTTCGGCGGCTTCGGCGGTGGCGGCGGCGGCTTCCCTGGAGGCGGTCGCTCCCGCGGCAGAGGAGGTTTCCCCGGCGGCGGCTTCCACTACCAATGACAACCCCAAGAAGATGGTAATGAGTACGAGGATCACTCCGGTGATGATGATCATGGGTATCTTTCCGAAGAAGACGCTGCCGAGCATGAAGACGAGCAAAACCGGACCCACAGAGCTTGGGGAAAAGGAAAAGCAGGCAACGAGATGGACAGCCGAGTGGCATGGCTTAGATCATGGGGTATCTGGCTGGTCGCTGCCGTTGTACTTTTGCCTCCCCATCTCTTGGTTTTGCTCGTTGTTTGGTACATATGCCTAGGGCTATTCAGAAAGCTCGTGGCTGCCGTCAGACGCGCCTAGCGTACTTTGGACGTCTCGGTCAAGAAGTGACTGGACAAGTCTGGAGTATGGTAACCCGTGGCTTAGGCAGGATTTCGGGAGATGCCAATGTGTGTGTAAGAAGCGAAGGAGCATAAAAAAAAGACTCGGATGTTGTTTTTTACATATTGGGCAGGGCATAGACTTTTTTCATCGGTTCATAACCTCACATACACTTCCCCCGAAAAGTTGCGCCACGCTTCCCCTTCATCATCCGTCACTGTCTTGTTATCGTCTTGACCATCTTGCTCATGACTGTTGTGGGGCTGTCTATTGTCACACTATGCGCATACCCGCTTGCTGACCAACACCCGGCTTTCTGAGGTGAAATAAAAGGATAGAAGGGAGCGGCGTTGTATGTGTTTAGGTTTTCAGTTGATGATATAGCGGGGTTACACATGGTACAACTGATTGCACATAGACCTATGATCAGCGCTACATACAACTTGGAAGTCCAGATAGAAGTCTAACGTACAGCTTCATTGTTGGGTTTTAATTTATCGGGTCTGTTGGAGGATGAAGCGGGGGAGCCTGGTATATTTAGGATAGATCTACCTTTTGAATGGCAGTGAAGACATATGGCATACGAAGTTATCTTGTACTATCGCTATTCGGTTTGCGATTCCAAGATATCCACCCATATCCTAACTTTCTTAAAATAAATTTCGGCATGATAATTGAAATCACGGCTTCAGACTTCCAGGTATCCAAGATCATCATGCTACACAAGTCATTTGGCGAACAATCATCACTGGACTTCTGCAGCTCAAGTCCTACGATACCAACATTGTTTCACCTCAGCAATGCCTGTCATTCGGAAGGATGGACCCGAACGTTTCTGGTACCAGGCCGAGATAATTCATGGCTCACACTGTGACACCTGTCTAATATCGAAGTTTGTTATGATAACGGCTTCTGAATCCCAAATCAGGGGTCTAGGTCTAAACAAGACTATTATTAAGCTTTTGAATAAGCTTTGAACACAGGTTACCCCCCTACACATCACTTATTGCTTTGCTTGAAATACCTTTGGTGTAGGTACCTTAAGTCTAGTTGCCATTCTTCTTAACTGTGCATCTCTCCAACCCCTCCAGAGCCACCAAGGTCCCTCTCTTAACCCCCCTTAATGGATGCGGATGACAAGTGACCATTTTCTTGAAAAGCCTCTGATCAAACCTAGAGGCGAGATTCAGCAAGGGAGAAAAATAGGGAAACAAACAAGAGATCTGTTCAGATCAAAGGCGACATGAGATCAACACAAGATGAGGCGAGTTCAATGCCGCGATTGGTTCACAAAGCCACTAACAAGATCTCGCGTGTCCGTTCTGGGGTCAGAATGGAGGACAAGGAACCGTGGCAGTCGAGCCGAAGGGGCAGGTACGGAGGGAGGTACGTAGCGGCTAGCGGGGAGCTTGGGCCCCCTGCTTGAAATTTGGAGGCCACGATTCACATTCGGTGCCAGAGTCCCCGATCCGCAGCAGGTGCCAATTCGCCATCCGCAGAAAGACAACTTGACAACATCTCCCCATCACCAATCCGAACAAGTATCCATCTGTCCAAATCAACGAACCCTGTGGAAGCCACCACACCTCAATTGCTTGGACACAGATAGTCGCACCACCTTTGTTCCCAACCATCTTCAGCAGCAAACTGAACTGGGAACAACTTCCACTCCTTTCTTCCACGGTCCACTACTACGCTGGCCTAGACAAGAGGATCCCCGCGGCAGCTCCAACAAAAGCGCCTTGCTCGGCCTCTTCCTAGCTGCAACTTGTCCTCGACATCTTTTCGACGGGAATCCCAGCCTAACCGTTCACCACCACCAACACCACAACAGAGAGCAGCAGCCTCTCGCCAAAATAGGTACTCACGATGAGTACTGATTACGCCTACGACGAGGAGGGTCACCTCTGGCCCTTCTTCGTGTTCACCCTCACGTCCATCGTCACCGTGCCCATCACGTACTCGCTAATAAAATCGTCGCGAAACGACCCAGCCGCTGCCCTTAAGCGCATTCACACAGACTACAAGCACGACCAGTCGTCGGTGGTCGACACGCTACGCAAGTCGGAGAAGCGCAAGGACGGTAGCAAGCCATGGCTGATTGCCCTCGTCATCGCCGGATGGGCCGTCATGGGCTACATGCTCTACCTCATCAAGATCACCGACGCCCCCGTACAAAACCTCTGGAACCCGTATGATATCCTCGGCATCTCCGAGAGCGCCACCGAGAAGCAGATCAAGAAGACGTACAAGATGCTTTCCCTCAAGTTCCACCCCGACAAGGCCCGCCCCGACGTCGCCAAGAACGAGACCATTGACGACCTGAACCGCCGCTACGTCGAGATCTCCAAGGCATACCAGGCGCTGACGGATGAAGATGTGCGCAACAACTTCATCCAGTTCGGCAACCCCGATGGCAAGCAAGGTTTCAGCATCAACATCGCGCTTCCCAAGGCCATTGTCTCCGATGGCAATGGCAAGTACATTGTCCTGATCTACTTCGCCCTGTTTGGTGTCCTCCTCCCTTATCTGGTCGGTTCTTGGTGGTACGGCACATTGCGACGCTCCAAGGAGGGCGTTCTCATGGAGAGCGCCAACCGTCTGTTTAAGGAGTACCAGGACAACATTGACGAGGGTGGCGTGATTGCGGCTCTCAGCAGCGGCCAGGAATTCGAAGACCTGTTCAAGGGTGACAAGGCAGACGCCGGCCTCTCTAAGATCGAGTCCAAGGTTATGGCTTCCGACGAACTTCCACCCAAGGAGAAGAAGAAGCTTGAGGACGTTGAGAGTGGCCCCCGGAGAAAGGCTCTCGCCCTTCTCTGGGCTTACCTCGGGCGCATTGAGCTCGGCGATGCTACTCTCGAGAAGGCCAAGTTCCAGGTCGCGCCCATTGCCCATGCTCTGAACAAGTCCTTCAACGCTATCGCCCTCGCCTACATGAACACCGCTCCCCTTCTCGCCTCGTACTTCGCCAGCCAGCGCCTTATCCAGGCCATCCCGCCCAAGGCTTCTCCTCTGTACCAGCTCCCCCACTTCAATTCGACCATTGTTGAAGCTGTTGAGGGTGACTCTCGTGTTCACACCACTGTCCAGGCCTTCATGGACCAGCCCGACGCTAAGCGCCGCAGCCTCGTTGTTGGAAAGGGCCTCTTGACCGATGCTCAGTATAAGGAATCCATCGCATATGCCAAGCAGCTCCCCTACCTCCGCGTGGCCAAGGCTTTCTTCAAGGTCACCGGCGAGAAGTTCATCATCCCCTCTTCCCTCGTCACGCTCGTTGTCAAGGGCCGCTTCGTCCCTCCCGGTAGCGAGAAGGTTCCCGACGTCAAGCCTATTGATCTCGATGACATTGACCCCGCCGAAGACGATCTCGACGCCATCCTCGGCCGCAAGAAGACCAAGAAGCTCGTCGGCAAGGACGAGAAGGGCAAGCCCATCTACGAGGAGACGACCGAAAGTGAGGACATTTACCCGCCGCTTGCTTCTTCCCCTTACTTTGCCCGCGATCACAGCCCTAGGTGGCACGTGTTCCTCACGGATTCCAAGCAAGGGCGCGTGGCCGTCCCGCCGTTCACTTTCGTCAGCTTCGACAGGCCCATTTACGAGGCCGACGGCAAGACGCCCACGTTCGCCATGCAGACCCTTAAGGCGCAGTTCCAGGCGCCGCCACAGGCCGGTCACTACACGTTCGTTATGCATATCGTGTGCGACAGCTATGTTGGGTTTGATACCAAGATGGAGGTGACGCTCGTGGTGGAGGACGCGAGCCGGGCGGCGGATATGAAGGTTGAGGAGGAGATTAGTGAGCCTGAGGAGGGTGAGTTTTTTTTTCCACCCCACTCCCATCATCCAAATTTGTCAAGACTCGACAGAAAGCTGACCACAAACCAACCTACTACAGATTCCATCGCCGGCATCATGAATGCCGCCAAGGGTGCGCCGACAAAGCAGAGGGTTATCAAGGACGAAGATGATTCGGACGAGGAAAGTGGGACGGATGATGACGAGGACGATGACACGAGTGACACTAACACGGATACGGAGGCTGAAAACTAAGTAGTTATGTTTTCTGTTTCTCGCTTGTCGCTCAGTTCTTCAATTCATTCATGTCTTGTAACTCAAATTTTTTTCTTCTCCATTCCTAAGAATGGGTGTGTGTGTACGGGTCGGTCAGTCGGCTGGTTGGTTGGTTGGTAAGGATAGGGTAGGGTGAAGAGTGTTGTATGTGGCTAGCAGCTGCGGCTTCTTTAAAAGTGATAGGAGCGGCTTATTATACAGCGAAAAACAAAACTTTGTACTACGTCACTAGTTAGGACAGACAGCCTGGTGGCCTGGCCACAACTACCTTACTGGGCTTTCTTTTTTTTTGTTTTTTTTTTTTGCAAGTTTTGTGTACATACGGTGATTAGGTACAGTGATGGTCAAAAAATACTGTCCCCAACCCATGTTGAATGCACCGCAGGAAGGGACAGTATTTTTCGACCGTCAGTCCAGGGTCGGGAATAAATCAAATCTGATAAATCTAAATCCAAGTAAATCCAACTCCAGAGTGGGTCAAATCTAGGTCGGGGTTTGGCTTGCAAATCCAAGTCTGGGACAAGATTTGACTTGAGCTGGCAAATCTTTGGAAGTGAGTGCCAAAGTTGGTGATTTGGTGAAGAGATAGGCTGTTCTTATTCTGGGTGGTACGAAATAGTGGGCCCGGGAGCCAAAATTCTAGGTACTTAGGTACTTTAAAGCTTCTTTACTCTAGTTCAACCCTTACCCTCTGAGGATTTGAGACGGATTTGAGTCCCCAAATCCAAATCCGAGCATTTTGTCCCAAATCAAATCCAAACCCGACCCCAGATTTGATTTGTTTGATTTGTTTCCTACCCTGCGTCAGTCTATCTTGTTGTTATTGAGGCAGTCGGACAAAGCCAAGCGCAGAAACAACAACCTTGATATGAATAGAATGCTGTGTGTGTGTCGTAACGCAACGTAACCATGTGGCCGTATGGGGTATCATAATCTTCATTCTCTTTTTCGATTTTTTTCTTCTTCTTTTTTTGTCTCATGCACCAACGCCTCTTGATTTCTTCTTCTCTTTACCATCATCAACACTTCTCATTCATTCATCTATTCAAACCCAATCCATCCATCTAGCAACCGACCAACCGACTGACCGACCACGAGATAGATAGATAGGTGTTAAAGTGAGATAGGTAGTGTAGGTAAGTGACCTAGTATAGCGACTGTGTATCCCATCCTATAGTTATAGTGTACAAAAAAAGATACGCTAGTATAGTCTAGTTCTAGTAAAACGCTGTTTTGGTCTTGATAATATGCAAGTAGTAGCTTTCACCTCACTTCACTTCACTTTACTCCCCTCTTGCGCTGTAGCGTAGTGTCCTCCTCCTCCTCCTCCCCCACCTCCTCATCATTTCCTCGTAAGTATGCTTCTTGGCTAACTTACTACGCCTACTCCTACTGTCTCTCCTTCTTTTCCTTGCTCTTAACGCCGGCTTTACCACAAATCCCAAGTGGTAGGTAGGTAATTCCCCACTCATCCACACGAACGATGAGATGAATCCGCTAAAAATAATTCATGCTCGGCTCGACTCCGCTTCTTTCCTTTTCTTCTTCCTCCTCTTCTGCTTTTCCCTCTTCCCACGCTTCTTCTGGGGGTATAGGTACTAATCCTAATTCAGTTCAGTTCAGCTCGGCTCAGCCTCGCTGGCTGGCTGGCAACAACTTTGACTGCTGTCCTGGGTTGCTGGGGCAGCGAAACGGCTCTTTCGTTAGCCCTGTTGGGCATTTGCCTAGCTTGTCCTCCTTCCAAGGATCGGCATCGGTCCTTGTTTTCCGTCCAATAATTATACACAAGATGTTTTCGTTTAGGCAGCAACCTTCATGTCGGTTCCGGACGTCCTGGCCACGCTCGGGTGGTTGTCGACCGCGGGGACTTGGGAGACGGGCTGGCCGCGGGCCTGGGCGGTGAGGGCGATGAGTTCCCTGAGCATGAGGTCGCGCGTGTTCTTGCAGAGTTCGTCGACGTCGGCGGTGGTGAGGCCGGTGGTGTCGATGGGATCAAGAACTGTGAGGGAGATGGGGGTGATTAGTGTCTGCACAGCTTATGAAGGAAGTGTAGAAGAGGGGGGCTGGAATCGATAGTTCTTACCTTTAACAGGAACAACTCCAGCGTTAAAGACCAAGTCCTTCGTGTTGAGGATATGGCTGTAGTTGGCAACGACAACGGGCACAATGGGGACCTGAGCCTGGACAGCCAAGTGGAACGCGCCCTTCTTGAAGGGCAACATCTCGGGCTCCTTGGAGTAGCTCCTGGTTCCCTCGGGGAACATGTAGACGCTCTGCTGCTTCTTCTGGATTTGGTTGGCGGCGCCGGCCATAGCGGCGCGCGCGTCGGTCTTGCTAGCACGATCGATGAAGATGGAGCCCGAGAGAGACATGAACCAGCCGAGGAAGGGGGTCTTTTTTAGCGAGCTCTTGGCCGTCACGGAGCAGTACTTGGGGAACATTGTGCCCAGCATGAGCACGTCGAGCTCTGTCTGGTGGTTGCCGATGAAGATGGCGGGGCGGGTCTTGCCGAGAATGTTCTTGGGGTCCTCGATCTTGAAGCGGACGCCAGTCGTCAAGGCCATGACGTACTTGAAGGAGCGGCCGACGGCCCATTGCGCGCTCTGGCCGTGGCCGAGCCACGAGAAGACGATAGAGGTGAAGACGCCGAGACCGGCGCAGAGGAGCAGCGAGAGGTAGCTGGCGAGCGAGCGGGCCACGAAGGCCGCCTTCGGGAGGATGAGGGACAGCATGTAGAAGCCGATGGTGAGGGCGACGCAGCCTTCGAGGAAGTAGACCGGGTAGTAGAGAAGACTGGCCATGACAGCGGTGATCAAGGTAAGACACCCAATGGTCCTAGAGGTATGCTTTTAATTCCGCAAGTGGGACTCGGAAGGGGTTTGGGATGCCGCTAAAACGGGGTCTGCCCTGCGGAAGATCGGTACCTCGCGTGTGGTTGGAAGTATGACGCAGGCAAGATGGGGGCGCTGGACAGGTTCGGAGGTAATGGGATTCGATATGCGTTTTCGTCGGATCCAAGCCTGAGTCTTTGGTTGTTAGTTTTGGAGAAAGAAGAGACTATGGTGTGCTTCCGAAGCAAGACGGGAAGGCACAAGCAGAAGTAGCTAGGCATATGTAATAACAGCTAGTGGGCAGACTTACAGCGGCGCAAAGTGTGCAGAAGTCCTAGCCCTGCAGCGTTGGAAGTGAAATTGTTGTTGGGAGAGAAATATCAAGGACTTTGTTGCTGGTGGGAGAGTGAGAGGAGAGGAGAGGAAAAGGCTGGCGTGACACAGAGCCTGGTGTAAGAGGGGGTTTCAGTTGGGATATGTCTTGTGATTTTTGGATTGTAATGTGGAAAGAAGAGAGAAGTTGTATTCACCTTGACCGAAAAAAGAGATTCAAGACGACGGCACCGGAGAGGCTGGACACACGGCACAAGCAACGAGACGCAGAAGCAGAAGGCAGAGGCAAAAGCAGAAGCAGAAGCACGTCGCAACAAATGGGAATAAACGACGTAGCCGATGGGATGCTGCAGTTCCGTCTGTCGCATGCAATTCATACAGGTTGGGGATTCCAAGAGTGTGGGGTTCCCGAATGAACCGTGGGATGACTGCCGTTCATGCCGTTTGATTGGTTGCTCATGCTAGATTCTCCACAGAATTTTCGTCTTGTGCACTGTCGTCACGGTTCGTCTGACAGGCACCGCAACCTCGGAAGTTGTGTCTGTTGAGGCTAAACTTTTCTCTCTTCAGAACCCCTTGGAAGCTGTTTGACAACAGCCGTATAAGTGCCCCTGGCCGAACCCAACCATTTACATTGAAGACTGTTTTCTTTCTGACAGCTTAAACCAACAATCTAACAACACCCAATCCATTGCGCTGATCAACTGCCACAGCGTCGACACTCTCATACAACTCAACCAAAGGTACAACACTGAATGAGGTCGTCTTCACATGTTAGCGTTTGCCTGTGTTAGTGTCACTGCACCACGAGCGGAGTGGACGTTTGGTTCAACAAATCTTTGGGGATCTGATGACATGATGCCAGGCAGGTGCCAGTGGTGCCCCAGGTTTGGGCCTGGCCAATCCTTCCTTCTTCAGGTGCTCGACCGCGCCCAATTTGATCAATTGGGTTAGCACGATACGTTACCATTTGGGCAGGCAAGATGTTACAGTGATACAAGAGTTAACGGGCGTAGGGGCGGTGTGTTGTAAGTTTCATACGGACGCTCCCCTCGTTCTCCTGCCCATGGTGGTGTTCTTTTCCGTCATGGGCCCGCATCAGATCATTTCCTGCGGCCCGCCAGTCCTCCACTCACCACTCACTGTTCCCCTTGCCGTCACGGTTCGCGGTCTCAATGTCGGTCACTGCCTAGACAACCAACTACCTGTCTACTAACAAACAGCGACTGCTCCCGCGTTTCAACCCCCGACTTCAACAACGCCGCCGACCGCACATCACTCCCGTCCCTCTCCTCGCCGCTTGTATGTATATTCACCGGCAAGATTCTGTCCTGTAACACCTTTCGTCGTACCAAATATTACACGCGCTTTCACCCAGACGACTACCTACCTACTACTGTGTGATAATCTCACGTGTCGAACAACTGCGATTGCGATTGACCATCACCGCCAACCACTGCAACCTAACTCAGGACTAGTTCTAGCCATCTGGTCACTTGGTGGGGGGTCCACATGATATCATGGTCTCAGTCCAGCACATGCGACTGCGATAATCAATAACCCCGTCTTCGAAAACACCGACGACACAGCCCTACTTCCAATTGCCAGACAGCCGCCATGGCCGCCTATCGACGGGGACAGCCGTCCCTCTCGGTGCGATTGCCCCAGCCATCGGCCTCGGCTGCCCTTCCCGACCTGCCGCCCATATCCGCCCTATTTCTGATCGACTTCGATGTCAAGGCTGGATATACCATTGTATGGAAACAGTCAGTGCCTGGGCTGGAACTCGATGGCGTTGTTGAATACAAGAGTCTTCCCTCCGGCCTTCACACCGTCACCGACGACTTGGTTTACTTTGTTCACGAAGGGGGACATGCTGGCTTGAGCGCCTTTGTCAACGCCAGGACCGACGAGGAGGAAAATCGCCATGCTCGTATGATTGCTGTTGGTGTTTTGGTTCCGTTGGCATATGGACGTCTAGGAAGGTCATGGCGTCATGCTGACCGCCTCAAGGATATTGCTAGGTAAACCATGGTGCTGTATGCCCCGGCTTTCGACATCAGACACTAACAACTAGACCCTGACATATAGTAAACTTGTTGTCGACCGTCAACAGACACATCTGCTGGAGGACTACTGGGCGCAGAACGGGATACGGGATGGCGCTCCCCCACCGCCACTGCCGGAAGCTGCGCTGGACTCGCCCGCACTGAGCTACAAGGGGGGCCGTCCTGGTCCCGGAAAAGGCCACTCAAGGAACAGGTCCGCATCGGACGGCACCGTCTTGATGTCCTCCCCTCACAGACTCTCACCTTACCACCCCGCTTGGAGTTTAACTTCGCTTCTTGACACCTTTGGACCCCTTATCTTTCCTATACACCGTGCTGCTCTACTACGCAAGCGTATACTAATTTCTACTCATGCTCCTGTACAAGAAGCCTGTAATTTCGGTACGTTATGCGGAACTCAGGGTACCTTCTGGACAATCTTGCTTACATACTTTGTTAGTATACGATCTCTCTGTATTATCCAACATTCCTCTGTCAGTCTCCGATTTGGTGGATCCTGCAGCATCGACCCAACGTCTGCGACCACTGTTCAACATTGGTGTTCACGATATTGGGTACCTTCTAGAGCACCACGCGGCAATGAAGCGTCATTTCAGAGGCGACAACCATGAAACCGACGCTGATTTTGCGTCCAGTATTTCTGCGGAGGAGGCGGGATCCGGATGGGTTGCTTGTACAACGGACACCATCCTCACCATGAAAGAGAGTCTATGGGATATGCTTATTACCTTACCGCCACCACATTCGGGAAACGCCAAGGAGCACTTGTGGCCAACTGTTGAATGTCCCAAGGGAATGCCAGTCAAGGCCACACAACGAGATCTGAGGAGGTTCAAGTGGCTGAAAATGAGCCTTGCTCGGATTGACCCAACATCAATGACGACACCGCATATTCCTCGCAGCCCATTATCTGACGGACTAGGACGGCGGTCCGTATCAACACCTACTGCGCCTAACCGAACGCCGACAAATTCACTGTCCAGACCAACCGAAAACACACGACCGGGCACTGCGACATCTCAAACACCATCGCAGGCACTACCTAATTCAGAAGATGACGCCGAGCGAGTTGTGGAGCCGACTACATGGGCAGCACTAGCCTACTCTGGATTCATTTGGTGGGCCTCAGCAGGCGAGCAAGGCCACAGTGACGAGGTAGACGAGTTGGCGCACGACAGCGCTTTGCTTGCCGATCTCACAGGCAACACCCCAAAGATGACCGGACGCACACCTAGGAGGACCAGTTTCGGCACTGCCTCTTCGACCGGCAATAACGCCGGAGAGAGGGGGATAATGGAATCAGTTGCGTCACTCGCCGCCCAGCGAGATGGAGCGCAGGAGACATCCGACGACGAGCAGGCCCGCATTGAGCTGGCTATTATCGCCTACTTTCATCGCCTCACGACGTCTTTACTCACTGTTCTGGCAGACCTCGTCGACAGTGCGGATGATGACGACCTGCTTGACCTTGACATCGACCCTAATGCGGTCGGTGAAGAGGAGTACAGGGATGATTATAACAATGATGATGACCAGACCGGACTGTTATATGGTCAGGAGCAGTCCGGAATCCCGAGAGATCATCATCAAGGCGAAGGTGAAGAAGACCACGAAGCAGAGTATGAAGGCAGCTTGCGGGGTTGGGTACGAGTCGATAGCGAAGCGCTGGCGCATATGGGCCTGGACGTGTGGAGCAAGAGTGACGCAGACTTCGTGAGTGAGTTGACAAAGAGGTACTTCAGGAGGAGGGCATACGTGGAGAATAAGGGTGTTGAAGTGTGTGGGTTGAAGGTTTGTTAAGCCTAACTGACCCCTTTGTTCGTTTGTCAAATCAGGGCATCATCCGCTGATGGTTCTTCTTTCTTTCTCTCTATTTCCTCTTTCGGCGTACTATTGGGGCCGTATGGCGTTAAACCTTTGGGAATGGGAAAAATGGTAACTAGAGTCTTTGATCTTGGTTTGCGTGTGAAGACCCTATGTTTAATTTCACAAACCATTGCATATGTCTCAAAGTTCTCGTACCACACCGAGCCTCTGTTAGTTACCTGGCAACGACTGCCAACTCGTACTGCTGAATATCCCATAACTCATATTCCTAAAGAGTTGTTAGTTCATTCATAAGGCAGAGAAGGACAAAGCTCCAGAGATTCCCCACCGGGTTGAGACCAGTGACATCCATATCGATTCTTGGGATAGATCGGAAAAGTTGCCTGCTTTTTCTCGAAACCTTGGTTTCATGTGGGGAGAACCACAGAATTACGGACCCAATGGGGAAAGGTCAAAGTTACCTCTGCCGTGTGGATGGTCAACTGTTTACCTACGATCACCTCCGCTTCCTTAAACACTCAAAGCTTCAGTTTTTTCATCCCCTTTCCTCTTTTTCGTCCCATTTTCTTTTCCCCAGTCTTCATGATTGATCGTCAAACATCATGCTCGTCATTCCATTTTTCATCTTACACATAACATGTCTGCTAAGCGCGTTCATCCCCCACGCCTACGCTCAGCAGCAGCAACATGACGCTTCTGACGCGACGACGACGACGACGACGACGACACTCAACGACATAACGTCTTCTCCGCCGTCCCAACAGAAGATCATCATCCCGATCATCCGGACTTTGGAGGACTTAAAAAAGTTCATCAACCACGGCGGCTTGCCACCGAAAAATGAAGTCCATTCATTGGGATTGGAAAATGACGATACCACCACCACCACCACCACCTTTGAAGAGGAGGAAGAAGAAGAAGAAGAAGCTCCAAGTCTCTTTATATTATTCGACACTACATCTGCGTCTGCGTCTCTTTGCACCACCCATAACTCTGGCTCCTGCTCCGCCCATGACTCTGATTCGTCCTCCTCCTCCGATGTTGATGATGATGACGCAAGAGCAAGAGCAAAAGCAAAAGGAATCAAGATCGAGATCAAGACTGTCAAACAAGCTTTCGAATCCTTTGCCGAGAAATACTACTATCGAGATCGAGATCAAGATGGAAATGAGCCTTTACGGTTTGGTATCATCGAAATCGAAACTGACAACGTCAAAACTGCCGGTGGATTGGAGGAGGTGATAGCCAGGGAAATGGGGATTACTCTTGGGCTTGAACTTGGACTTGGAACAAGTTCTGCACTGCCAACAGTGGTGCTGTGTTTACGGTGCGGTGGCGTTGAGGGGCGGGTTGAGACGTTTAGGATTGTTCCTGAATTCCACTCTGAGGAGGTAGGGTCTAGAGGAGTCGATGAGGTGGAGGAAGAACAGCTGGAGAAATGGATGAAAGAAGTGGCTAGGCCGGTGATTGGGGAGTTGACGAAGGGGAATTATGGGAGAGTGCGAGAGGTTCGTCCGTCTTATCTACCTTACCTACCTTTCTCTGTTCCCTCGGGTTGGCTGTCATCCAATATTGGACCTTATTAACTCAGGTGTCGTTGTGACCAAATGATCCATCCAGATGGAAAATACCCTCCCAACTGTCTACGTCTTCGCACGCTCCCGTCAGCAACGTATCAACATCCGTCGACATACACTCTCCACGCTCGCTACCAAGTATCGCTCCTCACTTCAAATCGTGGTTGTCGACCCGACTATGTTTCCCGACTTGGTAAAGGAGTTGGGTCTTAGTCTCTCACACTCGGATTCGGAGGGATCTGGTGAAGGTGGTGTAACAGGAGCAGTGGTATGGCCCCAGAAGAACAACAATGGCAACGGTGACAGCGACAAGGTCATAAAGACGATTTATCACTACCCCAAAGACGAACCCATTACTGAATCAAATGTCAAGCAATGGGGATTGGATCTGTATTTGGGGAGGGTCAGGCCTTGGGTTCCACCATCGTCGTCGTCGTCGTCCAACTCTGACGGAGGGAAGAAGGGACAAGATGGGGGTGGAAGTGGAAGTGGAAGTGGGAGAGACGAGGGTTTGAGGAACTTGAAAAACAGGGTGAAATTGTTCAAGGGAGGGAAGAAGGCGACGAGAAAGGTGACGAGGAGAACGGGATCTGGATCAATTCCGGGGGTGAAGATTAGAGTTGCTGGGAGGGATGAGTTGTGACGGGAGTCTCTGAACGGGAAGGGGCCACTGGCTCGGGGACAAGACTAGGCCTTCTAAGCAGTTAGTTCTTCGCGGCAGGATTGAACCTTGCAGACCTCGTTGGCCGTAGGCCGGTAGTATGCAGGATTTGCACAATGATATTTTCCCTGGCGAGTTCGAGGCTTCTTCCTGTTCGCTTCAGTTTCGAGAACTTGGCTAGAAGGCGTCAGAACGACATTCATCGGCCAACTCTTCCGCTGCTCGTCAATGGACGACTCCACCTCCGACCGTTGGACCCGCTGTCTCTAGAACTGTTCGTCTCGACAAGCGAAGAGCGAGGTTTGAACAGAACCAATTTACCCCCGATGTCAAATTTAGCCCGCTTACATCTGCAGGGGCTCACACATCTTAACCCTGGGCCAAGCTTCGAAGCGCACTGCAGACGCTAGCGAGCCACCAATGGTGTTTCACTCATGCTTTGGCGCATTTGATTGGCCCAGATATTCACGATCTCACTCGTTCGGCTTTTAACCCCCCCTGCTTTCATCGCAAGTAAACGCCGGCACATGTCATCACACAAGTAGGACACTGCATGTCTGCAAGCTCATCTGCGTCTATCTTACGTCTAGCCAATCCCACGATCAGAGGGCACTATTTCTGGTTTCCTCCATTCCGATCATGGAGGGACAATTGACCATGACGAGAAATTTGACAACCATCAAGAGGCAATTGGGACTTGGGAGGGTGGCATCCTCAACCTTTCTGACCCCCTAACCTCACAGCACTGCATCGGCGACGCGGCTCTCCGGCTATCCAAGTGGATGGCTCATTTATCTGAAGGAGAGATGACACTTGGATGATGGGCGTTTAGGTGCGCGGGTACGCTACTACCGGATGGTAGCACCGAGAGAGATCCAAGAGATCCGAGAATCCCAGAATCCCATCCCCGGGTTTACTTGCTGGTATATGCCCAGCGGCGTTGTGATGCAATCTAATGGCGGTTAGCCGCCCTATGGATGCAGCGACGGTGGCCAAGGAATGCGATATTTGTACACACCCTTTTCTGGTTATGGGGTTTGAAATCCATCTCAGAGGTATTTGTATCAGAATAGTCCCAGTTCTCTCCTGAGTCCTGAAGATCTTCCCTTCCAGAGACAGTCAGTCTTCCATCCCGTCTCCATCGAACCGTTGAGCTGTTCGTTTCCTTTCTTCCTTTCAGTTTCGTTTCTCTGGGTTACTTTTTTGCGGGTCATATCATTCCGTCAACCAGCATCATCCCCTATCCCTTCCTTTTGGATTTGATACGTCTGGTCAGTCGTCTTCTACGTCAAGCACAGAGCAGAGCTCTTATATACGGTCAGACGACCAAACAGTCTATATACCCTTCAAGTCAAACTTCATCATACCGGCCATCTCCAGCTTTAAGATATTCGCCATGTCGTCCGAAAAAGCGCCTTCCACCTCCGAGCTCTTCGAGGTTGCCTCGCAAGATAAGCACCTGCAGGGCAAACTACGCATCGTCCGTATCCTAGACAGCGTCCAAACAGCCATCACTCTCCTGGGCCTCCTACTGGGCCTCACTGTGCTCGGTGTCTCCGCCAACACGCTCTCCGTTTACAACTACACCAAGCCTCTACCGGGATCCTTCCTCTCCCTCTGGCCTCAGGAGTTCAACATCCAACCCGCCGTGGCCCTGGTCGCCTGCAGCGCCATCATCACTGTCCTCCACATGGTTGCTTTGGTCTTTCCCAAGGTGCAATTCGTATGTCTCTCCTATTTCTCACATTGTTGGTACAAAAAACCACAGATACTAACACGCCATCATATAGCTTCGCACAACCTCAACCGTCCAAGTCTCTCTCTCCTTTACCCTCCCCTTCATCTCCCTTGTCTGCGCTCTCGTCGCCGTCATCTTCTTCTACTCCGTCAACGCCTCCGACTCCGTCGACACCTTCCTGTCCTGGACCTGCCGGTGGCGTGCGGTCCCCATGTGGACGCAGCCCAGCTGGGGTACGCTGTGCAAGCAGAGCAAGGCGGGCATCTACCTGTCCATCCTGTTGATTCCCGTGGAAGCCGGTGCGCTGGCGTTGAGCGGGTGGTTGCTCAAGGAGAGGAACTATGTGGAGAGATATGTCAATGCTAGGAAGAGTCCTGCTCTTTCTTAGGGGGTGTTGTGTTGGATAACACAGACAAGAAGATGCAAAAGGTTGACGATGTTTGATGGATGGATGATACTGTAATATTATGATATTAATCTGATGGTCAAGATATGGATTGGGTTGGGATAAGTCTGGTTACAGGACGGTTACGGGACGGTTACGGGACGGTTACGGGACGGTTACGGATCTGGGGTTTACCATAATGGAAAGGTTATGGGTTTCTTGGGAAGAGGTAAACATTGGAAATCTGTAAAACAATACGAAAATGCTCAACAGGAGTCATGATGGCTTGGAAAGCTTCGAGTCTCAACTCCGGACCGTCAAAGATCGTTTGTGAAGAGGTCGTCAGACTAATGTATGTAGGGTTAGGGTTCAGAACGGCTCAGAAACTGGGACAATGTCGTTTGAACCCACTGCAGCACATTCAAGAGACACCACGATCACCAGCTTCGAAATGGTTTGCGACATTAAATACACTGTGTTATCAAGCCGTTGTCTCCCGTATCCAGTTTTCATTTTCACATCTCCTGTCATGCCCTTGATATGCAGTGGTCGTGGAAACATGCCAATACCTAGAGGTATCCTGTTGACTAGAGCTACACCACCGTGTGGACAGCCCCACTTCTCCGCATCGAGACTCCCTGCAAGTCTGCAACAACGAGGAACAAGTGTCGGTCGGGGACCTTCCCCGAGAGTCATTCTCTCCGTTGTCAACAAACTCCATGAAAAAGAAGTTCATCCGGAAATTTAGGCATCACGACAACTTCCAAACGGCGAAAACAACATTTACCGTTCAAGTTCAACGAACAAAACCCCCCCATCGTTATCAGAAGTAACAGCAGGAACCGTGACAATACCAAACCCGCTTAACCTGTCATGGCCAACTCAGACGAAATCCATTATGACCTCGTCGAGGACGATGAGTTTGATATTGTGTCCGTTCACCCTCTCTCGTTATAGACGTCAATATCTTTCATCCTTCATTGACCCATATACCCCTTCGTGGACCAATTCGCATATCGGCGAATTTCCCAAGTCTCGTTGTCGTCATCATATGATTGCATCAGTCTCACCAGTCACTCACTCTCCTTGGCTCCTGGGGCAGTAACCCGAGATAAGCTCATACTAACTTAGCATCATATTTAGGAACATTGTTGTTGAAGGGCTCGATGAAACCTCCATACATAGCCCGCCGCCATCTGTTTCCGCCGCCACCCATGGGGGAGTGAAGAACCCAAGTTTCTCTCAGCGACGCACGTCAGGGCGCCATGATTTCCAGAAATGGCTTCATGAGGAGCTCGGAAAATATCCAGGTAAATCTGGCTGGTTCCATTCTTCTGATATATCCGCTAATCGTCCCTTTTTCGGCAGCCAAAACTCATGCACAAAAGGTGGTTGAGGAGCTCGATGCTCCCAAGAGCGGTCTTATCTATCTCCGTGGCTTCAATGAGCCACTCTATCCTTACTCTGACCAGGGCCCACCGTTCCGTCAGCAACGACACTTCTTCTACCTCAGCGGAGCAGACTTCCCCGGCTGTGCCGTAACATACGACATCCCCCGGCAGCACCTCATCGTCTGGATCCGGCGCAACGACCCCCGCTTGTCGCTCTGGTACGGCACCACCCCCTCCATCGAAGAGGTGAAATCAAAATCCGACGTCTCCGACGTCCGCTACATCGACGACGTGACCAAGTATCTCCACGCCAACCTAACGCCAGACACAACTCTCTTCCTGCTCCACCCGGACCAGACACCCAAACTCGAGCCCCCCTCCCTCAACCTCCGCCACAGATTCAAGGGACCGAAGATCGACACCACCTCCCTCCTCCCCGCCATCGAAGCCGCCCGCGTGATCAAAACCCCGCACGAAATCTCTCTGATCCGTCGCGCTGTGGCCCTCACCTCCCTCGCGCACCGCATGGTTCTGCAGCGCATCAAGCACCTCTCCAACGAGCGGGAAGCACACGCCGTGTTCGAGGGGTTCTGCATCAGCCAGGGTGCTCCGCGCCAGTCGTACGCTGTGATCGCTGCTTCCGGTGCCAACGCCAGCACGCTGCATTACGAAGCTAACGACCAGCCGCTTGAGGGCAAGCAGACCATGTTGTTGGATGCGGGTTGCGAGTGGGGGTGTTATGCCAGCGATGTGACGCGGACGTTCCCGCTGAAGGGGAAATGGACCAAGGAAGGGGAGGAGATATATAAAGTGGTGGAGAGGATGCAGAGGGAGACTATTGATGCGATCAGACCGGGCAGGTTGTATTACAAGCTGCATCTGGTTGCGTGCTTGGTGGCGGTGGAGGAGTTGATGAAGTTGGGAATCTTGCACAACGGGACGAGGACGGAGATTTTGGCCAAGGGCACGGTGGCGGCGTTCTTCCCCCACGGGTTGGGACATCATGTCGGGTTGGAGGTGCATGATGTTAGTGGAAGGGAGAGACTTTTGTTGTCTTCTTCTTCTTCTTCGGGGTTGAGCAGGCAAGCGATTTCGGGATCAAGAAGGCTGCCGCCACCGCGCAACATGAAGAGGGAACAAGTCACACCCGAGGATTTGGCCGCCATGTATCGCGAGGCGATGATGGATACCGCCGGGGACGAAGTTGAGCAGAGCGCTGTCGCGCCTCCTCCACCTTACAGAGGAAGGCAGAGACTTAAGGAGAATATGGTCGTCACTGTTGAGCCTGGGATGTATGTTTACCCCCCCTCTCCTTTCTTTTAGGACCATGGTCCCGGGATACTAATCTTCACTCGTACTAGTTACTTCCACCGCCCCTACATCCAATCCTTCTTCCTCTCCAACCCCGATCACGCCAAGTACATCAACACCAAGGTGCTCGACAGGTACTGGGACGTGGGCGGCGTGCGCATCGAGGACTGCATCCTGGTCACCAAGGACGGGTACGAGAACCTGACGACGGCGCCCAAGGGGAAGGAGGCGCTGAAGATTATCAACGCGGGTATTCCTGGGTTTCCTTGTGATGGCAAGGCATAGATAGGCACCGAAGTAGGTCAAGGTAGGCGACGAGATGGTGGAAAGAATGGGGGTGTGATGTGATGAATCCGTAACAGAGATGGATATTTCTTCGATGTAGAATGCAGATACGCATCTGAGTGACATATTACAAGAGACTTGCAGGTAGACATGCAATATAAGCTCTATTAATTCGATACACGACGACGATTATTACCAGAGACAGCAGAGAAAGAAGGCTTTGCTGCCTGTACTAATTAGCAGACACTTCAGTTCAAACAATACCTCTATACTGCAATCTTCGATACTTTTGACTTCAATCCCATTTAACCTGCAACTACACTGAAGACATACAAGACAAAACCCAAACGCAGCACTAACAACGCCATGCAAAATACAATCCAACGAAATTCACCGGGTCTTCAGACCCCGCCCATTTCTTATTTACACACACACACTTCGACACTCCCCCTCCTTCCACCTCCTCCTGCTCTTCTCACCCTGGCCCCAGCCTGTCCTGTCGTATTCTTTACAAATACTTCTTGGGCCCACCAGCCTTCCTCCTCTTATAAATAAAATACGCCACCGCCAACACGATCTGACTCCCCACGATCGCCAAATACAACTTGGTATGTCCCGGCGCGGCATGCTTGACCACATGGCCCGTCAAATCCTCATGCTTGTCCGTAACGTGGTACTTGATGCTATGCTCGCTCTCCTTCAGACGGGCCGTCATCTCGGAGCGCATGCTGCGCACCTCGCGCTCCAGGTTCTCGAGCTTGTTCTCGACGGAAGCGAACCGGTCCAGCTTGGTGAGCAGGCCCTTCATCTCGCCCAGCATCACCGACATCTCCTGGTGGTTCTGGTCGGCGATGCCGCCGTACTGCGCCACCGACCGGAAGATGGACGACAGGTGGTGGTTGATGGACTGGATGCGCGTGTGCAGGTCTGCGAACTGCGCCTTGGACGAGGTGATGCTGTTGGCTTCGACGTCTGGGATCGCGTTGTCGTACGGGTCCGGGATCGCGGCTTGGCCGGAGCGGCCGAAGGACATGTAGGGCCGCTTTTGGCCGTTCTCGTCGTGGGTCGTGCCGCCGAGGGGCTTCTGGTTCTCGCCTTGCTGCTGCTGCTGCTGCTGCTGCTGTTGTTGGTACTGGTTATGTTGCTGCTGCTGCTGCTGCTGTTGTTGTTGTTGTTGTTGTTGTTGTTGCTGCTGGTTGGGAACGGCACCAATGTCATCCTCGGACAAAACAACGACCTTGAAGACTTCGAACGAGTCCGGGTTCTCGGCGGAGGCGGCGGAAAGACCAAAGTTGTAGCCAGTAGGAATGTGGATCTTGTCGCTCTCGAAGCACAGGCGGCCGTCGACCTCGACCTTGAAGTTCTGCGAGTTGTGGCGCAGCTTGATCTGCGAAGGGCGGCCCAGGTTGCGGTACGAGAACCAGCAGTGGCCGAAGGCGAGGTTGTCCACGTTGTTTCGCATGCTATAATCCAAAGTTCCATCGTTCAAGAAACCCCTGATCATGCCAGCTGATCCGCCGTGCTGGTTGACGACGAGCACCAGACCCTCGAACTTGCCGACCGTGTAGATGCTCTGCGATCCGATGTTGCGGGCGCCATCCTTGGCAAGCCAGATGTTGAGCAGGCCGCTGCCTCGTTCGGGGCCGTTAACACGGAAATCGATATCTGTCGTCCAGGCTGTGTACTCGAGCGGCTTGTCGGCCCAGACAGCACCGCGCTGGTTGCCGGGCGCGGGAGGGGTCAGAATGACCTTGTTGGAGAGCAGTTCGGGTACATTGGGGTTGCCCTGCATAGAGTAATGTGGAATGGTGTTGCGGCCTTCGGGATTTATCCTGAGGTGGGGAAGAGGGGGTTAGCTGTTATGGTAGTTGCGATGTGCGCCGGCAGCAGTAGCAGGAGATGCAGCGCGAGACTGTGCAGCTGGCGTTGAACGTACCTCACGCCAAATCCAAAACTGAGATCATTGACAAGATACTGGGCAGCCTCGGCGACGCCGCCGAGGGCGACAATGCCCGCGAGCAAGCGCATGGTATTGACTGTAGTGCGAACGGTGATGTTGATAGTCGTCGACCTAGAGTGTTAGGGGCGCGAACCTTGGTGGTTGGCCAAAGAGCTGTTGGCGCGATATGCTCAACCAAAAGGCCAATTCCAGGTGAAAAGGAACTGATAAGCCTGTTGAAATCGGCTGTCACCTTATTTGACCACAAAAGTGAAGAGCCGGTTTCCGTTTGTTGATTTGAAGAAAGGACACTTTACACTTTTGCAGGAGTTGGGGTCTCGGTGAAGCGGCCCGGCCAAGACTGAGTGAGGAGAGGTCAACAAGGTGTGGATTGTGGATACAAATGTACCTACGTCGACAGATACAGTACTGTACACTACAGAAGGATGGATGGATAGGGCGGCAAGCGGCAAGTGGCAAGCGGTAAGCGGCAAGCGGCAAGCGAACAATTCCAGAAGAGATTCAGAAAGGGGTATAAGTGTAGACGAGATGATGACTGGTTCTTCAGATTGAGAGAGTCAAGAGAGAATGAATGAAAGTCATGTATGTGCGGAAAAGACTTTGAGGCCTTCCATGGTATTACTCGCGCGACCTTGGAGAATCTTCAAGTCCACTGGTGGGAATGACAGCTTTCCCCCAATTCCCAAAACCGAACCTAAAAGTTCAAAACACCGAACCTTCCCCTGCAGGAGCTTGATTCACCAACAGGGACTTCCCTCTCCGCACGTCCAGCGTGTGCCTGGCTGCGGGGAACTCCTGTGGCTAATCAGTAGTCTCAAACTGGAGTGGCTGGGTTTGAGGTTCAAAGTTGAGACGGAATGTGGCTTGCCATGCCGACATCCGAGCCACTCGCGGCAGGCAACTTTCCATCCGAATTCTGAAAAAGAGTCTAGCTACTGGCCGTCAGGGTTCACGAGTGATGGCAATGAAACAATTAAAAACGGACCCATCGTAAATTACACGCGACCGACGTCGACGACACCCACACATGTCGGAGATACCCTGCGACAAGTTAACCGATAGGACCAAGCACTCAGAGTGACACCTTGCACTTCACTTCACTTCACTTCACAATCTTACAACTTCATCTCCTGTTTTTCACCACCAAACAAATCCTATGGCCATTGCGGCATGGAGACATGGCTGAGATATATCCTTCCCTCGTGCAATGCGCGATAGTGGCTGCGGCTTTCAAGATCCTCTTGTTCCCGGCTTAGTATGTCCATCTACTTGCTCGCCTTTATCCTTGCATCTTTCATCCTCATCCTTTCCCCCGGCGCAGCACTCCAATTCCCCAATGGAGATCCCCGACAGCCCGGCGACGCCTCACTCATAGGAACTATCGCCACGTCTTGGAAGAGGATACCACTGACACGATCCTGCCTGTTCAGCAAATCTACCGACTTTGAGGTCCATCGCAACTGGCTGGCCATCACTCACAGTCTCCCGCTCTGGGATTGGTACTACGAAAACACGTCGGAATGGACTCTTGACTATCCTCCCTTCTTCGCCTACTTCGAATGGATCATGTCGCAAGTTGCCAAGCTGGCTGATCCGGCCATGCTTTGGGTGCATAATCTGGAGTACGACAGCTGGCAGACCGTTTACTTTCAAAGATGGACAGTCATTGTGACGGAGTTGGTCTTGGTTTATGCGCTGCAGATGTATGAAGAAATGGGTTCCTTTAAAGATGAGAGTACCACGTGCGCTGGCTAACACAAAGGCTTATCAGGTTTGTTGACTCTACACATGGCGTGTCCAAGAGGGCAGCTCAAGCGGCTGCTGTCTCCATCCTCTTGTCGCCCGGTCTCCTCATCATCGACCACATCCATTTCCAGTACAACGGCGTCATGTACGGCATCCTGATCGCCTCGTTGGTCTTGGCCAAGAAGAAGTCCTCTCTGCTGGCTAGCGGCCTCGTCTTTGCTGCCCTGCTGTGCATGAAGCACATCTACCTCTACCTGGCGCCTGCCTACTTCGTCTACCTTCTCAGGGTGTACTGCCTATCCCCCAAGTCCGTCTTCAGGATCCAGTTCTTCAACTGTGTCAAGCTGGGTGGTGGAATCGTGGCCATCTTCGCGGCTGCGTTTGGCCCCTTTGCGCTCAGGAACCAGATCCCGCAGATCTTCAGCCGTCTGTTCCCCTTCTCGCGAGGTCTATGCCATGCGTATTGGGCTCCCAACGTGTGGGCCATGTACTCCTTCATGGACAGACTTTTGATCAGCCTCGCGCCCAGGATTGGGCTCACGGTTAAGGTGGATGCGCTCAACAGCGTTACCCGCGGTCTCGTCGGAGACACCTCGTTCGCGGTGCTGCCGGACATTACACCTCGCATGTGTTTTGTCTTGACGCTCCTTTTCCAGGCCATCCCGCTAGTCAAGCTTTTCATGAGACCGACTTGGGAGGGTTTCATCGGAGGCGTCACCCTCTGCGGGTACGCCTCTTTCTTATTCGGCTGGCACGTTCATGAGAAGGCCATTTTGCTGGTCATCATTCCGTTCAGCCTCATTGCCCTTAAGGACCGCCGGTACCTGGGAGCTTTCCGACCCCTGGCCGTGGCGGGTCATGTGTCGCTCTTCCCATTGATCTTCACGCCTGCCGAGTTCCCCATCAAGACCATCTACACCATCTTCTGGCTTGTTCTCTTCTTGATGGCGTTCGACCGTCTGGCCCCGGCGCCTACCAGACAGAGGCTGTTCCTGTTTGATCGCTTCAGCACGATCTACATCACCATCAGCATCCCACTTATTTTCTACTGCTCTCTGGTGCACGGCATTATCTTTGGCAAGAGCCTCGAGTTTTTGCCGCTGATGTTCACCAGCTCGTACTCGGCGATAGGAGTCGTCGGCAGCTGGCTGGGCTTCATGGTGGTGTATTTTACCGAGTAGATTTCCTTTTCCTTGGCGCAACAAGCGATCGATCAATGCAAAATACTTTTTGTTTCTTTTGTCCATTTACCTCGTAGAACTTTGTCCCATTCAATACCGCAGCGCTGCGTACTGGCACATATGCAAATCGCAAGAAGCTGAATGAAGCTCACCACCAATGTGGAGAAAAAAAGGACTGTACCTTCTGTACGTACCTTACCCCACATCCCACATTCCCTGCTGCGCCGCTTGTTCCGGCAGGCAACTTTGTTTTCCTCTTTTGTGAGCTCCTGTTCGTCCGTCCGTCGAACTCGCTTCTGTCCGAATTCTTCCCTCGAGAGCCGCCAAGAAATGGAAGGTCCCTAGGATCCCTTTCGATGCAGGCAAGTGCGGTTCGCCCGGGTGATGTGCTGTGTTGTACAGTAGAGTAGGTATGGTACTTAACCCCGAAGCAGCAGCCCCTGTTGTTTCGGTTTTTGTGACCGCCGCCGGCCCAGACGGGAATGTTGTTGTTTGGTTGCATTGCACAAACAAACGGGAGGACCTCCATTCACCGGTGTCATTCATTTTTATTTTCCGTCTTGTGCAGTGCTTAAGGTTTTCAGATTCCTTTGCACCTCATGTGGCTACTTGTAATCTAGTAGGTAATCTCACAATCTAAACCTACCATAGGTCTTTGTCCGGATGACAAACGTTCAACCACAGGGCAGACGCATAGTCATCAGGTGAATGGAATAGGCATGACTCACTAAAATGACTGCCATTCGACGTAATGGCCGAATGAACATAAGCAGAGACGACGATCCAGGGTTATATAAGTAAGGTAGGTAACCTATGTAGTGTAGTTAACTTGGTGGAAGTGATAGCACTTGGACATCAGGGTACCTTCAGTAGGTTGTTGTTTTACCCCTGAACGGCGCGAATCTGCCATCCGATATCAGATCTGTACGTATGTACTTGGTACGTACATATCTTCGATCTGATATTATTAGTAACGCCATGTCCCATTTCAGTGCTCTTGTATTCTGAGACCTGTATCTGGCCAAGGTTTAGCTTGTTGAATCGGGTTGCCTGAAAGCTTCTCTCCCAAGGTTGCAGATGGAAGTTTCTGCAACATCAATTGGGGGGGGGGGCCAGTGAATGCGGTAGAGGTGTGAAAAAAGTGGTGGCCGTCCGTGGTCCCCGTCCTGTCGAGGGGTCAAAGGTAAGATCCCTGAGCCTGCTAGCGCGGTACTTTGCTGCGGAGCAGGTGTCATGCACCGCCAGACGCAACACGCGCAACCACACACAGGCGCGTTTTGGACTTGTTCGCATGGAATATGGATTTGCCATTGTTTTTGTTTTGAGTCGGAGGTCATTGATAGCGTGCAAGGAAAGACAATGAGATAGGCCAACGTGATTTAGATGGAAAAAGGGTGCGATAGAGCAGCTGCCCGGTAGACATGGATCGACATGCGGGATCGGTGGTGAATCCAACGTTCGGCCTAACATCTTCAAAGTCGCGCTCTATCGCGGCAACCCTCCAAGAGCGGCTGCCCAGCCTGGAACCTGTCTGGTCCAAGTGGTGCATGCGGACCCCTACCCTCGGAAAACAAAATTTGGCGGGTGCATCCGGCAACATATAGAAATAAAGAATGGACCAAAATGAACGCTTCAACCGTCAGCAGATAGCCCTCGTCGCGGCGAGCACTTTGAGTAGTTGAACGTTGGGTTGTTGTCGGGTGGGCGGACGGCAGGGTCTGGGAAGTGGTCCTGGGGGTGCTCGGGGGGGAAGGCCCAGTACGGTGCCAGTACGGGGGACGAGGAGGAGGGCAAAGTGGAAGCTAGTGGGCAGCATGGCCGCACTGGACATCGGAGCTGGAGCCATCCCTCATCCCGTCCCTCCCTGGCGGGTCCAACGGGTCCCGGACACCACGCCAACACGGGCACTCAGGTTCTCAGGTACCTTGACCGGGCCAGTCCTACGCTCCCATTTGCCGTCCGTCCTCCTCGTTCCACCCGACGCATCCCCCAGGGCCCATGGGGCTTCCACTCCCGCCCTCCCAGACCACGTCCACTTCTTCTCCCCCCGGGCCCTGGCTCAACTTTTTCTCCTCCTCACACACAACTCCCACAACTTGCACACTTTGCGAACCGCAGTCGACATCCGCGTCGCCAACCACGACCACCACGGCGGCCTTTCCGCCATCACCATCACCACTTGACGATATCAGCATATCGAATGGAATTTTGATAAAACACCATCCCCCGGCCCGGCATCCGAAACCCAACCCATCGTGTTCCTGGTCCTTTATTGGATTTGGCGCAAGTTCCAAAAACCACCACGCCGCGGACGACCAAATTCGAGGCTTTAAACAGATGCAAGCGCAACAGCATTGGATCCAAAAAGTCTTCAATCAGCCTTGCAGCAGCAACAGCATTGAGACTACCTCAAGTATAAGAGGTAGCGGCTGTACGTATGTACCTCCTACCTACCTCCTTTGATATTACATTACGCCTTTCCACATAGGTATCACCCGCATACAGTACCTACTGGTACATACCTCATACCTCATACCTCCTCCCTCCTCTCCTCTTTATTCCCCCGAGTCCCCAACCACACCACGCACCTAGCAAACCGAGCACCAGCACCGGCATCAGCACACTACCCTCCGAGGCACCCACACATACCACCAACACCCGTGACAACCCTGTTCAACCCAACTCCCCTCTCTCCACTCGACCGTCACGGATCGCGACATGAGCCACAACACCGCTCTTTTGGGCGCAACAACGCGTCTCAATCCTCTCAGTCACCCACTTACTCACCACCAATTTTGCTCTTATAGGTCTGATACATCTAGATACGCGCAAGGCTGCTGGGCCTTGCTCCCCGCTCAAACAACTAACCCGCCTTCATCTCTGGGGTCTGACATTTCCAGCTCTCCGTCGGTTCCCTTCTTACGTTCCTCCTCCTCATTCAAGGTCACCCCACTCTGGTCCATCTGAAATCCCGAGGAGTGAGCTCTCATCATGGTACTTGGTTCCCCAATGGTCTCATTATCATCTGGCTCAGGTTGCTCACCTATCTTCCCCAAACAGGTCCTCTTCAAACGGAAACCGGTGCAGTTCATAACTGTACCGAATATTGAAGATGACAACCAAGAGGTATGCATGCTTTTCCCCCTTTGGCCCACTCATGTCTTCGTGCAATTGTCAGCTCACACGTTGTCTTACAGGTGTGGCATATCCCACAGACGGGAGAGGTCTTTGTGACGTATGAAGAGTACCTCAACCGGTGTGTATTGACAACTTGTCCCTGCCATCTGTGAACCGAGAAGCTAACTTGGAGATAGAATGGACTTTTATAATCAGGTGAGCGCAGTTGTGCAAGTCAACAAGTCACTCACCCCTGGATGATACGTACTCACATTTTGTCCACAGAAACGTTTCATTTGCACAATCACAGGTCACTCTGGTTTGACCTTCTTTGAAGCCCTATCAAGTGAGGTATGCGAAGCTCAAGAAAGTCTTCTGCGTTTCCATACAGGACTAACCCAACCCTTTGGCATGCAGACTGCTGGGGCAGCTGAGGTTGAGCAGGCGTTTCCCGAGGCCCTCAAGGGTCCAGTTCTTCGGCGCGTTCAGTTCCAGACCGTGTCTCGCATTGACACTCTGGTGGATCAGATCTACGATGAGTTCAAGAACGACTACTACCCGGGTGAGACCGTTACCGTTAGTATCGATGGCGAGAAACTACATGGTGTAGTCCGGGACAAGACTCGGTTCGGAGGCACGGTCCTGCCAGATGGTTCCACCGCTCCCCCTTATTCCCGCTACTTTGTCAGTCTCAAAGAGCGCCAGGAAGAGGTGCCCGTCAACGATTCCCAGATCTTCCGCGATCGCAAGGTCTTCACCAAGTCGGTCCTTCGTTCATTCATTAAGAAGACAGTAACGCGCGAGGCTTGGAACGGCGCGCCCTGGTTGGTTAAGACCGACATTGCTGAGCGATATCACATCGACACACGAATTCCTCCTCATCTTCGCTACGACAACAAGCTGCTCGAAAGAAAGCAAATGCAGGCGCAGAAGAGGATGTCGCAACCCGGCAGTGTGGGTATCGAATACAACAGCCACACCACTCATAACACTCCTGCCTCACCTGGACAGTTTAGCCCTACTGGACCTGTGCGCCTCCCCGAGCTTAAGCCAGCTCCGAAGAGCCACAAGTCCAAGGCCCAGCAGGCCGCTCAGGCCGCTGCTCAGGAGGCCCGGCAGAATGGAGGCGCTGTTTCCAGGAAACATAACCTCTTCAATGGTTCCGAGCCGGGCGGTTTTATGCACTTACCGCTGCCAGGAAATCCCTTCCAGTTCCCTCTGTCGTATCGCAGCCATACGTTACCCCCGATATACAGCGCGCCCGAGCCTCCCCCACCACCCCCGCCGCCCAAGTACCCGATCGAGGATTTGCAGGTCGAGTCTCGCGGACTGGTGCGACCGCAACTCAAGTACCTGTGTGCCGATCCGCCTGTCGAGCTCGAAAATGTCAAGCCACCTTTCGACGGCAAGGTACTCATGAAGTCTGTAGGACCCCTTCTCGAAACCTGGGATACCCTCAACGTTTACTGCGAGATCTTCAAGCTGGATTCGTTCACTTTCGACGACTTTGTGGAGGCCATGCAGCTCGCCTCGGAGGAGATGCCGGTACAGCTTTTCAACGAGATCCATTGCGCCGTCCTCAAAATTCTTGTTAGCTCCGAAGGCGAAGGCGGTAAGGTTCAGATTCAGCTACCCGAGCTTGAAGAGGAGGACGAGGGAGAGGAGGATGGAGAAGACAGCGCCGCCGCAACCCCTGAACCCGAGTCGTTACCTACCGCCCGCGCGACCCGCAGCAGCCTGGCTAAGCTCGAGGCTGAACGGCTCGCTGCCGAGGCTGCCGCCGCCGAACGGGAAATGCAGGAGGCTGAGGATGCGCCCAAGCACCGTGCCGAGGAGGTTCTTAAGGATTACGACTGGATCGAGCACCTGCGGAAGCGTGACTTCAAGGATGGCGGCTGGGAGCTGATCATGGTCGGATTACTACACCAGCTGAGTAAGAATGATAGGCTCAACGCCAGCTGTGAGGAGCTCCTGGAGCAGCTTGTGCCTGTCGAGGATGAGGAGCCGAACCGTGAGACGGTGCGCGCGCGGTATGCGAGCCTTGATGTGAACTATCGCGTTCAGGCTTTGCAGATCATCTGCATGCTCACTGCGGAGACCAAGGCCATCAGGGGTTATATGGAGGACTGCAGCGAGCAGATGACAGCGTACCGGAAGGAGAAGATTGAGTGGCAGAGGAAGAGGAAGCAAGCGTAAGTGGAATCCCTTTGCGTGGGGATGCTGAACGAAAATTGGCTAACGTGCATAACAGTGTCGAGGACCTCAAGAATTTGAACGACCAACGCAAGATTCTGCTCCCGGACAACCTTCCCCCCAGCCCACCTTTGGAGCCCACCAAGATTACCAACGGCGTCAACGGAACGCACACCAACGGCGACGTGAAGATGACGGACGTTGATGAGATGTCCTTGACAGGGGGCGAAATCCCAGACTCCGATGCCGAGGATGGAGACGGCACGCCGGCTGGCCTCCGTAATCTTCGCCGTGGAAATGACCGCGCCGCTGAGCGCAAGCGCAAGGAGGAAGAGAAGAAGCAGCGCGCCGAAGCGGCGGCGGCCGCTGCCAAGGTGCCCAAGCAATCAAAGGCTTTCCTCAAGGTGCTCAAGGACATCCAGAAGAAGGAGGACGAGATCGCGGAATGCGAAAAGGAGATTGCCATTATCGACAACGACCTTCGCGAAGCCGACTGTCCCCGCACGCGCGTGCTCGGCAAGGACCGATTCTGGAACAGATACTACTGGTTCGAAAGAAACGGAATGCCGTACGGTGGCTTGCCCGACAGCTCCACGGCGCATGCGGGATACGCGAACGGTTGTATCTGGGTGCAGGGGCCGGACGAGCTGGAGCGCGAGGGCTACATCGACATGAAGGAGGAGTGGCAGAACGAGTATGTCGCCAAGTTCGGAATCACCGTGCCCGAGAGGCAGAAGAGGGAGGAAGGCGGTACTAGCGTGTTCAAGGCTACCCAGTGGGGCTTCTACGAGCGTGCAGAGGACGTGGATAAGCTTCTCGAGTGGCTTGACCCCAGGGGTCAAAACGAGATCAAGCTCAGGAAGGAGATTGTCAACTACCGGGACCGAATCCAAAAGGGCATGGAAAACCGCAAGACCTACGTAGGACTCGACAAGCTTTCTGCAGAGGAAGAGAAGAAGGAAGGGGAGAACGGTACCACGGGAGATGCTATGGAGGGTGTCGAAGCCAGCACCCCCGCCGCTGTCGCCGAGGAGCCCGTCCCGCCACCAGCAAAGGGAGGAAGGGGTAAGCGCAGCACAAGAACGAACAACAGCCGTGCGGCCACGACAACCAGACAAGCCACTCCCGAACCACCAGCTTACAGGTGTCTCGCTTGGGTCAACACCACAGCCATCGAGGAGATCGGCCATCTCCACGGAGAGGAACCGCCCCCGGCGCGCAACAGGAAGCAGAGCAAGAAGAAGCAGGAGGCGGCTGCTGCTAAAGAGGAGGTGGAGGTGACAGTTGCACCGACGACGAGGAGCGGGAAGAAGAAGGGCGGGAGGTGATTATCTATGATAATTGTTGGGACACGGGAACATGGAGCGTCTCTACATAACATAACATACGTCCTGCGCGTCGCATTTGCAATTGTTCATACGTAGCATGTCAAGAAATCCTTCATGCACATCCAGCTACTGTATATATACATATACGTCGGTGAACGGGAAAGTCACAAAGGAAGGAAGGATAGGGAATGGATGGCATAAGAAAGGAAAGGGAGGGAGGGGTATAAAAAGCATTGGTTTTTCGTTCTACATAGCATCCGCACCTGGTAGTTGTGGACTGGCATTTATTTCAGAGTGAAGGTGTGAGTGACATAATGAGCAGAGATAGAAATTTGAGTATTGCAAGTATATTTTCAAGAGTTTCTTCAAGATCAGGCAGGTACCGTAGATGCCAAGTCTTGATTGATGCCGTTCGGTGACGCTACATTCATAACAGCGAACTCGGGATGCGGGGTTACATCGGCATGTCCTCGGCTACCTACCCGCTACTTTAGAGCGACTACCTAGACTACTAGACTACCTCCCGCATATCATCTTCCCCCCGGAGCTCGGTACAACCCCTCGCGCCCATCCCCCGCCACCTTGTGACTACACTACATAACATGAGTGTGTCCTTCGCCGCAAGACCTTCTTTGTCTTTATTATATAGGAACGTGGATCCCAGGTTGTGTCACAAACCATCAATCACTAGAGCTTCTTCATCTGCGATATCTCATACGTTATCGCCTGTTTCGCAGAGACGACAATCATCATCATCATCATCATCCATCATGAGTGAATCAACTCCCCAGAGAGGCTTCGGTATGTTCACATGTGACAACTTCCCTCAGAGACTACCACACTCTTCAATGTCTCTTCACTCTTCACTCTTTCGCTTTCAAATGGACCTTTCAAACTGACTTAGTCCCCCAATTGGATGAATCCAGAAAAGCCAGCTCTTTTGTACGTTCAACATTCCACCATCCCCTTCTGGAAAAGAAAACCCCCCAAAACTTCTCGACTAACCCGAATCTTTCATCATCAATCAGTGTTTGTGACATCCAAGAGAAATTCCGCAACGCCATCTACGAGTTCGACAAAGTGTAAGTCTGTCTTATTTCATCCCATCCGATTATCTGATCTCACCCGCCATTCATCTCCACCATCTACTCCATCCAGTCATTCCAAAGTCCAAAGTCCAAACAGGTCACTCACTCACTGACCATCCCCTATTCAGTGTCTCAACAACCACCAAACTCCTCCGCTTCGCCCACGCCCTTTCCATTCCCATCTACATCACGACCCAAACGCGCACCAAACTAGGCGAGACCGTCTCCGAGCTCCAAGCTTTTCTCACAACAAAGGACGGCGGCGGCGGTGGTGGTGGTGGTGGTGGTCCGCACCCTCTGGTCGCCGCCGACCTCGACAAGACCCTATTCGGGATGTACACGCCGGCCCTCGCCTCTTTGTTCAATTCCTCCCCCTCCAGCGTCCCGTCGCATATCGCGCTAGTGGGGATCGAGTCGCACATCTGCGTCACGCAGACTTGCTTGGCGTTGCGGAAGAAACACCCGGATACCAAGATTTATGTCATTGCCGATGGCGTGTCGAGCTGTAATCGCGAGGAGGTGCCTGTCGCGTTGGCGAGGCTGAGGCAGGAGGGCGTCACGGTCACGACGAGCGAGGGGTGGATGTATGAGTGTATGGGGGATGCGGGGATTAGGGAGTTTAGGGAGGTGGTGAGGATTGTGAAGGAGACCGGGGAGGGGACGAGGGAGGCTTTGAGGGGTTTGGCGAAGATTTAAGGGGGCCATAGGGGGTGGTGGGTGATGGGGAGGAGATATGTGGGATTTGGGCGAGATGTTGTTGAGGGTGGGTTGCCAGTGGTTTGTCTTTTCAGACACACAATAAAGAAACTACCATAGGTGTCAAGGTTGGATGTGATGATGCCACGGTACAAAGTCATTGCATATCCTCTCCTGACCTTTACATGGAATCCCAGAGATACCTACCTACGACAGCCTAGTAAGCTTAGCACTCTTCAACCACCCCAGCTTGCTCTCACCCGTCTCCTTCCGAATCTTGAACAACTCATCCAAGAAAGCCGGCACGAAGGTCCCCGGGCCCTGTACATCCTTCCGCTCCGCGGCCCTCTCCGCCGCAATCTCAAAGTGCAACAACGCCGCCACCGTCGCCGCCAGCTTATCCTGCGGGAACGCCGCGACAAAGGCCGAGATGGTGGTCCCCAAAACACAGCCCGTGCCGGTAACCATCTCCAGGTAGACATGTCCGTTGTCGATGCGGAACGTATGTTGTCCGTCACTGAGGTAATCGGTCTCGCCCGTCATGACGACCACGTCCTTCTCGCGCGCCGCGAGCTTGCGAACTAGTTCGGCCTTTTGCGAGACGTCGAGCTCCGAGGAGGAGTCGACGCCCCGTTGCTGGATGGTGCCGTGCCCGTCGATGCCGTAGACGGTGCGGATCTCGCCTTCGTTGCCTTTGATTATGTCGAGGTAGCCGTTCGAGAGGATGGTTTTCACGGCGGCGCGGCGGAGGGTGGTTGCGCCGGCTCTGTGCAGTGATGTGTTAGTGGTGTCTTGGGAGCCCTCGAGGATGGCGGAAGGAAACTGATGGGAAATGAAATGCTTACCCAACAGGATCGTAAACAACCGGCTGGCCAACCGAGTTGTACGCCCGCAAAGCCTTGAGGTAGTTCTGTAGCCCGTCTGGGTCGACGGTACCCATGTTCACGACTAGTGCGCCCCCTAGCTTGCACAGGTCGAAGGCTTCCTCGCCGTAGTTGGCCATGATGGGCGACGCCCCAATGGCGAGGGCGACATTAGCCGCAAAGTTTTGTACCACCTTTGTTTGTATCGCCCCCGTTAGCAATCTGTCATATTGTACTTTCTAACTGCACACGGAGTTGCACCTACCAGGTTCGTCATATTATGTGACAACGGCTTCTTGTTCGCCACCTCCCGAACCACATCCGGCACAAGCTTGAGAATGGCATCCGCCGTCTCGCCCCTCAGGCCCGTAGGTTCCCTTATGAAAGGCGGCAGCGAGTTGAACAGAACAACCAGGTTCTTAGCTGCCGCTTCCGGATCCGGAGCAGCCACGAGGGCGCTCACAACCGCGACTCCGTCAAGCTTCTTGCTGGGCGCCTCGCTCTGGTACACGATCCGCTGGAGGTTCTCGGCGTTGATGCCGCCGATGCAGACGGTCTTGACGTGGTCGTAGCCGGCATCCGCCATGGCTTGGAGGATGTCGCGGACGCCGGCGGCGCCGATGATGTTTTTGGTGTTGGTTTTTCTGTATTTGTGGATTCATGTCATTAGCATTGAAGAGCTTGGGTATGGGCTTTGCCATCATCATGATATGGTGATAGACGACGGTGATATGTAAAAGCTTCTTTATCTCACTCACGTTGGAGTGGCATAAACGGTGCCAATGCCCAGGTAGTCCGCGCCGCCTTTGCAGGCTACCATGGCTTCCTCTATGGTACTGACTGTGACTCCGATGATGGCATCTGGGCCGAGCAGTCGTCTTGCGGTGGATAGTTCTGTTGCCAGCAATGAAAGTTAATCCCATGTTTTTCATTCTCCTTATATTCGATCATGTTCAAGTGGGTGAGTGAGAGAAAAGAAGCTGATGATGAGCAAATGGTCATTCATGTCAAACTCACCCATATCATCCTGCCCGATGTGAACACCCTCGCACCCAACAGCCAGAGCAACATCAATGCGGTCGTTGATGAGCAGCGGGACGTTGTACTTCTTGGTGATTGCGTGCAGCTTCTTGCCCATGGCAATCATGTCCCCCGTATCGCTCGTCTTATCGCGGAGCTGGACGATAGTGGTGCCACCCCTGACCGAGGCCTCGACGACCTCGTAGAGATCTCGGTCGCCGAGGATGGCGGGGGTTGAGTCCGTTACGAGGTAGACGGCATAGTTGACGCTGTTCCGGTCCATCCTTTGTGAAGACAACAACGGGGTTGCCCGTTGTGAGTGAACGACGACTGGATAAGAGTGATGGTGGGGGGGGGGGGGGGGGGGGGAGAGAGGACGGGACCTGTATTGAAATGTTCAGTCAGTGGAAGTGAATCTATAAGTTATGAGTGGTGATCAAGGATCCGAGTTATTTCTTGTAGGCATCCAGTGTTTGAAATGCAACATATTCACTGTGCGTGGTCTTTGACAAGAAGCTATATCACTCAATGGTACCATATAAGGCCTGAAGTTGCCAATTATTCATCACAAGAATTATCATATGGATGATACACCACAGATGCAAACTCTCAAAAGACTTGATATGCGAGCAAACAGTATCGTATGTCGTCCCAATGAGTGGTAGAGTTACACAGTGCGATGCATTTCCGTTACTTACACCACAACTTGATGCATTACCGTATGTTACACATGCAGTACAAGTACTATCCATATCTCTCAGGTACCTCGTCGCCGTTAACATTTCGAGTTTTGAAGCCAGCAGAGCTAGATACTCGACAATATGTACTAAAGAAGTAATGACGTCTCTCTCTAGCTTAAGGCGATATGTGATTTGAGTTGGCTGAAGTGAAGTTGCGTTGTTGAGAACCGGCTACACTGAGCAGTGCTATTATGGTCTTGAACCATACAAATCCCGATGGCAAAAAAACTGGTGTCTGAGTGAACATCGAATAACAAAGACTGCACGAGACACGTCAATCTGAGTGAGTAATTGAGTATATGTAGATGTGTAATTCCTTTCCATTTGCATTTTCTGTTCCTGTCCCATGATCATGACTACTCCCAAATCGACCCTGTCGAATCCCTAGACACGAGCCCAAACCAGTATCAAAGAAAGGTCTGTCAGGAAACTTCTTGATCCCTTAAACTTTGTAGTCTAGCATATGAGAAATAGGGTATCAGAACCGCAGCTATACCCGCCGTACCGCCGTACCGCCATGCTGCAAATGTCACCGCCACCCCACGACTGATAGAATATATAATTCCACCTTACAATCATCGCCCTCTTTGGTCCTTCCTTTCAACGGATTTTCTCCTGTTTTACTCCTGCTCGTGGCTGTCGCCGTTGTTTCTGTTCCACCCATACCCTCTCTGCATCCGTTCTGGGCCCCGTCGTAGTCGTGGTTGGCCTGCCGTGTTCCACGAACTTGGGTGGGCCCCGGCTGGGTAGACGGAACATGAACTTTCAACCTCACTTGATAAGTTCAGATCTAATCCGTTTTTCTCGGTACTGATTCCACTGGAACTCTGACTGGTGGCGGCTTTCCTCCTTATACCAGCTTGCTTGCTCACGTAACAAGATGATTCCTTCTGGATCCAGCACCCTATTGGAATCTGCCTGCACGAGCGAGATGGTGAAGAGAGACACCATCTGCATGTATAAGCGACTTCAGGTCGTCATTCATGCTCTGTTTCTCGTCAGGTATCCGATAGAGTTTCGTGGTTTTTCTGAACCGAGCAATTGGATGTCTGACAATGCATGCCTGATTGGAAGACGGTGCAAGACGGCGTGTTAGTCTAGTTCCAGCGTGCAGAAGTTGTCGTTGACTCGAAATCCAGAATGTAGTTCGATGCTTTATTCATCTCGTTTGACCACGCCTAAATTCCTTCTCCATTCACCGATACCCCGCCCCCGGCGGCGGCCCACCACCCCCAAGGATATCCTCCCATTCCCCCCTGAAAATCCCTTCCATCATATCGTTCTGGTGGTGTCGCTGATGATGCTGAAGTCCCGGATGCTGATGCTGATGTTGTTGATGTGCGTGTCGCTGATGCATACCCGGATGTTGTTGACCAGGTCCCCGTCCTGGTCCCAACCCCGGTCTCCCATCTTGCCCGTGTTGCTGCTGCTGTTGTTGCTGCCGTTGTTGGTGTTGTAGATGCAAGTTGAGCATCGTCGTATAAGACATTTGCGCTGCTGGATCCAAGACTCCAGCGTGCGGATTCGGCTCGGGTCCACCATGTTGCATCAGATAGGGCGCTACCGGACCTAGCACTTGCCCTTCGATGCTGCCGTCGTCGTAGAAACCAGACATGTAGAGCTGCATGTTCTCCGGTCCGGCGGTCCCAGGAGTTGGGCCCACGGATCCGGCTGGGATGGGCGGCGGTGGTTGGCCTGATACTGCGTGGTGTCCACCTCCTCCTGTTTGGTCGAGAAGTGGCGTGGGATAGGCGAATGGGTCCCCGGAGGGAAACATCATGGCGTCCAGCTTGTAGAGTGCCCCAGTTGTAGGCGTTTGTGCTTGGAAACCACTCTGTTGGCGATGGTGCTGTTGTCTGTGCATGACTGGTGGCGCTCCGGGGTTAGAGCTTGTGTCGGAGCCCGTTATGCTGCTCATGTCTAGTGGCAGGAGGTCCTGGAAAGCCGCTGCCTGCGTTGCAAAGTGGTGGCCAGGCATACCAGGTTGGTGAAGCGCCACAGTGTCGAATGATGTTGTTCGCTGGGGATGTCTGTGATGGGTCTCTCTTCGGATCGGACCGCTTTGTGGTCGAACTATTTCATCGGATCTCCGCTGTGGCAAGGTGTCATGTAGTATGGCCTGAGCATGGCTAGGGATGGAGATGCTGCCCGCCTTGGACCCGGGAGCGTATGATCTCTTCTTTGTTGGTGCCGGTCGGTGAGTGCCGTTCTTGAGTTGCTCTGGCAGTTGGTCGAAGAGTGTCTAAGGATAGGTAATTAGTACAGCAGCTTGCCACGAGTAGGATATGTACTTACGTTCAACGCAGTTGTTACCCGATCTGCCGCCAGGCTCCTCTGGGCAAGGTGAGCTATCACATCCCTGCCGGCTTTAGCATCCGCGAGGATCTCGGCAGATCCTGTCTTGTCTGGATTCTCCAGAACGTAGTAGACCAGAGAGAGAATTGCGAAGAACTCCGTGTAGAGAAGGAACCAGTACGGTCCGATCAGGTGGGCTTGTTTCTGGATTTCCAGGCCGATATGGACAATGTTGCGAGACACACTGATTCCGGCGGCAGCGCAGTTGTAGTATCGGTCGTCGATTCTCTTGCCTGCTGTCATGCGAGCGGAGACATAATGCAAGAACGGTCGGTATAGCATCATTTGCACGTGGCCATATGCAAAGCGCAAGAGGGTTCGAACACTGTTGTGATGCCGAGTTAGCAAGCCATCCATGATGCACAACTGTGTTTTAGATTTGTCCGCTCACCGAATCACCTCTATATCGTCATCGTCGGGACCAGGTCGCCAATACCGCGGTAATTGGTCAAACCACTCTTGTAGTTGTCGCTCAATCTCCTTGATCCGCACATAGCTGATCGTGTAGGTGGCATTTTCGGTATCGCCCTTTAGAGCGCAGTCTTCCACGCCTTTGACTGGATAAACCGTTCTGATAAGTCGAGCCAAGATACACATGAGCCTATGATGGGCATTGAACGCCTCGAAAAAGGACGGGCGTTCGTCCGGATCCGGTGTGAGTATCGCATCCTTGGTGATGTACTTGTCGTCCACCTCAGTCGGCAGTGGTTGGTCGATATCGTCGGCATGTAGCAAGACCGGAAACCCAAGAACAGCCGAGACGTATATATCGATTTGTCGTACCACATGGAACACTCTGCGCCTGGTTTGATCCTCTATAGGGGTAAGCTTGGCATGTCGCAAGTGACGATGAAGCCCCATTCGTATACAAGAGCGTAAGGCGATGCCCAAGAAAGCATAACAGGCGCTAATATTCGAGGACGCTTGCAAGAAGAGAATCACAAAGATAAGCCCTTGAAGCGAGGTCATATCCCGGCACTCAGCGATGTCTTGCAATAGCAATCGCGCAGATGTGTAGTATTTGGTCCTGTCAAAATATGGTTAGAAATATCCAGTAACCCAACGATAAGTGGGAATGAGATTTGACTTACCCTTCCTCCATCGCTGCCTGATGAGTAGTATGATTTCCCGGGTTCTCATCGATGTTGTACATGGTTCCGAGTGCCATAACAGCATACAACAGACCCAAGAACCTGTGTTCTTCGATTCCCCAGGTTTCTTGGGGTTTCTCGTACAACCTGTCGAGCGCTTCGTAGAACGTCGGCTTGTGTACAACACGGAGAAGGCATGTAGCGCAGCTGAGTGCATAATAGCACAGAGTGCGGACCCTGTTTTGTGGGGGTAGGTCGTAGACATTTGGTGAAGATGATGCTTCCCAAGGCGAACCAGGAGTGGCCTGTGGGGAATTGAGACTGAATAGGCCGGTCTTCTCAGGTTGTCGTGGTAGAAAAGGAATCTTGTAATCGTTGCTTAGTAGGCCCTTAAAGTGGTCCTTCATGCGTCCGAAGAAAACAGCACCGGAGGAGATGCCGCGGAAGTCGCACTCGCCGTCCTCTTTCATATCGAGTTGCCCGATAGCGTCAATCATGGACATGATTTGGGCATCCTGAACCTCGGGCTCTTTTGGGGCTGCTTCGCCTTTCAGCTTTGCCGCTCGCGCTCTTGCCTGCTCCCTGGCCCGAAACTCTTGCTGAATTGCTGGGTCAAGGTTAGGGTCGGCCAAGTCTATGTCCGGGACGAACTTGCGCAGCAGAGACTCGGCACGCTGAAGTCGGCTCTCGAGTGCCTCGATATACTGTGGCGCGGGATTTCTGCGTCGGTTAGACGGCTTGTCATAAGTACAGTCTAGGAGTCTTGTCAGCAGGGGTTGGACTGAAGACATCGTGGAGAGCCAGCGGTGTTTGTGTTACCATAGCTATAGATTGAACAGTGTGAGCATGGCTGCTTGCCGTCGCACTTGATCTTCTTCCTGCGGCACTCATCGCAGGCTCTGGTGACTCTGCGACGTTTCTGTGCCGGCAGCGTTGGGGGTTCGGAGGAAGCATGCCCCGTTGCGTCTCCAGGTATGTCCTCGGATTCTGATTTCAACGGCTGTTGGGCTGAGGAAGACTGTACGCTTTCGGAAGGAGAGGCATGATCGTGCTGAGATACGTCCATCGAGTCATCCTCGTACATGTCGGGGGAGTTTCTAGAGCCACCGGCGCTCAGTGATACTTCGTTGGTATTGGTACTGGTTCCAGAAGGGTTGGATGGCTGTGAGACAGGGCGGGTTTGGCGAGCCCTCGTAGTCTCGGTGACGGGACCAATACTTGTGCTAGCATCCAAAGAGATGGTGCTCCCTTGGTCGGCCATGGCTTTTTCTGTTCTCTTGATTTGCATTCTGCGTGGGGCCTTTTACTCCGTGTCGTGTCCCTGATTTGGCCTCTGTCTAATTTTTAACCCGTTTTAACAATCCCTTGGCCTGATCAGCATGTTCATGTGAGGATCTAAGGGCTTTCAGAAACAGTCAGACCCCGCTGGGAAGACAAATTTTGGGCCACGCTTAAACCGACACCAAACAGGCGAGAAACAAGAAGAGGAAGGAGTATGTATGTGGTGAGCTGATGTTTGGTCCTCGGGGTTGGTTTAGGCTGCTTTGCTTGTCGATTTGTTGGACTGGATCTAAGAAACGTTCCAACCAAAAGTAACAGAAAGACTAATGAAAACCCGTGGGAAGCCCAAGGTAGTATACTGGTGTCTAACAGTATGTACAAGGTCAGGGGAGTATTTTTTACCGAGCCGGGAGTCAGGGCCGTTGGAGACTTGGGGTGGATCGAAACCAACAGCCGTCCGACGAACTGCGAGAAGTGGACGTCGTCGAAGAAGTTTGGGTGTCCTATCCACTTGGCTCGGTCTCACTCCGCTGGATAAAAGAAGGGAAGGCTGCTGATAGGGGAAAGAGTTTGAACACTGTCCTACTGTTAGCGTCCAAGAGCCAGTGTAGATCCGCAAGAGGCGACAGGATCCCGCGTGGAGGTGGAACCGCTAGGAAGGCTGGATAGTCCAAGAAGGCAAGAGGTTTTGCTACCTTGAAGGCGGAGGGGCGTGCCGGTTCCGATACCCAGTGGTACTTTGCACAGGATGTGTAAGCAGAAATGTACCGACCGGGTAGGTTGGAGACCCGGGTGGGTTCAACAGCTGCTTTCGCTTTGGGGAAGGATTTGCCAGTTGAAGAATCGACTGGGGAATGGTTGTCTCGCTCAGAGCGGGCGTCGATGCTTTTCTTTTTTGAACAACCACCACAAGATTGCAGATACTTCGGGCGGAAATAAACCTGAGAGAACAATTAACCCCGAACGAACCTGTCTTGAAAAAATCGATGGATTAGGCGAGGAACCCAAACACAGGCCAAGGAGAGCTCCCCTGTCCGCCGACCATCCCAGTGAGTGTCTTTTTAGAGGTCAAAGAAATGCTCGATACATACCTACAAACAAAGAGGTGGTGTCCGGGTATAGGACAGGGTACGCATGCTTTATTTCCCGAGTAAGGATATGGAATCAGGGGGTTGAAGTACGTACAGTGTACAGTATATGCTAAGTTGACAGCGTTAGCTTGGGGGGCCAAAGAATAAGAAACAGGAGAGGGGTGATTGAGTAGTGTACAGGCAGGGAAGAAGCGAAGGAAGTGCAGGTAGAGAGAGATACAGTGAGGCTGGAGGTACCTGGTGCTGCAGGGAAGGGGGTGAAAGAAACTTGGGAAGAAGGGAACGGGGAAGGGATGCTGTGTGCTTGTACCGTACTGTACCGGTAAGTGGGCGAAAAAGGGAAGGGGTTTGCCGTCGGTGTTGGACATCTGTTTCAACGGTACATGTTGATGGGCGAAGGCTGACGGCCAAGTTGAGGTTCACCGCTATCTAAAAGAAAGCATGAAAAAGAATCAAGGACGTAAATGAGGAGCCAGGCGGGGACCAGGTCTCCAAGCTGTTGGGACTGACACAGGACAACGCTACCTTGCTACGTTTCGGGCTTGCCCTGTTCTGCCACTGGCCACTTGCTGCTACCTGGCACTGCGGGAGCCGCCGGCCTGAGGGGAGCACGGGAGGTACTGTATGGGAGTGGACTTCCACTTGGGGGATCAGGAAGATGCATACCTTAGAATAAGGTTCGATTCCAAATTCGATGCTAGAAGCTCCTTGTCGATGCTGCCACCGCATCGTCGAGCCAATAGATCGTGGCATCTGTGTCAGGACGTCAACGAACCGCCCGGGCCTGTTGCGACACACATTGACGACGAGGGTTGAAAAGAGGGGTCCCGTCCATGTCCGTCCGATCTTTGGGTTTTTCCCCGGATGGAAGAAAGCGGACTCCAAATTATACCCAAAAAGGGAACGACGTAATGAGCCAAGCGATGGCTGAAATTTTAACCTATAACAGCCTTGCCGCATGATCTTGAAGTTTGATGGTCAACGACTTTCAGTCCTTCAACAACCGCACCATTACCTCCAGACGATTCACTCACCGTCACGAAAAAGAAGCAAGTGCGAAGCAAGTGCATAGCTTCGGAACAGACACAATTTGTCTCCGGCCAACTGTATGGCCTGCCAAATCCCTCATGATGCGTGTCGAGAAATGCCAAGAGCAGTTTTCGAGTTGTTGGTGGATGCGATGGTGAAAAAGCCGCTGCGAGAGGTGAGGTACCTAGCGTCCCGTGGTGGATGTTCGTCTCCAAGAGGAAGTCGCCAGTGATTAGAGTGATCCGTTCAATCAGAGGCCGCGGAATCCAGGGCAGGAGTCGGTCCTCATCCGCCCGCCGCGGCCGGATGCATCACACTACATGGATTGCACATCACCACTTTCACCACTTATTTTGCCTTGTTACATGAGTAGGGCAGTCATACATATCGATACCGTGCAGGTTGTTGAATTTCGAGGCAATGGAACCTAGTGCTCCGTTCCATCTTGGCTTCTACCGTCCTCAATGATGCCAGTCAGCCAGTGTAGAGGACTTCAAACCCACCGTGTTGAACTACTTGGCCGATCATGGACGACGTTGGTAAGGCCGACGAAGAGCAGAACCTCCTTCCGCAATGCGCAACCCGCCCCGTTGCTCCCATCAACGTCTCCAACACGCATGTTAACGTTGCCAAGGTGCATGCACTGTGCATACGCTATTGTCCTCAATCTTCCTAACGCAGTCAGAAATGATCCGAGGAGCCCCAAAAGGGCAACAGCCCTTGCAAAGGTCCTCCCCAACGCGGCTTATTGCCGAGCACGGAGCTCTGGAAGTCCGGTGAGACCCGGTCCGGTGCTAGATGCGCTAGACGAAGAACACGGAAGTCTGCTGGATCCGGCAGGTCTTTGCGAAGGGTATCGACGCCGAGCGGCCCCGGGTCCACCGTGCCACGCCTAGGACTCGGGCTGAGCGCCATTCGCAGAGCCAGTCGGCGAATGATGGGGTCCCGAGGCGGTGGACTGGAGTCGGTGTCTTTTTTTTGACTCTGATGCACCGGCGCTGCGACCAGCATTCACATTTCCAAAATTTGCGACATGGTGGAAGGCCAGGAGGTGCCCGCTAGGAACTTGGAACTGGAGAAGAGAAGGATTCTTGTGAAAAAAAAAGAACTTTCCGCGTCTCCATCTGCCACGCCGTGCGAGTAAGGTTCCTTGGCTGCGTTTCCACTTCTGTGATGACCGATGACTGTGAGAAATTGTCATGTGCGAGACTATCAATCATGGGCATTCCCTTTCTTGTCGGGCTTGTTTGTCCCTTCCCAAGAGCCGCGCGCCAGTTTTGGGGGTTGATCGGTCAGCATCCGAACCTTGAGTCAGTGCCCAATTGCGAGGCCGACCTTCGTTTTTGCTTCCAAGAGGTGCGCTTCCACAGTCGGTCAGAGGTCGGTCAGGTCACTCTGACTTCAACCCCCCGCCGAAATGGAAGCCAAGAAGAGATAGCGCAAAGTGGTCGGGCATTCCTGGAACATCGGTCACCACATATCGTCTTGAAAAGAGGAAAACTGAGAAAAAATGGCTGACTGAAAGAAAGCCGCCAGAGTCGCTCGTTGCAGGGAAAGTGGAATTGGCTGAATGGCAGCAATTGGGGGTTGACGGCAGGTGCTGTGAACAGCGAAATCGGTTTGGGACGGGATGGTTGTCAAAAAAGAAGATGGGGAAAGCACAAGGGACCAACAGGGATCTCGCAGGGATTAGACGTCGATTTGAGCCACCGGATGCATAAAAAGCACGCTTAATCGCTTGGCTGACGTAAACGTAAGCCCATTAGTACATATCCATTTGGCGGCTTTCCCTTTCGGATCCGAACACACGGCCAATCACAAATCCCACATTCGACTTTTGGCGTTTCCACGTTTCCCATTCTGCCATCAACTGAAGACGCACTGCTTGGCTTGTGCCAGAGCAGAGATATCCCCTTGAATCATCTTGGGTGACAGGCATTCACACGTACAGTATCAACGCCGAGCCGCAGCCGGGAACACCGCTAATTGAACACCAAATCGAGTCTTTTTGCTGAGAAAAAGGGAGAGTTGCGGCGGATGCGATACGGGACAGCCTCGGCAAGTACAGGTACCTCGGGGGACTTCAGCTTGAAGCTAACATAATTGGTGATACTATGAACCAACAAGAATCTCAATGTTAGACGCAAGCCGCGCGGGAGTCGTGCCAATGCCCGCCAACTCGGACGTGATACGGTACCGTTTGGAGCCCTTCAATACCAAGAGATATTAGGCAGCTATATAACACAAAAAGATCTTCTTCCCCATCCCAATATCGGCCTCAGCTGCCAAACTCTTACTGGGTACCTTACGTGAAAGCATGATGTACACACGAGCGGTACATTATGTATGTATGCAACGTTAGAAATCTTTTACCCCTTTTCTTCGACTTCCATGCATTCCAGGGGTGAGTTTTTTCCCCTTCTCCATCCAGCAAGTGGAAGGCCAAGAAACCATAGCGACTCGCTAAAATCACGCAGCTCCATGACTCCATTCCCATCGATGCATCCGCACGTTGTACAATCAGAGGCTGCCATGACAGTTTTACATAACATCTATGGATACATTGGATACACGATCGATAAGCTGTTCCGCGGCTTTGCTTGGACTCCATGACTCTCTCCACAAGTCAGCCTTGCGAGACCTCCTCCGTCATCGCCGATTCGGCAGCGAAGGGACCCTCAGAGTCGGTTTCTGACGGGATACGGTCAGAATGAGCCAGGGCTGGCACACACACTGCGGAAGCATTTAAGTTTCCGTACCTTTGCTTTACGGTCAAGCTTCCGCCGCATCCTACCTCGCCTACACACCCCATTCCGCCCCTCGGGGCTTTTGCAGCTATCTCTTCTCCACCAAAAATGTCAGCACTTCAGTGGCAGCGCCCCGTTGCCGGAGGCTCGTGATAGGGACATGGCGCCATCCAGCATTTAGGAATGCACAGTACGTACTACACTACACGAGAAACGCACACATGGCTTGGCAATGTAGCAAACTATTCCACTATTGGTAGATGCTCACGAGGGCACTTGCTCTTTCCGTCCACTGCATCTCCAAGACTCCAACCACTCACCAATTCTTTTAATGTGTGATATTCGTATCGACTCGTATCGCCAAAAAGTGTTGGATCTGCGCAGGCATTCGGATCCGGTGAGATGTTTCACGATGTTCAAACCACCAAACCGCCCATTCGCAAGCAGTTCACGCTAATGTTTTGCCATTCAATGCAGTGAGGGTAGGATGGCAGAGGTGGTAGGCTCCTGGTTAAACCTTTAAACGTTTCACAAGGACTTAGCAAGCGAGCAATGACGAGATACTAGTACTGCCTCCCTTAAACTACGTGAGTGGAACGTCTATCTCGCTTACAAACTGATGCTGTACCGTGCTTTGTTCACATTCGGTGTCTTCTAAACCCAAAAGAAAGCATTCGAACTCGACAAACAAAAGCTCAGTCCAGACTTCAGAAAAGCACAGGGTAATGAGTTACTACAGTAGCTGGGCAGATCAACACCAGGGGACGGTACAACACTAGCACCAACCGGGAGACCACATCGTCGTATAGATATCCACGTCATGGATATGCGGTTCGTCTGGAGATATATGATGTTGAATGGAGATCTCCCAAGGCTTTGACTTGCACTAGGCAGGAGCTCTTCAGGACGATCTCGGGGAAATACTGCATAGTCAGGTATGTCGGTTGAGTTTTCATCCTTCGCTGCACCCCCATCCGCACATCTCCATACGTAGCCGCTGCTAGAGGTGAAAAGTTACGAACCGAAAGCTCATGGACCCCTTTCATGGAAACCCCCTTTAACATCCTTCGCCTTTGTGAGATGTACCCTACTCCATCATACCCGTGTGAGCCGTGATATTTGCCGACAGTTTCGCCGCATAGCACTACGAGCATGGTTCCACCGCCGGAATCTGAACCAAATGCCCCTATTTGACTTAAACTAGACCGAACCACCGGCATTGAACGCTAACCCCCCACACGCACGACGAGGATCGAGCTTGCAAACCAGATGTTCCATGAATTCAGATGCTTTGGGGGCCTTTGGCATTGTGGTTCTAAATGTGCCCTAACGGTTTACCTGGACAGGAATATGCGAACGACGATTCTCACCGATGTTCACTTTTAACTACTGCTGGTTGACTTTGTACTTTTCAGGAATGAGTTCTGATAGAAATGCCTGCAATGTATGCGGTACACAACTTGAACGCTTAACATGACATCAACATGGCAGTCGGCCATATGCCATACTATAACCTTCACTGATGGACTTCTACCGCAGCACAATCTGCAGCAATACGTTAAGAGACCTCAGTGAAAGCGTTCAAAGCATCACAAGTCCTCGTTAACGGATTCTCTGTATCTTGAGGTTCATCAACAGCAGTGGAAGTTTAAGTGCTTGGCACCTGTTGGGGGTGAGGACAGGAAATACATATGTACCTAGTTAGAAACCACCAGCTATGAGCGCTATTAACTGGCATTCTCCTGACCGACGGGACTAGCAACATCGTATTTTTCATCGAGACTTCCTCATCGGTTTTCCAGATGAACAAAGATGGCCACAGGAACTGAGAGTGTCGTCGAGCTTCGGCAGTTGTCAGCTGTCTCTCGCAACTCACGTTGTCTTTTCATATCAACGGACACGGACGCCTTCAAGGGGGAGTAAGGTGTCTCGGGCCGTTGTCTAACGGAAGGATATGTTTTAATATGTAGCTCAGACAGCTTACCCTAGAATGTGCCTAGAAAATCTCGAGGTTCCTTCATAGAAGTTGTCGAGGATGATAACCCGTTTGACAAGAATTCTTTCCGGTGAATGGCGGGAAGGGGCTTTAAAGGTGTGATGAGAACCTTTGCGGGAGAGGGTTGTCGGCCCCACCTAGGTTGTAGCCAAGCTACCCCGCCCTGTCGTGCCTGCCGGGCAAGCCATCATGCCCTGGCAAGAACGGTTGGATGACCCCCACCATCCCTGCCTCCCACTCCACCGCAGGCAACCTCACCTACACGGTACCCTTGTCCCTCCATCAGCCGCGACTGAGTGATAGCTTCACGACCACTACCTACACACACTGCAGCGACAGAATAGCAGCATCAACAATTTACTGGGTTATTTTTATAGCTTAAATCATATCGACAACACACTCGTCCAGCTTCACGACCCAACCTTAGCAAAATGGACGACCGGAAATTGGTCTTCTTTACGTCTATCGAGGATCAAGGCGGCGTCATCGTCAAAGGTAAAGCAGTCCAGCTCGTATCTGTTCCCACAAGTTCCATTTTCTCATGCCAGTTTTTGGCCTACCCCCCTGTCTTCAGATAATATTATTTTGGTACTCCTTGCCGCTTCTTTGTATGATGTTATATGCTGATTACATTGTCTGCTCACAGAGACACCGAAATTCGACCTTGATCTTTACATCCAGAATTACAAAGGTATACTTCACTCCTCCCAGAGGATAAATGTATATGTCCCTCTGACTTACAACGTCCAGGACGTACACGATTCGAACGTCTATTCCACATTGGCCGCAGCTCAGTCCCGCTATGTGTCGATGCACTCAAAGCCGCGGTACAGGAGGCCAAGGCTGGCAAGGACATCCTCAGGTACCAGATGGCAGTCAACTCCCTTTTCCAAGCAGCTCGCAACGAGCCAGAGGCCTTGTTGGATAAGGCATGGTTGGACGCCAAGGCGAAGGAGAACCGCGAAACTACACTTCATCTGCAAGCTGAGCTTCAAGGCTACAAGAACAACTTGATCAAGGAGAGCATAAGGGTATGTACTTGAGGGGTTCCCCCAAAGAAAGAGTGACAAGAAAGAGTGACAACTATGATACTAACCCGGTACACTTTTGTTACTCTATACAGATGGGCAACGAGGATTTGGGCAAGCATTTTGAAGCCATCGGCGACGTCGAGGCTGCCATGGACAGCTATTGGAAGATGAGGCCGGATGTTAGCTCAACAGAGCAGCTTGTCGACATTGGGAAACTCCTTGTCCGAGTGGCCATCGAACGTCACGACTGGAAATCCGTCGCCAATCATCTCAGCAAGCACGTCAACTCCGCAAACGACTCGGACCCGAAAGCCAAAGCCCTCAAAACGTACGCCCGGATTGCAAACGGCATTGCCGCGCTAGGTCAGGAACGCTACAAGGAGGCCGCTTTCTCTTTTGTTGAGGCCAACTCCGACGTGTCGCCAGAGGTTTACAACCAGATCGCCAGCCCGAACGACGTTGCCATCTACGGCGGTCTGTTGGCGCTTGCCACAATGGATAGGCACGAGCTGCAGGCCCATCTTCTGGACAACGACTCTTTCCGCGAGTTTTTGCAACGAGAACCACACATCCGCCGGGCTATCACACAGTTTGTCAATGGCCGATACGCTGCGTGCATCGAGATCCTGGAGTCGTATCGACCAGACTACCTCCTCGATATCTACCTGCAAAAACATGTGCCCAAGTTGTACGCCGATATCCGCACCAAGTCCATCGTCCAGTACCTCAAGCCCTTCTCCTGTGTCAGGCTAGACACGATGCAGAAGGCCTTTAATGGGCCGGGCCCCTCGATTGAGGACGAGCTGTTCACCATGATCAAGGACGGGAAGCTGAACGCACGCATCGATGCTATCAACAAGGTATGTCATGTTACCTCTCTATTTCTTCAGTTTATCAAGTACCTTTTTGCTGACCAAACATCACCTTCGTTCAAAAGTCGGTCATGCCACTCTCCACCGACTCTCGACAGCAAATGCAGTCATACGCCCTCCACACGTTTGAGGACTACGAAAAGCAAGCCCTCGACAGGATCCGGCGCATGAACATTATGGCTGCCGATCTCGAAGTGAAAGGAACCCGCAAGCCTGGATCAATGAATGACATTCCCATGGGCATGGCCATGGAGGGTGCTGGGGACTTGGCCTAGCTGCCTAGGAAGCCGAAGGGTTCAGAAGAGCGAAGCTGAGGAACACCCTAGCTTTAAGGACGAAGGTAAGCATCGGAGCCGCCACAATCAAACTCCTTCATGGAAGGCGAGAATGTTGCGTGGGGTTTAGTTGCAGTAGTAGACCGTGGATGAAGAAGGGTTTTAGCCGTTATGGGTTGCTAGGTGGCATGGCATTGCAGGGGATTCTTCCCTCAGTATCATGCGGCTCGTGTCCATCGATAGGGGGATGTAGTTAGGAAGTCCCCTTGTGCATATTTTAGGTTCGCACAATCAAACTGAAGAGAAACAGTCACTCAATATCAGACACAATTTCACGCCTAACGTCTGCTTCCCGAGCTCTGGGTTCAGACGTAGCCTGAGGTCGAACGATCGTCTTTAAAATCAAGATGGGTATCATCATCACTATTTCTTCCGCCGCTTCCCCTTCCTTGTCCTTATGACCTGCTATACGAAAAGCCCCAACCCTACTCCCAACTAACCCATCAACTGCCTAACATCCTCCGGCGGCCACCTCACCTGCGCAAACGTCAAACACCGCTTAATACTCTGCAAGTACTTCCTCGTCACCTCTCCACCCATGATATGTCCCCTCTCACCATCATGCAGTTTTTCTCTCGCACTTCTCTCATGGATACCCACCATCGTCACACCAATCGGCCACGCCGCCTTGCCGATACTCAGCCGCAGATACCCATCGTTGGCATCCACATACCGCCTTTCCTGCGCCGCCCTCACAATCTCCACAATCGCCTCCAGGATATCTTTCTCGAGGTCGCCGGTTTTCGAATTTTCCGGAAAAGCGGCCGCATCGTCTCCTTGGACTGCACCATCGCGTTGCGAGCGGCCTGCCCCGAGAAAGTGTCCGCGTTGTCTTCCTTGGCGAGCGCGATCTCCCATTCGCGCAGCACCATGTTGAAGTAAGACGCCAGCTGCCTGAACAGGTAGCGGCGGGCTTTGCGGTCGGTCGGGGGCGGGATCTCGGCCGAGGTGGAGGGGACTTTCATGTCTTTTTCTGCCACGGGCAACAAGGAGGTGGTGATGGGCCCTGTGGGCAGGCCCAGAGCTCCCAGCCCGGCGGCCTTGCGGTAGCGGCGCAAGCGGGAAGCGTGTGTTTCGCCGAAGAGACAGGCGGGTTCGCCTAGGCCGCGCAGTTTGGTGGTGAGTTCGTCGTCGGGGATGTCTACGTGATCATCGTCGTCGTCGAGATCGGAATCGTTGGTGACGGGTGTCTCTTCCTTCTCGGAACCATCGCCGGCGGGAGTGGGTGGTAGATCAGGAAGACCGAGACGCTTGCGACGGGCCTTCTCTTCTTCGGCTTCCTTGGCTAGGCGGCGGGCGCGCGATTCCTCGGCTAGTCGCCGTTTCTTCTCCTCGCGCGCTTTGGCTTCTTCGATGGCGTCTTCTTCGCGCTTGCGCTTCAGGGCGGCCTTGGCGGCGCGTTCTTCCTCTAGGCGCTTCTGCTCGGCTAGGTAGGCGGCTTGTCGTTGGGCTTCGGCTTCGCGACGGGAGATAAATTTCGGAGGGGCGGCGGCGGCGGCGGTGGTGGTGGCGGAAGCTCCTGCGGCTGTTGAGTCGGGTTGAGTGTTAGTATCCTTTGTGGTTGTGTTTGTTGTTTTTGATAGTGATGATGTTGGTTTGGTGTTGCTCGTGGTGCCTTTTGCCTTGGCGATCTCCTTGGACATGAGGGCGGCGAAGTCCATTGTCGCGGTGTTTCGGGGTGGTGTTCCCTCCTCTTAGTTATGAGTTGTCTCTTGATCTTGTTCGTTCGGATGATATGAGATTGCGCCGTGAGTTTTCTTGTTGTTAATCGTAGTGTTGAGCTTCCAAGGTGTTCCAATCTGTCGTAGGTGATGTCGAGATAAAATGGTCGAGGTAAAGCTTTGAAGTTACGGGCGGACGTTGCACTGGAGGTCGGGTGCGACTCCACTAAACTTTTCGGAGCAGTGGGACCGTGGAACCGGTCTTGAGCCGCTACGCGCTAGCGCAAGCGCCGCAAGGAACCAGTCAGCTCCTGCCAGCGACTTCTTTCAGCCCCAGCGGGCATGTGAACTCGCGACCTGAACTCCATGACGGTGCCTGCCGATTCCCGGCCATCAAAGAACCGGCCCGGGCACAGCTAACGCCCCCCACATGTCCGACGTCCACGGGTCGGATCGCGGCGCAGACGGGGCTCTCCCATCCCACGCACGTTCACTAGCTGCCACGATGAGCCGCATCTGCACACTTCATGTTCTCGAATACGATGAGGAAGCTGGGAAACACAACGTTCTGTATTTTTAGTCAAAACTTGCGTCTCATCACAATATAGCAAGAAAGCAAAGTTGGCCACTTAAAATATGTAAAAACAATCAACATCTTCATCACAACTTCATCTTTGCTTTCGGACAACGCTCACGACCTATTGCAAATTGCACCACTCAATCGACCGGACTAGATTACAATATCCTATAGTCATCGGACATTAACATTTAGCCAAACATGGATCAAACTCATTCAGACGAGCCTTCCGCTCTTGTCAAGCGAGAACCACCTTTCATCGTCAGACTTTACTATCGCACCGGCGCATTCCATCGGTAGAGCCATGCCCCAATCCCCCACTTCCTTCAAGACAGCCCAGCTGACATCTCTCAGCATGAGCGAATTCACCTCAGACTCGCACCTGCCCCTCTACGTCGAAATCCCCGCCTGGCGCTCAACAACCCTAGACGAACTAAGTCTCGACCTGGCCGACGAGCAGCAGCAGTCACCGGGCGGCGGCCATCCTCTAGGTCTACTGCCGCACCCAGCAATCGGCACGCGCCTCGTCTTCCGGCTCATCTACGTCGACACGCGCCAGGACTCCTCGCGGCACGTGTCCAAGGACCTGGGGAGCGTGGTCATCGGCGCCGGACTCCCCGGAGCCGACTCCGACGCCGGGCTTCCCGATGACGACCCCTGCTACGATGACGCGCACAAGACGCTCGGCGATGCCAAGTTCATGCCGGGCGATTTTATTTCTTGCGCCATCCTGCCGCCGAATGACCTGGACGGAGCGGTCGAGCCGGTGAGCGCGGCGAGGACGGGACGCGGGTCGGGCATTGGAGAGGGGAGGAGCACGGCTGCGAGTCCGCCGCCGCCGGGGCCGAGAGGGAGGGACGGTGGCGGCGGTTATGGTAGGGATTATCATCGGATGGGGATGGGAGATCGGTATGGGGATGAGCCAACGCAGGTAAGGGGATACCGTGGTGGGAATGGCGGTGGCGGTGGTGGTGGAGGAGGAGGACGGTATGAATCAAACTCGTATGATTGGGGAGGACGGAGGGAGAGTAGGGGTGGACGGAATAGAGGTCAGAGGGAACCTGGTATTATGCCGCAGGGAGATTGGAGGAGGGGATTTTGAGGTGTAATTCTAGGAGGGAAAAGGATTTCAGTACGGCAACAGATGGGCAGAAGACGAAATCGGCCTGGTGCATGCTGGATACCACGCGAGCGAGTATCATCTTTGATGGAAGTTTTGCGATATGAAAGATTTTACTGAGTGGGAAGAGGGGCTCTTATCGAGCAATACACGGCGGCTAGTTCAGGACGGCAACACAATTTTTGCACGAAGGACACGGAAATTATATTATGGACAATGTTGCCGGACCAAGACATCACGACTAGGAAGATGTTCGCTTGATCCAGATGTATCATGATGCGCGTGAGAACTTGGGAAATCAAGGAGAGTGATTCCAATAGTATGTTTCATGGGCCCTAGCAATCCCCGGGTTCTGTGTTCCCCTGGTCCTGTGTTCCCCCTGTAACTCTCCTAAGAGCAGTTGCCAGTCAACCTCATGTAAACATCCTCACATCCTCACAATTCCCCTTGCTTCCTCTTGAAACCCCCCACCACTTTAAAACTCCCGCATGTCATCACCTTTCCGCTTAGCCCGGAAGTTGTACTTGCCCTATGTGCGTGTGTGTCTTGTGTGAGCAATCTCTCCTCCCGATCCACAGGTTGTGTTGCTTTTCATTTTATGTTGGATAAACTCACATCAGACTTGTACGCAACGTATCCAACAATAGCGGGAACGACAACCATGTAGGTCAAAGTGATCCTGGCGGTGCGGGGAGTCCAACGGAAGTACTTGTAGCGGTTGCTGGTCATGTCTATGAGAAGAAGGCAGACGGTGTTAACGACGACACTTGATTCCTCCGCCTTGTGCAGTCCCTCCCCGGTTTCCATCCTTGTTTGGAACCATGTTCGTAACGTAGCGCTTTATCAAGTCCGGTATAGACCAGGCTTATATTCCAGAGTTTTGCACCCGCCTTGATTTGGTGTTGACATAGGTCCGAGACACGGGACAACATGGCGAAACATGGATCCATCATCGTTCGTAGGGTTCGTAGGGGAAAGCGGGAGTGGAGTAATCGCAAGGAAAGGGCTACATACTGGACAGGCGAACGAACGCCGGGTCCTGGGCCAGCTCTATAACAAGTCACAAAAGAGTGGTTAGCATTATGACCTCTCTCTCAAGGTATTCGTAAGTACCAGTTGCTATGCGATGCGATGCGATCCAATTGCATCACTAATCGCAGTCGCAGTCGCCATTGCGCACAACAAGACAATGGGGAAGGCGTATGTAACGGGGAAACCAACTGTAATGCTCGAGATCGCCCGCCATCTTGAATTATTTCCGCTTATAACGTGCTGGGATGTCTGTGGTACTTCGGTCGGGGTGTGGTGGAATTGCGCCGGGAAGGGTCGTGATGTCGAATGGGTCACTGTGTTCGAGTGGACGATGGAGGTGGAGTCTTGGCGGATGTGGTGGTTTGTTGGTTGCACAAGCTTGGAGCAACGTTCCTGTTAAGGTGAGAACGTGTGCTGCGTCACGTGCACCGTGCCAAGTTTTAGCTTTAAAGGCTTTCTGTGACTTTCACGTCTCCTTTCTTTCCCGACGACTGATTTCTGGTCACATTTCCCTTTTCTTTTTGGTTGCGCCAACGGGTCGGAAGACACCGGTCCTTCAAAATCCGCATTGGGTCGTCAAGCGGTGCGTTAACATCCCGTCAGCGTCGTGCTCCTGACTGAGTCATGTCCGACATCCCTACGCCCCACCGTTCTCAACCTTTCACTGTATTTCGCACTCATATGGTAGACCCTTCAATTCTTCAACTGGGAGAGCCAGGCAAACACTGGATCTTTGACCCTTTCAACATTAAGGATCCGAGCCACTTGAGAATGCTTTTACGATTATGATTCGCGTATCCTCGTCTTCAGCATACAAAGCAATGAGCAAGTCAACTCGTGGGGTTGTAACGAAAAGGGAAACCTATGTCGCCCGAGTTTGCTCCGAGTTTGTGCCTCGCAGGGACGAACCTCTCGTCCCATCTGCGGTATATCAACCAGAGTCGCGGGCTACCCGACACTAGGGACCGGTTATTCCACACTGTCTGTTCGTCTTTCTAACTTTCTGACTCGCCTGTGTCTCAACTGGGAAGCATCTGATGATATATTCGGGGTCTCCTTGCCCACCCATGAAAGAGGATCGGACGCCTATCTAACCAACCGGCCATCGAAATCCAAATGCTCCTTAGGTTATTTCGTACCGCCCTCCATGCACAATTGCTTTCTCACAGCTTAAACTCCAAAATTTACAAATGGAGGACGTCGGCCTGATGTGCGTCACCAAGCTTTTCTTAGGTAAGCCTAGGAAGCTGTCAAGCCTCGGTGTGGTGACATCGCGTTGCATTGTAGGCGGACGAGGCGGACGAGGCGGCCTTGGCAAGCTTATCTGGTCCTGGATGGGGGGTGGGGCAATGAACTGATGAAGCTTTCCGCTTTCGCTCTTTGCTTGCCTGTGTGCCCTTGCAGGGCGGTGCTTCCTCCCTTGTGCAAATCATCAACTCGCTTCAATCATGAAGCAGCGGCGGAGGGGGTTGAATTCTAGCCGCCCGCCATAACAGCCACAGCGATTTGCAATAGTCGCATTTTTTCAGCCCTAACGGAGGTACGTCAAGACTTTTCGTCCGAAGTGTCTCAGCCCGGTGCGAGAGTGGCAAGCTTGAAAGCCAAGGAACGTGCTGCAAAAGCTTGGTTGAAGAGACGGATGTTGGCCCCTGGGGAAACCTGGAACTTCCCCAGATTTTCTTCGATCCCATCTGTCGTGCATCTCAGATCTATTACGTACGGCATTGACTCGCTTGCCACGGCGCTGGGACGGCTATCCGTTTGCTCCGGTCAACGACGAGATCAGACTCGACATCGGTCAATATCTCCGGACGCCATGACGTCAAGACGGAATGAACTAGCTTTGGTTGATCAAGGGATTGAAGCGAACGACAACCGCCGCTGCTGTGGCTGAAGCTGGGATAAGATTAAAAAAAAAAAAAAAAAAAGTAAGCCAACATTGTGACTTATTCCCGCGTATCTTATGTCTTTCGTTGCCTACTCGAAATCTCTTCCGCGGAATGGTAGAAGGCAGGAATTACCCAGTCTTGCTGCCTTATTGAAGGTAACATGGTGATCACTCAGCCCCCGGGCCCAATTGCCTGAAGAGGCATGGATCCATCACCAAACTAAAAGCACCGCTAAAGTTGACAGTCGAACAACGAACCGCGAAACCTGTCAACTAAACGCGAAAATGCCGACGGAATATGTACATTCTGCGTAGATCAACCACATACTATATGCACATACATGCATGATTACAATGTCGGTCTGAAGGGAACAGCACTTGGCATGTGTTCTAATCACCAACACACAGAATGGACCCACAGACCCCAAGATGGGACCCTGCAAGCTCAGCTGCCGCCGTTGGTCCCGTCTTTTCTTCTGATCCCCATCGGGTTTGATGGAAACTCCGTGCGTCCCTCGAGTGGAGGGTGAACACCACCGACTTCACCGTTCGCGTGAACCGGATGGCGGGACTCAGGAGTGGGGATCGGGACTCTTTTTTGAAGAAAAAAAAATACTTCGGACCAAGTGGGCTTTTTCATAGACCCTGGCGTCAGAGTATCATCGCTTTCACCACCAACCCTTGACATATGAACTGAGCCTCACTCGTCCGCTTTGCTTACCTATACCTAGACCCTCGCCTCGCCTTTCTCTCTTCCTACCTAGGCATTTTTCTCATAGACCTTGTCTTTTCCCTGTTATTATTTGGGTTTTCATGTACACGGAACCCAGCATATAAAACCGGCTGCACCGCACAAACAATGCAGACTGTATCAGCCTAACTACCTCGAGGACCACCCGATCACACCTGCCGCTACCTTCACCAATTCTCGAGGCCTTTCACCCACACAATTCTCACCTGACCGGAACATCCGGACCAACACCAAACTTCCCCTTCAGGACAGGACGAGTTAGCTGCGACCAAGTGTTTGGTCCTTGTGCAAGTCATCCATGGCCAACATGACCATGGGGCTAGGGACCTCCGGGGCGCCATTGGAAGCGGAAGCTGCCCCCGTCGGCGTCAATGGCGGCACAGCTCCCACTCCCAACACTACTCAATCTCAAACTTCCACGCTTCCCACGTCGACCGCATGCCCGCTATCCCCATCCGGTCCATCTACTGAGGCTTCAGCAGTACCCCTCAAACTTGATCTCCCTGAACCCCACGTCTTAAACTCGGCCTGTTCCCAGCCCAACAGGCCCTTCGCCACCATCGCACAAAATTCCGATGACAATGAGGACGATCCCATATACAACGACCAAGACGGTGCTCAGTCCTTCATCCAGCCGGCCATTAGCGCAAGAGCGACTCATCTGACCTCACCAAACACTCCGGCTGCTGAGAAGGCTGCTGCCATGAACTATCTTCCTAGTCTCTTCGACTTCGGGGATGATGGAGCCAGGGCCAAGTCTTCAGGAAACACCTCTGCTGACCCCAGCCCGCCCATGAGCCCGAGGAAATCACAGAGGCGTGGCCATTTTCGCCAGTCTTCACACTCAGGGCTTCCGGATCTTCCATCACCATGGCGGGCTGAGCCTAAGCAGATGATTGTCGGCCAGCCACATGGCGCTAAGACATCGTCCATGTTCAACGTGTTTGGGAATGAGGCAAGGTCCTCTCGTGCAGCTTCAGCTGGAGAGAATGCCCTCAAGAAGTTGTCCAAGGCTCTTCCATCCATATCGATACCCACCCCATCTTTCTTTTCATCCGGTTCCGGCTCTTCTCACAAAGATTCCAATTGGCCGTCGATCCCTCATCTTCCAAAGTCAGCCACGATAGCTGGCATACGCTCTAACCGAGCCCAAACAGGGCCTTCCCTTACCACACCAGGAACAGATACGAATCAAGGTCCCGTCCGGTCATCATCTCTGAGAGCCTCAAGGCCTCCGACCCTTCGCCACTCTACTTCTGATGATTCACTCTTATATCAGTCCTTGACCCGGGTCTCTTCATTGGGCGACGATGAGCGCTTCGCCGATGTTCGCGAGCAGGTCAACACCAGGATAAAAGCCATCATCGACAGCTTCGAGCCGTCATTCAAACTTCCTCAACTACCGAAGAGTACGTCATTTACACGACTGATGGCCGTAAGCCGCGAGAGACTAACGGAGGCAGGTATCACATCGCCATTGAAGAAAGTGGTTCCTTCAGGAAGTGACTTTCACGGTACAGATGGAACACGCTCAGCTCCTGGACCAAGCAGCCACCGGCCGTCACGAGAGGCTGTTCATCCTCTTGATGCGATCCTGGAAACTTTGACAGGAGACATTGTGGTTATGGGAGGATATCGAGGCTCTATTCTTCGGTCCGCCGAGCCCCCGTACCGGCAACTGTGGGTTCCAGTCAAGGTAGGCTTGAACATCCGTAAAGTGAACATGGAAGTTGGCCTGGAGCCCGAGGACGAGGAGAACATGGAGAAGCACATCTTTGCATCGGGCATGCTCCAGAATATCGGACCGGTGGATATTTCAAGGAAGCTCTTCAGAAAGCTGAGGGAGTGCGAGAACGCCCGCAACGGCAAACTCAGAGTCCATGACTACGGCTACGACTGGCGACTAAGCCCTGCCCGACTCTCAAAACAACTAAACGAATTCCTCGAAAAGCTTCCATCCAACCAGCCTCACACGCCGCCTGAACAAAGAGGTGCCTGGGTCATTGCGCACAGTCTCGGCGGTCTCATCACCCGGCACGCCGTCAACCAGCGCCCGGATCTCTATGCAGGCGTCGTCTACGCCGGTGTCCCCCAGCGATGCATCAACATCCTGGGCCCGTTACGTAACGGCGATGCCGTTTTGTTGAACGAGAAGGTATGTTGAAACTGCAGAGCTGAACAAGCTGGATGATGATAGTTTAGGAGAGAAGGTCGGCCAGAAGGCTGCCCAGTCGATGAAATCTATACGCTAACAGATAGGTCAACAGGTACTCACCGCACAGGTTAACTTTTCGCTCCGCACCACATTTGTATTCCTGCCCGAGGACGGCTTCTGCTTCATCGACAAAAACACCAAAGAAGAGTACCCGGTAGACTTCTACAACGTAGACGACTGGATCAAATACCGTCTCTGCCCTTGCGTCGGCGAACCTGCCCTTCCACCTCTTCACCCATCCAAAAGCACCGGCGCCCTCGGCAGTCTTCTGAATCTTTCAGACTCCTTCTCCAACATGAACCTCTCCAGCCTCCCTATCCGCGGCCGCAGTAACAGCGGCAAGACCCGCGACGACAACAACAGCAACAGCAAACACACCAACACAGCCAGCAACTACCTTCACAACCACAACCCCTTCTCCTCCTCCTCCTCTTCCTCCTCGCCCGCAAATAACGTCTTCAAAGACCGCACCCTCGCCCCGCAAATGGGTTCATCCTCCACCGAAACGCCAGAAAAGAACAAGCGCCCATCAACCGCACCCCCTCCTCGCGCTCCCAGGCCCTCCGCTACCTGACCCGCACCCTCGCCGAAACCAAACAGTTCCGCGCCGAGCTCGCCCACAACCCGCACCACCAGGCGCGAGACGCCTACCCCCCGCTTGCCGTGATCTACGCCAAGGACATCCCCACCGTGCACGCCGCGCGGGTTTCCTGCCGGGACGCCATCGCGTGCACGGACGCGTACGACGACCTGGTTTTTGCCAGCGGCGATGGCGTGGTGCTGGCGCGCGAGTCGATGTTGCCCGAGGGGTATGAGCTGGTGAGGGACGGGCGGGTGTGTACGGATCGCGGACATGTGAGTATGTTGGGGGATTTGGTGGCTGTGGGCAAGGCGTTGGAGGCGGTGGTAAGGGGACGGAGGAAGGGGATTGGAATGGGGTGGGTTGATGGTGATGGAGAAGAAGTGGTGGTGGAGGCTGGGGAGAGGGCGCTGGAGAAGGTGGAGGCGAGAAAGAAGATGGAGGCGGAGATAGAGGCGGTAAAGGCTGCAGGGAGGGCGGAGATGGAGGCGGTAGCCAGGGCAGAGGCTGCTGCTGGGGCGTCGGGAGAGGAAAATGGGAGTAGGACAGGGGCTAGTCTGCAAAGGATGGATCATGTCACGGCGGTAGAACAAGGGAGTGGTTAGGAGCCGCAGGCCGTGTCGCTGTCGGTGAAAGAAAGGTGGATAGCCCTGAAGGAGATGGAAACTCGACTGGCGAGGAGAGGAAGTTGGTGGTGGGGAAGCGAAAGGGAGATATCAAGAGCAGGGAGAGAAAAGAGAAGGAAGAGCTGGATTCGTTGAGTTGAGATACCCCGGAATGAAGAACGAGAGAGAGAGTGAAGAGGGACTTACTTGCATGGACGGTGTTCGGTCGGTCGGTCGTTGAGGGAAAAAAAAAACCGAAAGGGTCAGGCGTTCGTTCGTTATAAGGGAATCATTTAAGGTGTTTGGATGCAGAGAAAGAAAAGCATTGCGTGAGCCCAAAAAGAAAGGAAAAGAAAAGACGGCAGCACTACTACATATACCATCTAGAATAGACGGCATGAACGAACGATATGATGAACATTAGAGGATAAATAGAATAACAGTTCACATACTACTTTCTTGCATTGGTACGATTGCATGATTAAGGTAGGTACGGGAAGGTTGATGAAAATGAATCTGAGCAGCAATTCCCTGCCTGGTCTCTTCCTTGAAAGCATGACATGACAAAGAGTAGGCGTAGTGTTGCACAATTAAGTCTTTCTTTCATTCATTCTTCAGCACCCTAAACTCAACATTTTATTGGCGTTATATTTGTTCCAAAATCAAAAAACAGTAACATGTATCTCACCGGCACGGAAGGAAATATATATATATAGCTGATAAGCACGACGTCCCCCGCCCAGAACTTCATATCATTTCAGTCATCTTGTGTCTGATGGGCATACATCTATCTCCCTTATCAAAGCTATGTACTTCCAAGCCAAGCTATGTACTTCCAAGCCCAAACAAAAAAAAAAAAAAAAAAAAAAAAGGCTTTCCGACATCGCCCGTCTCCTGGCCGCCTGGCCGACTGGCCGACTGAATGGCCGACACTAAACTTTTGCCGAGCCGAACGACCCTAGACTTACCGTAGTTAGTCCTTTACCTACCTTACCTTACCTTACCTTACCTACCCTGGTCTCGTCCTGTCCTGGGCGAAGATCGCGCCTAGTGTAGTGTAGTGTAGTGCAAGGGACAGCTATGTCAACGACGTCGACGACGACGTAAGGGGAGAAATGACAACATGTGATTTGCTTCGATTAGGGAAGTGACAAACCCTTCTTTTTCGAAGCATGTGATGGCGTCCGAAATAATGATGATGATGTAGTTGTTGTGGTTAGGGAGTGGTATACATGTAGGCCTTTATGACATGTGATGACGATGTTGATGACAATAAACAAACATGTGATACATGTGATAATGGAAGAAAGGAAGTGAGTGCATGTTTTATTTGAAATGGTCTCTTTGAGACTCATAGGAGATTTCGGGAATTGGGCGATTAATGGAAGAAGGAGGCGAGTTACTGTGGTTTTGTGATTTTGGTTGTAGTTGAGGTTCGGTTGAGGCCCGGGTGGTGGTGTCAAATGTCGATGTTCAATAGTGATGTAGTTAGTCACTTAGGTATCACGTTTTGACTGTAGAGGAATTCATTCACGGAGCCGTCTGCACTTAGCATCCTCTGCTTAAGTTTGTAAGTATACGACGTGAATTGCTTCTTCAGATATCTATAGCTCCTCATACAAGCAGAAAGAAGATATTAGAAGAAGGTATAGGTATGTAGGTATCTATATATATGTACAATAAGAGCTAACTGCAAGAAAAAAGAACTCTTCACTGAGCCAAAAAGTTCATGAAAACTTGACTAAGCAAAAAGAGAATCATAACTTGCAATGCAAAATAAACTTGGTATGACAAAGGAAAAGAAAGAGTGTTGAAGTCGTTACGCAACAAAACAAGTTACTGTGTCGTTGCTGAAGTCCCAACCCAAAAATCCCTTGCGAGGGAACAAACCCGATTGAAGTATGCTCCCTTGCGACCTTTATTGCCTCCCGTTTGCCGTATGCTTGCCCATAATGTATCATATTCCTTCCTCCCTTCCCTTTCCTTCCCTCCTTCTCTATTTGTGTATCAAAGCAGATGTTGCCGTCCGTCCGTCTATGGGTGAAGTTAACTCCGTCGCCGCCGCCTTCTATGCCTTGGTATCCAATTTCTAAACAATCGTAGTTATACAGTTTGGGTATTTCGTATTTCTGGTGTGGTGGTTGTGATTGCTCATGCATCTATCCGGGAATAGCCCGTTTAGAAGCGAGAGATACCACGGCCGAAGATCCAGGAAACGAGCCAGTAGACGGGCACGAGGAACTTGTTCCTGAGGGACATGGACTTGGCCAGGTAGGCGGAACGCCATAGGACCCAGGCGGCCCAGCCACGGAGCTCGTCGCGGGGACCCTGGTGGATGGCCTTCCAGCTGCCGAGGTAGGTCATGACACCCCAGTTGCGGAACTTGAAGCCAGGGGCGTTCTTGACGTCGACGACGCCCTCGTTGGCCTTGTTGAGGACCTTGGCGAGGTAGGTGGCCTGCTGAGCGGCGACCTGGGCGGTCTTGGGGAGGGTGCGCTGGCTCTCGATAACGGCGGCGTCGCCGAGGACGAAGACGTCACGGAGGAGGCTGTTGCTGCCGGAGGTGGGGACGACCTCGGAGCCCTTGGCAGCCTGCTCGGCGGCCTGGGTCTCGATGCGGACACGGAAGTGCTCGTCAACGAGGATGCCGCCGGTGCGGGGGTCGGTGGCGAGCTTGGCCTTGGGGCGGCGGGCCTCGGCGCGGTCCTCAGGAGAGATGGGGATAGCGAAGTCCTTGGAGGCGAGCTGCTTGATGAGGGGGTTGGCCATGAGACCAGTGGACCAGACGACGAGACCGGCACCGACCTCCTTGTCACCGTACTGCTTGATCTTGAGCTTCAGCTCACCGTGCTCGGAACCGAGCTTGCCATCGGCGAGGCGGACGCGCTCGATGTTGTGCTGAGTGCGGATCTCGATCTTCTGACGCCTGAAGGCATCCATGGCATACTTGGAAAGAGCCTGGTCGAACATGGGGAGAACCTTGGGGGAGACATCGTAGACGGTGATCTTGACGAACTTGAGGAGGTCGGGGTACATCTTGGCAAGATCGTCGTGGATGAGATCGTGGAGCTCGGCGCTGAACTCGATACCGGTAGGGCCACCACCGACAATGGCGAAGTGGAGGAGGTTGGCGCGGTCCTCATCAGTGAGGGTGCCGGAGCCCTTGGGGTAGGCGCACTGCTCGAAGAGGGAAAGGATCCTCAAGCGGATGCGGCGGGCATCACCAATATCGCGGAGGAAGTTAGCGTGCTCACGGACGCCCTCGATGCCGAAGGTCTGGGAATAGGCACCGCAAGCAATGACGAGCTTGTCATAGGGGACGTCGAAGGCAGCGCCCCTGGCGGTGGCCTGGTTGAGCTGGCCGCCCTGGCCGATGGGGACAACAGCCTTGCTGGCAGAATCGGCATTGGCGTTGGCCTCGACGCGGATGGTCTTGTTGGCGAAGTCGATATCCTGGGCCCAACCCTGGTGGAAGCCGATGCCGTGGTTCAGGCGGCGGATGGGCTCCAAGACGGTACGGAACTCGAGAGTACCGACGGCAGTGGAGGCGAGAAGGGGGGTGAAGACGAAGTAGGAGCGCGGGGAGACAACAATGCGCTCATACTTCTCGGGATCGAGGTCCTTGGCGAAGGAATAGCCCGCCCAGCCGGAGCCCAGGATGACGACCCGCTCCTTTCTGTCATTGTCTGTGAGGAGTTGTAGTTAGTAATGAGGTTCTTCTTGGCTTGGGTAGGACACGATGAGGGTTTTGGGGAAGGGGAACTTGCTGTTGAACTTCACGGTAGAAAAATTTCTCGCCGTCAAGGCCAGTGGTGCAGACCGGGTGGACACCTGGAGGGAAGAGGAAGAGGTCCTCGCGAAGCGTGTGATGGAAGCCATCCTGAGACTTTAGCCGGCTGGCGTAGATGCTATTATGGTGTTCGAGTAGGAGTCAATAAGCTCTCCATTACCGATGGCCAGAAAAAAAGACTTTTTGGACCGCGTCCAGTGGGCGGATCACGATTTTATCCCATGCGGCCGTTAGCTGCGCTGTCAAGGTTCAATACCCTCGGCGGCGGGTCGGCCCTAGCTAACAAGGTAGACGCCGGTGTACGTTCTCTCCTCCTCCCAACCTTGAGGCCGGGATCCATCTGAGCCCATGACGACGGATACGGACGGGGACCTGTGGAGGGGGTCACCTCCGTCGACGTGCGCCAATCACAATGCCGGATTTCGTGATGTCACTGAGCAGCACTGAGTCGGTCTGAGAAGTCATTGGCGATGAGCAGCACACCTTGGGGAGGGACAGGGACTGGGTGCGATTCCGAGCCAGCCGGCATGGTAGTTTCCAGGAATGTATTGAACTTGTATCTTTTCTCTCATTTGCTGGAAATGTCCTCATCTGAAGCGTGGTGGAGAGTTTGCCTCTGGATATGGAAATTTTGGAAATCCCCCCGCCGACACAGGCCGATAACAACAGACTCGAGACGAAGTGGAGGCATTATCGAGAATGAAAACTTTTGACAAAAAAAAGGGTGAAAGGGCAGTCCGCAACTTCTTCCGTTCATTCGCCGAGAGGGTGGTGCAGTGGAGGTCGCGTGGATGCCAGACCGCCAGCGAAGGAGATCATGACCGGGAGAGCCCGGCAGCGCGGGTACAACTGGATCAAGCATCAAAAAGACAAGAGATGAAGAAAGTTGGTGTTTGTCGACATGAGTCGCGGAGTGTCCGTGCGCTTGGAGACCTTTTTCAGCAACTTCTGGTATCTACGGTGGCTTGAGCGCCCCGTCTTGGCGAGGCCAGCGGGGCATTTATTGAGGCGTGGCCAATGAGAACTCAACATTCCCCGGATGAGTGGCGGCCGGATTGCGGTTGGAGCAGGTCCCGGACCGGAAGGTTCAAGGTTGAGGCTCTCAGACTGGAAGTGGGCTCTTGGACCGCCCTTGTCGGTTCGGGAATTGGGCCTGTGCAACATTGACGCGTTTCGTCCGGAAGGCCTGGTACCATCGGTTTGGCGAGGATCCCAACTACCCTGACTTGGATCTTGGGACCCGAACCCAAATTTAGACTTTCTTGGGGGTTTGGAACCTGTCAGGTCTGAGTTCGCGAATGAAGTCAACATCAGGTCATGCCAATGAACACTGTCGCATTAACAATCCCGTCGGCGTGGGAATGGCATCATGGCGATTTTTGGGGGTTTGAGCTCGTGGGAAACACGCCTCAACCCCGATTGTATATCAGATCGTGATATCCCGAACCCATGATGATCCATCCAACCTGCATCTTTCCAACTCTTGTCTTCCTTTTCTTGGATTTGCAGTCAATGCACCCAGCCATTCCGGCGCCGGTCTGGCCGTCCAGTCCAGTCAGCGAAAACCAGAAACCGGATAGCGTAGCCTCCCAATCTCGGTGGATCTCCGCCCTCCTCTCCCTGACTTCCTGGCTACCCGTGCGCCCTTCTCTCCCTTCCTCCGTCTCGGCATTCTGACCAATGCCGCCAAAGGCCGACCGCGCGAATACCATCAGTACGTCACCATTTGCCCGTATCGCTTTGTTGTCCGCCGTCCATGTATCCGGAATCCATTCCTCCAGACCACCGAAACTCTTCCAGAAGGCCGCAGGGTCCGAAGACGAAGATGCCACGTTTCAGCTCCCAATCTCGACTATGGAGTTCTAATCATATAATTGCTACTGGTCCCTTGATTCGATGGTCAGCAACTCTCCTTTGTTGGAAAATGGGTTCAAGAATGACGGCAACCTCGACTCGGGTCAAACACGAACACTACGCTTACAAACAACATCGTTGCCGACACCCCTGATTTGTCTGTTTGTTCGTTTATTAGTTCTCTCTGCAATTACAGCTCCGTATCCGATCATTGTTCAAACCGGCATGATCGGGCTGCTTCTAGAAGCGTATTTCGCCGCAGAGGAATGTTCCATGCGGTTTGGATATCGTTGGAAGCTTCTTATCGCGGCTCTTATCTCCAACACTCTGACGAGTGACGACATCTCCAATCCCCGTCTTGTCGGGCAACGTCCGAGTGTATCGATGCGGAGTTTGGAGACAACGTACGACGAGCCAAAAGTACACTACAGCGACAAACTATAAGACAACAACAGATACTGTCAAATATAGGATCTCTTGTGTGTGCCGGAAGACCTCCTCGACACACCTGGTCTGCTCGTACGGTTGACGGTATGCATGCTGTCTGTCAAGCAACACATGGGATTATGGGCTTGCTGTGTCACTCGACCACAGTATCACAGACAAACCCCCCAAGGGATGAGTAGGGAAACGTCCCTGAGAAACATGCAAGTCGCAAGCTCTGGCTTATGAACATGAACCACGCTTCGAGTCGCTGATGAGTGAGCATTGTCACAAAGAGCCTCGCTGTATCGAGTGCGGCAGATGGCGGTAATGAATAGGATCGCATGTGTCTCCGTAGATCTGCAAATCCCGGCCGTGCTTCATCCGGCTGTTCCACGTCGTCAACAACGATCCAGGCAAGGAGCCGAAAAAAAGGGGGGAACATGGCTGTGTAAACAAAGGGGAAGGCAGGAAATCCGAAATTTCGGGGGGTCAACTTGAAACATATAAGACCAAGCAAGGCCCAAGACCTCACTCACCTCACCTCGCAAGGCACATTTGGTAACAGGGCACACTGGGAACTTTTTAGTCGACCGGGCTGCATCCAACCATCTTGTGTCTCCAATACTTGAAAGTATGCCAGCCACTTCACATGATTGGAATGGAAGTCTCCAAGTTCCCCCCCTGAGCCCCCGCAAGCTAACGAACAACGCATCGCATTCTCTATGTGATATGATGCAAACGATTTCTCAACGGAAAGGCTGGCATCATCATGCGACCTTGATGGCGGCATTGCAAATGCCTTAGTCTATCCAAGACTCGCAAAGACTGCCGGCGGAGGCTTCTTTTGCTTTTCTTCAAAGTCCTTGTCGTCCCCCTTCCCCAGGCTGTGCCAGGACCAGGACTGGCGGGAGTCTGACTGCAAGGTACACAACTGCTAGTGCAGCAGTGCCTCCTTATCAATGATACCGCGAAGTGGAAAGCTGACATGCAGGCTGAGAAACCGAATCGAGAGACAATTTGGAAATGGTGGGTGTGGTGGTTCAACATCAATGTCGACCTGGAACTATTGATCAACTCACAACTCCCCCCCTGGAAGAACAAAAATCCCCCCCTTGGCGGCGTCCTATCCCGAGTTTTTGCATTGTTTCTAGACTTCCACCTCCCTACCCGTCCCGGCGATTTTTGAGGGGGCTGGTGGTGTTACAGATTGATTGGGAGGACCGGCTCCTGTGAAGCATTGGCAGTCGGCAAGCCAGCAGCTGAAGGCTATCAGTGGTCGAGACGAGAGTGGGCAAGCTGTATGATCTTCTGTGGTGTATCGTCGCGTCGGCCTGGTCGGGTGGGGTTACGCAAGCCACAAGATTTTTGGCTTCAGCTCCGGTTCGGGCCCCTCATAGGTGAATTTCGACAAAAAGTCTCCCTGCAGCAGCTGCATTCGGTGCATTATGGGGGCACTAGGCCGCACGCTAATCTGCTCCATTGCGCTTCCTCCCTGGCCTGCAGTGGTCCGCAGCAGTTGCGGGCTGTTGCGCGGTGCAGTGCACTGCTTCGTGTTGTGCACATCATCCGGCGTTTTGCAAGTGCAGTCGGTGCCCATGCTCCCATGTTGAGGTTGCAGTCCAGTGGTCGCTCTTTCCAAGTGCAGTGCCATTCCATCAGGTTCCGGCGCCAACAGCGAGCAAACCAAGGAAAAAATAATAAGAGTCGCAGACCAAGAGTTGCGCCTGGCAAGAGCGGGTGGTGTGCACCTGTAGCGTTCTAGCGTTACTACAGCAACTCCACTTTTTAAGTGAGTGAGGGGGTCAAGGCCTCGTGCTGATCGCTGTCTGGCCAATCACAGCCCACAGTTCGTCCTGTTACCGGGCAGGATGCCTTCCATAAACACCACGACCAAGGTCAACCCCAGCGAGCTGGACCTCTGAAGCTCTTCCCACTGCTCTCTCCCCCGTCTCCAACTTTTCCCACGCACGACTCCAAGCAAGCAAGCAAGCTGACTGAGTGCTGCTGCCATTGACCAACTCATCCGTCTCCCAAAACCGCAACCCAACTTCACTTTGCGCGGTCAATCCAACCCAAACCTTCCCTTCGGATATCGACCTTGTCGTCGTCCTCGTCGTTGTTGTTATTCACTTCGGAAAAAGGACCCCCAGCACCTCAGGGCGCCAGTCCGCAACCTTGAACCACACACACACACACACATCGTCATTTTATCGCCCTCATTTGCGGTGTGAGAAACGCGTGCTTGACCGACACTATTTAAATACGATCCGGTCGCCAATCAGTTGTTGATATTTCCACGAGGATTTCCAGTGCAGCACCAAGCGTCGCATCGCAAGCGTCGCGTCCCTGGAGTCCGCCATTTCACAACTCAACTTTGTGTACACAACTCTACCACAACGGGGACGGCCGCCTATCTTCGTCGTCTACTTGCCTCAACCTACCAGCATAACTACTGCGCCCGCACTGCCACACCCTTTTCCCTTGTGTGTCGTGCCCTTGCTTTGCGCGATCTTCAATCTGTCTCAGTGCGCGGTGCCTCTTTTTGCGACAGTTGTACGATCCCTTACCTTACCTACCTTTAGGTTGCTATGCCATCGCTGTAGCAAACGGCTTCAGCATCAACACCAAGTAATCTTATTGTCGACGAACCTCTCCCTAGCCACGCCCAACTGTCCATCACCACCACCACCACCACCACCACCACCACCACCATGGCGTCGGAGGAACCGGTAGGGCGCGCCATCTCTCCACTGCCCTCCTGGGCAATGACCTCATTGGTTCTCTCACCGCTAACTACGTGGCGCGTCTAGGTGCATCCTCTCCGCCTTTCCAAGAGCAACACTATGCCTATCCCGTCCAAGACGCAGAGTGCTATCCCTCGGCCACTATCCGAGATCTCGCCCACGGAACAGAGGAGGAATTCGCCCGGTTCCAGCCAGGCACAGGCAAAGGTAAGCTAATACATGGCCGCTAGAGCCAGGAACGAGCTCCATCGACTTCTCCTTGCTCCATGCATGTCGCATATCCCCTTGGCCTCCAACTGGTTGTACCTGCATTCACCACCATGCTAACGTCCGAGGAACAGCAGTCCAAGATGTCGCCTCTAAATACCGATTCCTCCCCTTTCCAGTCGTCTCCCATGTCGCCCATGGATAACGCGACCTCCCCGCGTGTATTTTGGCAAACCCGTTTCAACTCGGAAAACAGTCTCGATAGTCGCACCGGATCCCCCTCGCCTGTCCGTCGCTCCTCCATCGAACGGCTGCAGAAGGCGTCCCGCGTCAAGAACAGCAACATTCTCGCCTCCGAAGTCAAGCCGGGCCAGGAATCCCCTCGCCCTCCAGTCGAACGCCCGCTGTCCAAGATCCAGGGAAACGCATTTGGTGGTATGGGATTCAGCGGTTTCCGTGGCCATGGGAGAAGCCAAAGCAGCACCAGCATCCCCATATTAAGCCCTCCTCTTCGGCCTACCGCGGCTCCAGTCACCATTCCCGCCCAGAACCGCCCGGAAACACCGAACAGGGACAGGGAGCAAGGAAGCCAGAGCCTGTCCACCTCGCCTATGAAGTCGTCGCTCTCAAGCCGATTCAAGGCCAGCTTCGACCACGAAAACGGCACATGGGCGACGGACGAAAACGGCAACGAACTTCCAACCGGCAGAGCCCTTCACCGCCATGCGAAGAGTGTCACTTTCGATGCCGCTCCGCCTCAAGTGAACGAGTACGAAATGGCGACCCCGGATCTATCCTCGATTGGCAGTAATTCCAGAGAGGGGAGCTACGACTCGGACGAAGACGAGGACGACGATGATCATTACATGTTGCACGATGATGATCACAGCGAGAGCGGGGACAGCTTTGATGCCTCGCTCGAGGACACAGACAAGACCCCCGTTGTTGGCCCAGAGGACTGGAGGCAGGGCGAAAATGACGATCCTTTCTCCAGAAGTGTCGGCTCGGAGGGTACTTCGAATGGTGACCACAGGCCATTGCCACCACTTCCTGGCCAGTCAAGCAGGAGCGATTCTGCCTCTCCCAACGCCCTTTCTCCCGTTAGGAGCCTCCCCACTCCTCCACCAGCTCCATTGACCAAGGCGGATATGCAAAATATCGGCACTGGCAAGATGTCTCTCGAAGAGCGCCTCAAACTCATGATGCTTTCCGATGACGGAAAACACGCTGCTGAGCAACAGCGGGAGCGTCGCATGCGTCGTGCTGTCCACGGCCGCGGCGAGGGCCATACCTCTGAACGGGAGCCACTGAGCAGTCCCCTTTCGCATCCTGAAGAGGATGAGGAGGAAAACGACACCATTGGAGATCTCGAAGACTACCAACTGCCACCGCGTATCTCGCGCGAATCTATTCTGCGTCGGGTTAACGGTAACGGTGAAAGGGAGTCGGATTATAACTTCTCTGACCCTACAACCCTATCTCCCCCTAGACAGCCGGGTGCCTACGACCCAGATGTGCCGATTCCTACCACTGAGGACACTGAGGACTCGGACCTCAGCGATGAAACCGACAGCGAGGAAGAGGGAAGCGTCATCATCAAACGCCCACACCACAATTACGACAGTGAAGAGGACGACTATTCGGTTGCGGATACGTATGATCATACCGAGACTGTCGACAGTGAGGCGGATGCGTCTGAGTTACACCATGACGATGAAACTGAAAGCCAGTACTCTCTTGCCACAGATCCCGAGAAGGATGATCATGAGGATGATCAGGTGTCCACTCCGAGGGCATCAATTACCCCAGCAATTGAACCGCCCGCAGTAAGAGACATTTCTTCCTCCAGCCAAATGAGCGGCTCTCTGGAGCTTTCCAAGGAAAATAAGGATGGGGACTTTGCCGAGGGCCTTGAGTCATTCATGAGCAAACCTGCCGAGCCGGAGAAGGAACAGGAACTTGAGCAAGTCGCCGTGTCCGAAAAGGGCAAGGAAACGGAACAGCAGGCCGTGCCGGAAATCCACATCGAACAGAGGCCAGAGACGCCCAAGGTGAAGAAGGTGCTGTCAAAGCCCGAGTATGACGGCTCCGGTTGGGGAGATCCTGAGGAGGAAGATGAGTACGAGGAGGAGCCAGGTACCCCAGAGTCTGTGATCCACCGCCCCATGCCCGACAGTGATGAAGAAGAAGCTCGCGCATCGCCCGCCATCCCGGAAACAGTTGCCACTATCAAGTCGGCGTCTGGTTCCAAGTTGAAGACTCGGCCGTCGGCGACACCTGCCGACATTGAAAGCATGCGTGAGGCTCGTCGCCACGTTAGTCGTGAAGTCCCAACCATCCCCCAGATTCCAGAACGCCATCGTAGCCGTATCTCGAAGGACATGGAGCCTGAACTTCTGAGAACCTCGGTTGATGATTACATGATGCGTCATCCCAGCTTTAAGAATCGCAGCCTCACCCTAGATATCGATGTTGGCCTCAGCCTCGAGAGTGATTTCGAGAGGGTGATTGAGGCGCAAAAGGTTGTTTTTGACGATTTCCTAAATAAATCCCACACCACAACCGGAGGCTTTACTTTCCCTGGACAAGCGTCCGAAAGCAAAACCAAACCCGGCCCATTCACAGAAGATGTACCTCTCGATGCTAACGTTACGAATCGTAAACAGCGCGGTTATCTTATGCGACAGAACACCAAAATGGTCACTGCCAGCGATAAGGATGGCGACGATTCCCGTAGCGGCTACCGATCCGCGGGCGGCTCACCCGTGAAGGCAAATCGTCCTCAGTCGTGGACAGTCGAGCCTTGGAATCCTCAACCGAGAAAGAGGAGTCTCAAGAAGCGACCCAGTACCACCGGGCCGGTGCCACCACTTCCTGGCCAGGAGAGTAACGCCACGGCAACAACCTCGATAATCGAAGAAGACCTTAACGCTGGCATGGAGGGCCCAGAGAGCGGAGAGAGAGGTCGTTTGTTCGTCAAGGTGATGGGCGTGAAGGATCTCGATCTGCCCATCCCGAAGAGTAAGTCTCCTGCTTTGAGGACAGAATGGGGCTTGACTAACCGTGCTGTAGACGAGCGGACTTGGTTTGCCTTGACCCTGGACAACGGTGTGCACTGTGTCACGACGGCGTGGTTGGAGCTCGCCAGAAATGCACCCATTGGCCAGGAGTTCGAACTTGTTGTACCTAACGATCTGGAATTCCAGTTGACCCTGAACGTCAAACTGGAGAAGCCCGCTCCGGTCAAGCAAAAGGCGATACCATCTCCTGCTAAGATTACCAAGGCCAAGACGTCGACCTTCAGCAGAGTCTTCGCTTCACCCAAGAAGAGGCGCGAGATGGAGATGCGACAAAAGGAAGAGGAGGAACGCCTGGCGCAACAGCAGCGTGAAGCCGCTGCCCGGCAAATGAAGACTCAGCCCACCGCATGGGACCTTCTCTCCCCCTTGGCTGCCGAAGACGGAAGCTTTGCTCGTTCGTACGTCTGCCTTAAGGAACACGAATCCCGCTGTTTCGGACGCCCATATACAGTGGAAGTTGCGGCCTTCAACGAGTGGGCTACCGAAGAGGCCGGTTTCGCCTCAAGCGTCAAGAGCAAGCGCGGTAGTACTGGGCCTGTTCGCCGTGCGCCGTATAAGATCGGAAAGCTGGAACTCCAACTTCTCTTCGTACCTCGCCCCAAGGGAGCGACCGATGAGGATATGCCTAAAAGCATGAACTCGTGCATTCGCGAGATGAAGGCTGCTGAGGAGCGCCTGGCCCAATCCTGGGAAGGTCTTCTCAGCCAGCAGGGTGGAGACTGCCCGGTATGTTTTTCGTCCATATCCCAAAATTTGTTGTCTCGCTTGCTAACATTCATCACAGTACTGGCGTCGCCGTTACTTCAAGTTGGTTGGTACTAAGCTGACCGCCTATCACGAGTCAACTCGACAGCCACGAGCAACCATCAACCTCGCGAATGCCAAGCGGCTTATCGATGATCGCCGTGCCCTCATGGAGAAGGAGATTACCGGCAAGAACGGAAAGCGCCGTCGTTCTGCGTTCGCCGAGGACGAAGAAGGCTACATGTTTGTCGAGGAAGGGTTCCGAATTCGCTTCAATAACGGCGAGTTGATCGACTTTTACGCCGACAGCACTGAGGAGAAGGAGGGCTGGATGAAGGTTCTCGGCGAAGTTATCGGTCGTGACACCATCCTTGCTTCCGATGACGATACAGTGTCGGGCACCCCATCGAAGCTGAAGGGCAAGTGGTGCGAGTTGGTGCTCAAGAGAGAAGAGACGATTCGTAGGCGTGCCGAGGGCCGACGGGTGCATTCGAGGACGAAGAGCAGTCTTGTATAAGTCGGGCTGACTCGCGTTCGCGCCAAACAATTATTGTAATGTTGAGTCACGAAGACATGTTGTGAAGAGGTACGAGGGGAACGAAGAAAAAAAGATGAAGCTTGGGAAAAGGTGCGTTTTGGGGTGGAAAAGTCCGGTGCTCGGAACCGGTGATGGAGCACCGCATGGAGTATGACATCATAGGTGATGATGATCATGATCGTGCTTCTCGCTTGCTGCCCGTTGTTTAGCGAAGCGCGGGATTCACGGGATGGATGCACACTACATTACATACATTGTGGCATTTGGTTGCATTGCGGCTGTCTGATATATTTGATTCTGGCTCTGGCATGTTTTGGTGATGGGTGGGATCGCAAGCGTCGCATAGCCTCGCTGAAACTTGTTTTTCTTTCTTCGCTTCTATGGGGCCAAGGTTATTATACTACTTTTTTGTCGAAGGAGTTTGTCTCTCTTCCTTCTTGCCGAATTGATCTGGATATGGAATGGAAGCTTGCTGGCGCAATTGTTTAATTGCTGCTGGCTGTTGTTTTATGTTGTCAATTGTTTGAGTAAAGAAAACACAGACATATACACACATTGCCGAGTAACACATACTACTTAGTACCTACAGTACTTACTCTTCATTGTCTACTTGGGGCTGGTGCCCCCTTCTTAATCCTCTTGGTTCATGGGTGTCTTCTTAGTAGAGTAGTAAGTAGAAACCAAAGAGAAATAAGAGTAAAGAGATACAATTTCTGTCTACAAACTTTAGGTTTATCAATGATCCAGTTGTTTGCACATAGACCAGATTGTAACTGTCAAAGTAGGTTCAACTTGTACATATACTGGTTCCCATGAAAGTCACTCCGTTACCTTGAGTCCATTTCGTTCAGTATCGTCACAACATCGAATCGTTTCACGTTGCCCGTCTTCGGAATAGAATACACCCAAGGGTATGTAACCCACCATCTCTCTACGTACCCCCTTCTAAGTTTCTTCATCCAACACCTCAAACCCATGCCACTCACGAACTCCTTCCTCACTGCCTCCGATTCCACTCCACACACTCCTGCAACGTAACACCTTTCCCACCAAAGCAATCCAACGCGCTGCCAATAGTCAAGTCAACCTTGCCACCGCTCAATCTCTTGACCGTCTCCAGGTCCTCCAGGTTGCGACCGCCACCAGCATAGGTCACGGGAATGGAACACCACTCGGACAGCTTCTGGACCAGCTTCTCATCGATGCCCTTTTGTAGGCCTTCGTTGTCGGCGGCGTGGATGAGGAATTCGGAGCAGAAGGGTTCTAGGGCTTTTATGGATTCTGTTTTGGCGTGGTTAGAGGGAAGATGGGGATGTGAGTCATCAACTAGACGAAGAAAGTGATGAAGACATAAAGGGATGAAAAGAAATTAAAAAAAAAATTTAAAAAAAAACTTACCCTCGCTCACTTCCATGTCGGTAATAGTCTGCCACTTGTTCATGGCGACGAACCACTTGTCGTCTCCCTGGCGGCGGCAGCTCAGGTCGATGACCAGCTTGGACTTGTCGCCGTCGAGGGCGGCGAGGACGGCGTCGAGGTGGGATTGGGAGAATTTGCCGTTGGGGAAGAGGTAGGAGGTTATGATGACCTATAGAGTAGATTGATTTAGTGACTGAACTTGTAAAAGGAGAAGGTAAAGGCCACTGGTGGCTCTTGAGCCCACAAATGAGAGGCATGCAACAACAGCCAGCCCCCTTTATGAAAGTAAACAAATATGCAACTCCGTAAGCAAGCATCATGAGAAAGAGGAAAAGAAGACATTGCATCTCACAACGTAAACCCAGAAACAAAAAACAACCGAAAAAAAATAATGTAAAATCAATCCAACCATTCAGCCCAACCCGACCACTCAACGAGCAACTAACGCAGAACACACACAACCTTACCCCCCCCCCCCCCCCCCCCAAGAAAAAAAAAAAACCACCAAAAACATCCAAACCAAAGTAAATAAATCAACAAACCTTCTCAGCACCTGCCTCCACCCACTCCCTCGCATTCCCATCCGTAATCCCGCCTCCGACCTGGAGTACCCCCGGCCACGCTTTTAGGGACTCCAGCGCCGCCTCCTTGTTTCCGGGGCCCAACATGATGACATGGGCACCGGTCAGTTCATTGTCGCGGTACAGCTTGGCGAAGTAGGCGGGCGGGTGGGGAGAGACAAAGTTGGTCTTGAGCTCCGAGGTGGCGCTGTCGAGGGTGCCGCCGACGATTTGCTTGACCTGGCCGGCGTGGAGGTCGATGCAGGGGCGGAAACGCGTCATGTTTTGTGAAGGGTGAAGTGAGGTGAGTGAGGTGAGTGGGATGTGAGGAGACGGGAAGTGAGTGTGAGTGAGGTTGAATCTTAAGTGTCTAATGTGACGCACAGGACTGAAGGTGAGGTTGAAGTCAAGGATGCCGCCCGCTATGTTTCAGTGGGGTAGCCCTACAATGCCTTCCTAGCACTCCAGTGGAAAAGCTGTGGGAAGCTGTCCCGCTAGAGGTACCCTACCCCCCTCCCCCCCTAGAGGTAGCTCACACAGTGCTGCAGATCCCTCCTCGACTCCACTAAAAACCGGAAGATGGGGAGCTGCATGCCACATTTAGCTTATCGATAAGCTCCCAAATGGTCCCTTGTCCGGCATTTGGAACCACTGCAAGCCAAAAATTTTGGAACCGCGGGCGAACCAACCGGCAGCAACCTAATCGCGACACCAACCAACTTAATTTCAACTACCGTCGTATCTCGTCGTCGTCGAACATTTCACCAAAATGCCTTCAGCAACATTACTAGGAAAGCGGAAAAGCGTGACCGCTTCTCAGCCCGAGGGTGCGAAGAAGCAAAAGAGAGTTGCTGTGGAGGACGACGTCGTCAAGAGGATCAAGCAGAAAACCGCCGCCAAGAAGGACGTGAAGGAGAAGAAGCCAGCGAGGAAGGAGAAGGAGAAGGAGGACGAAGAAAATGTAGTGAAGAAGGCGGAGGAGAAGAAAGAGGAGGACGACCAAGAAGATATCAGCGACGCTCTTTCCATTTTCCAGCGCGCTTTCGAGGCTCGGTTTAAGCCAATTGCTCCTACTACTACCACCACGACGAAGGCCGAGAAGAAATCGAAGTCCGACAAGAAGAACAAGGCTAGGAAAGTCCAAGGAGATGGGGACGAGGACGGCGATGATTTCGACGAGGACCAAATACTTGACGACGATGATGCGGTAGATTCGGGCTCGGAAGACGACTTCTCTGGCGACGAAGAGGATGAGGAGGATTACAGTGGCAGCGACAGTGAAGGCGAAGAGGAGGAGGAAGAGCAAGAGCAAGAGGAGGATGCTCCCAAAGTGATGGTGGTGGATTACTCCACGGATCCGTCAAAGGTGGATACGGCGAAGATGTCGAAGAAGGAATTGAAGGCTTATTTGGTACGTTCTTTCATTTCTTGTGGTCGTCTAACCATTTGAGGGCTTGGTTCACTAACATACGGGAACTACAGTCATCCAAACCCCCCAACGCCATCCTCGACTCCGCCTCCTCCCAAACAGCCAAGTCCAAAAAGGACAAGGACGGCGCCGACGGCGACGACAGCGCCGCCTTCCTCGCCAACGATCTTGCCCTGCAGCGCCTCATCGCCGAGTCGCACATCCTCTCCGCCGCCGGTGGCAACGCCTCGCACTACCTGTCCAGCGCGGCTGCCGAGACCGAAAAAAACACGCGCGCCTTCGCCGAGGGCCGCATCCGCAAGAAGACGACGGACATGCGCATGCAAGCGCTTGGAGCCAAGGGCAGCGTGCTGGAACAAGAAAAAATGCCCATGAACATGCGCAAGGGTATCAATAAGGCGGCCGAGACGTACGAGCAGAAGAGGAGGAGGGAGGCCAGGGAGAATGGTGTCATTCTTGAGAAGGCTTCTGGCAAGGGCGGAAAGAGCGGTGGTGGTGGCAGGGGTGGTGGGAAGAAGAGGGGCGGAGACAGGGCAGTGGATATGCCTGGTATTGGCAAGATGAGGGGCGCACAGTTGACGATCAGTGCCCGCGAGATCAGGAGTATGGAGGCTTCCTCGGGACCTGGTGGGAGAGGAGGAAGGGGTGGTAGGGGTGGGAAGGAGAAGCGTGGGCATAGGAAGAGGAGGTGAGCGCGTTGAACGGCACGGTCGCTGAGGCTTCTTGATTTTGGGCTGGGCGTGACTTCGGCAACCCGTGCCGGAAATCCCTCTTTTGCGTTTTCTCCCGTTCTCTTTCCGTGGACGACATGGCTGTGCTTGGTCATCGTTCCGACGTTGTTTCGCGGCTGTTTCGGGCTACAGGTTCGAACGCAGGTCTGTTCCGAAATGCTCTGGTGAACAAAATATTCCGGCTGGTGTGAAGGGTTTTTATGCATCTCAAGTGCTTCCTTCCATTGATTCACCACCGGCAAGCCCTCAAGGATCCGCCTCGCTGAGGACATACAGCAAAGCGCGGAGATGATTCTTTCGCGAATGATGTTGCTATTCCACGGTGTGCGAGAAAATGCTCAGCAAGAGCATAAGTCACTTCAGAGGAGCAAGTGAACGGAAGTGTCAAACCTGGGGTGGTTGCCTCAAGAACCCTGTGTAGTTTCCATGCTGCCCAATTTGGGTCATCAGCATGGGGTCAGGACCTGATCCGCCCTATTCTCGATGTGGGAAGGAAATCACGAAGAGCTCCAGTCGAACCATCCATTGTCACGACTGATTCGAACCAGCCATGGGAGGCACTTGTACTGAGACTGAGCTTAAATCGGCAAGACCAGAAGCACTAGGGCGAGGTGCAAAAGGATGATTGTTGGGAAGGAACGTGGAAGACCATGGGTGATAGACATGATGTCGATACGCCAACAGGAAAGCATTATCGACAAACTAAGAGCGTACACACAACATAATGAGACTTGCGGAAGGTGCATCCCACTTCCGGATTTGCGTTTTGGCAGTATTTAGATTCGCCCTGGCCTGCCATTTTTCTCTGTTCTCCCCTCCCAGCTACTACATCAATCAAGCATCTTCTTTTTATCATTGATATCACCTCGTTTCTTCTGTCTCAGTGACCAAACATCAATTACATCGCCGATCTTTTTCCAATACTACCTACCTATACTATACTATCTCAAACATCACTTCCAAACCATCACCACAACAGCGTCATATCCACACAAATCACGACAAGCCAAGCAACATCAACATAAAAACGACACGAAGCCACGGCCATATCTTGAGCGATCACACGGTCACTTTCTTCAGCCAACCACAAATTCCTTGCACTACCTGCCATCACTCAGTTTTCGCCTCCTCCTCTATACCTTCCAACAGCAAAACCACAAACCAGCCCGTCAAACCCACAGGATGCAACCTGGACATCATCATCGCCGCCGTCTCTGCTACTACAAGTCTCTCGACTCGTCCCAACAACTCGACATGGACATCAACAACAACTCGACATGGACATCAACAACAACCGAAGCGGTAGAGGAAGAAGGAACGCCTGCGTCCGAAAGCTCAACGGCAGAAGGGAAAGCAGGCATCAGAGATCCGTCAGGCCGCTAAATGCCAGGATGAGCAAACACGAGTTGCAGTTGGGGATAAGGATGCAAAAGGAGGAGCATGATGCAGAAACGGCCGAGGCTGCTAAGCAGCGGAAATTGAATGAGGAGTTTGCAGGAATGTCACTTGACGGCAGCAACTGGGAGACCACCAGTGGAAGTACTGATACTGATACTGATGAAGCGGAAGCGGAAGCGGAAGCCGGTTCGGAGGCCAAATGCAGAAGCGACTGGTGGTGAGATTGATGAAGCTACGCGCGGGGCTAACCAAGGCCGATTGGAAGGTCAAGTGGAAGCGATGGAGTGGTTGGTATCAGGGTTGTGGACGGACAGTTGGAGGGTGCGTATCTTTGATAGTAGGGGATGTATGAGTTGGGTGAGAGAGAGAGTCTTCGAAGGAAAAGCGTAAGGCTTGGAACGGGTGTGTGATGGGCTTTGGGGACATGATAGCCATGCATTTACGTCCAAATGTATAAGTGGATGGGGAAGAGGAGCGAATGTTTTAGCTTCACGAAGGAAACGGTCAGGAGGAGCGGGTTTTCATTCAATAAAGGTATATCAATCAATCACTCTGTTCGCCTCCTCCCAAGTGCTCTGCAAACTGCTTCTGTGCCGTGAGTGTCTGCGTAGCTCATCTCCGTTGTGTTGTATTGTGTTCCCGTGATAACTTCAAATGATGTGCATCTTCCCTCATGTTACAACACCAAATGAAAATGTCCTTTTTAAATCCCAAAACACAAAAGAAAAACGCAAACACCCATTTCCCACATCTCCAGCGATCCCGCTATTCGATAAAAGTTGCAAAAAGCTAAGTCGCCCTGTTGAGCTTGTGGAACGAACCTCAATCCTCTAGTCAGCGACCTTACGAAAACTGTACCTCGGGATACCAGCGTACCCGGCAAAGTTTTTATCAACTGGAACCGCTGCGCCATATAGACGCAGCTTTTCTTGTGGTAGAGGGGTCAGGTAAGGGCCCTTATATGGTGCAGTGTCTGCTGTAGGCTGCACGGTGCAGGCTTAGGTAGTAGGGGCGGGCAGGAAGGGCGGGAAGGGTCTTGTCGTCCGATGTTTGGGATTTGGAGGGCGCGCCTAGGCGCCATTGTCAAATCGTGTTCAAAATAATCTATTCCCTGTTGCTCGTAGGCGACGTCTCCTCAACCTCCATCTCCATGCCGTCCTGGTCTCTGTCGCCCATCTCGCCTCCTCTGTTTTCGCCCTCGCCGCCCTCGCCCCTATTCTCCACCCGCTCCGGCGCCACCGGAAAATGCAGATGCTTCCAATCCTCCAACTCCTCCGTCACCGACCTTAGCCGGTCCCTGATACTCTCAATCGCATAACTACCCAGCAGCAGCCTCAGCGGCGGATATGAGCAATGACCCAACTGCCACACCAAGTCCGCGCACTTCTGGGCACTAGTAGGCTGCTTATCGCCCAGCCACTGCACCATCCTCTTCGCGTGCAGCGCCGGCGACGTCGCGTGCGAATAGGGCTCGCTGGCAGGTTTAATGAGGAAGTGGCCCCAGCGGGGCACCATAGACGTGTCCGCCTCGTCTCTGCGTACCAAACCCGGCTCGACAAGCGTGGCCTTGATATTGAACGCGTCGACCTCGTACAACATGGCCTCGATCAGGCCTTCCACCGCATACTTGGTCGCGCAATAGGGTCCCAAACCCGGCACACCCAAGGCGCCCGAGGTAGAGCTGAAAATGATGTACCGCCCCGCGCCCTGCTCGCGAAAGTACGGCAGGCTGGCCTGGATAATGTGCACGGTGCCCATGAAGTTGGTCTCGAACTGGTTGCGGATCTCGTGCTCGTCCTGGTCCTCGCACGCGCCGATGACGCCGTAGCCGGAGCAGTTGGCAATGCAGTCGATGCGGCCGAACCGGTCAAGGGTTTGGTCGATAACCCGGTTGACCGAGGCGTAGTCGCGCACGTCGCAGAGCGTGCCAAAGGCGTTTTCGGCTTGCGGGTGGTGCAGGTGTGCGGCGGCTATCTGCTCCGGTGTGGACTCGAAGATGCGGCCTACGACGGTGACGGAGTCGCCGTGGTTGAGGCAGCTCTTGACTAGGGAGCGGCCCATTTGGCCGGTGCCGCCGAATATCTGTCATGGGTGTCAGTTACTATGAAGGGATTTAGGGGGAAGTATAGAGAGGATGATGAGGAGGGGGCTTCTTACGATCCAAACTAGGGGCTTCCGTGGTGCGCCGGGCTGTGGTGGATCGCAACTCGCTGGGAGTGCAACCTTCCCCTTTTTACTGGGGGTCTCACTCCCGGCTAGACTGGGGGTTCTTTGCTCCATTATGATGGTGATATGGATGCCCGACCGTGGGTTAGATTAAATGTTCGTTGAGACACTAGAAGGCTCAAACAGAGATCGCTATTGAAGTGTAGTGATGACAAGTGGCGATGCCGGTGGTGCAATACCTATGCGATACGACAAACGCCCGCTCTGTCGGATCTCATGTCATTGTCACGACCAGAGGAAAAAGTAGTAACCCAATGACCGAGCCAAGGCCTGAGATACTATGGATAAAGCTTAGTTGAAAAAAGTGTGATTTGACGATGAAAACATGAAGTGTCATGAAAGCCCTGAAGGAGCATCAGCCCGGACAATGGTTCATGAGATCAGGTTTCACGGGACACGGATGTGGTTAGTCAGACCCCAGTAAATGCAATTACTGGATCCTGGCCCGATAGAAGCATTCACGGCCTAAAGTGATGTCGGGGTGTGGTTTCCTCTCGATACATGCCTTTACTGAGGTAACATAACTCAGGTCGCAAACTAATTGGTGCTATCAAAGAAGCCTGTCCCCGATTTTGTCTAAAGCGTCTTTCTTTTGTTGAAGTATTTACCTCTTAATTCTCTTCATGCTTGCTACCAAGGGGTGGTTATACCGATACCCTCAGCTGTTGCCCCGATAAAAGCTCATTTTGACATGCTCCGCGATGACCGCCGAGTCGTGATAAGAGCACACCCCTACACCAGCAGCAGCACAGCAACCCTGAAGTAGGTGTGCAGCAAATGGAGCCAAAAGTCTCAATGTTTACTACCCCTGAATAGCCTTTAGTGTAAAACGGCCTTTCCGTGTTGTGAAGCCGAGCCGGGTGATCAAGTGCCGAAGAAGCGAATCGTTGTATCGGGGGCGATGGCGCAATTTTCATACAGCAGCATCTCACCAAAGAAAAAACCCCTCCTCCATACGTCACTCGCTTTTTGATGGTGATAACAAAACAGCATGGGCATGGTGTGATGCGACCTGGTCACGAGCGAAAATTTGTCCGTGGCGGCGTAAAGATCGGGCTTAGAAACCCTTCAACTGAACCGCTTTTGAGACGAGCAAACCTTTAAGAGTTTATAGTCTACTCATATCGCATATAAACCCATCATCCCTGAACCAATCTCCAACTTCTTGTTTCCACCGAGCTGCACCTAGCCCCACAATATTTCGCAACGACACCGGGGCCTAGTTCTATATAACAAAACCCCGCGGAATTGTCTCATTGATACAAGAGTTCCATAAACAGACCCTCAGTATCAAAACTGTAAAAACAGCCAAAATGAAGGCCTACTTCTACGACAACCTCCCTGTAAGTACTATACCTCACTTCCCTACCGGCCTGTCTGCATGAATTCCAGTTTCATTCACAAACTTATCCTCCCCAACCATGCAGTGGCAGTGTGACTAACCAAACCACCCGTAACAAAAAGGGCGACCAACGTCTCCCCCACGACTCCGGTCGGGAAGTGACCGTCTCGGATCTCGAAAAGGTCGGCGTCCTGTACTTCCGGATCCCCGAGCTGGAGGGCGTCAACGCGCTTGCCTCCGAGCGGGGGTACAAGAACCGGGACGAGATCACCATCTCGCCCGAGAAGATGGGGGCCATCTACGAGACCAAGGTCAAGCAGTTCTTCGACGAGCACCTGCACGAGGACGAGGAGATCCGGTACATCCGGGATGGCGCGGGCTACTTTGACGTGCGCAACGAAGGGGACGAGTGGATCCGCATCAAGCTCGTCAAGGATGATCTGATCATCCTGCCCGCTGGCATCTATCACCGGTTTACTACTGATGATACTGATGTATGTTGTATTCCCTATTTCTGTTGAAGAGATGATCTGAGAACTGACAAGCCGCTTTTCTGGCTTAAAGTATATCCAGGCTATGCGTCTGTTCAAGGAGGAGCCCCAAGTGGACGCCTCTCAACCGCACCGACGGGCTTGACGAGAACCCCTACCGCCAGGAGTATGTCACTCAGTTCATCAAGGCTTAAATGGGGCCTCTCATGACCTCTTAAGCCATCACAAATCGAAAGAAGGAAAGCAGACCATACGCTCGATGCGTTTGCTATTTGGTTAAGCGACACATATCTATACCCGAATGCACGATAGACGTTTTCAGCGCCTAGCACCAACGCTTGGTGTGAGCGGCCGTTCTCTTGTTTCCTTTTCCGTCATACCGACTGGCCGCTACCTAAGCTTTTATCAGGCAACCCATGCTCCGCACTTGGTTTTTGCTCTTTTCTATTGGAAAAACACATGGTCGTTCGGAATTAACCATCCGAAACTGCATGCACAAAGGTCGCGGCTTCGGTGCCAAAAAGTGAATGACTGTCTTGTGTAGTGATCTCAATTTTACCTAAAAACGCCTGGTATCCTCCATATGAAATATAATGTCAGTAGATTCGCACGACCGACCTGTCATGCCCGTGTGTGACCCATATTCTTGCTGAAACAATCGACTCCCTCACTCCACCATACGCCTAACGGACCTCGGGCGGCGCAACCTCGGGAGCGCCAGCAACTGCAATCTCGTTATTGATACCATCTGTAGTCTCCTCGCGCGGTCGGCCCTCTGTACCATGGTCGTTAGTACATAAATCCTTGACTGATGCGCAAGCCACACAAAGATTACTCCACATACCAAAGATACGACGCCACCACATGGGCGGGTCAAGGGGTCTTGAGCCGCCGTGAAGAGGAGGATACACGTCGGTGAAAAAGTACCAGATGTGACCGATAACGACGCCCATCAACTCATCCTTGGGAACTGTGCCATGGAGGGTCAAGCTGAACGCCATAAGGACCCACGGCAAGTAGGGTGCGCTGAACACCAGCAATCCAAGGAAGCTAAGCCTGGTGTCTGGGTTGCGGCGAGACCAAATGTAAACCAGCGTCGACGAAAGCGGGTGGCCAAGAAATGGCATCGAAACGAGCGGCGACAAGATCAGAAGGAACACCATGGCGTAGAGTAACAGCCATGAGAAGTGTGCTGGTGATCGGCCTGCGGATTCTTCGAGCAGCCGGGAGTATCGTTGCAGGAAGTAGACGTGGAAGAGAAGGTCGAGGGAAAAGGGCCCGAAGTAAAGGAATGTGGTGAGTAGTCGCCAGTACTAAACGGTGACAACAACCATGTTAGCTAACTATACTGTTCTCAGACCGTGTACGCCCAGAAGACGATGGAAAACCCCGAACCTGTGACTTGACAAAGACGGCGCGGTAGCTATAGAAGAGCTGGAAGGGAGTGATCAACTCGCACTGCACCATGCCGCTCATGAGCACCGTTGCCGTCGTCCACCACCTTGTGCAGATGGGCATCTCCCAGAACCACGTCTCGAGCGGGAAGCGCCCGGCATCACCGCCTCCGCCACCACCGATCATCTGGTCCATGGTGAATCTTCGTAGAGCAGCAACTGCTCAATCAGTGGTGTGTCGATTTGTTAGCGGATGCTTGGCGGGTCCTGTCTGTATGCCGGGGCTGGAATTTTATAGACGATAGCGGCGTCGCTAGCACGGATCGTGTGAATCGGGTACCGTCTCCAATAGGGTGGAGGGTTGGGGCGAATGTAATGCGATGGTGCAAGGGCAACGAAGACGACACTTGGAATTGGATTGGAATACGTCTAGATGAACGATGTGATAACGCCTAGTTCAAAGGAAGAGAGCGTGGAAAGTAAGGTTGATGAATCAAGATGCCGCGGGTGTGTGGATGATGTCGTGTCCTCTAGAAGGTTTAGGTGTACAGTTTACAGGCTGTGGGTGCCGTTGAGGTATGGTTTCGTTAGTGTCGAGACGTTTGGAAGCGAGACGGGGCCACGGGCTGGCGGGATCGCTAGCGGAACTCTGGGGAAGGCTGCAGATGCAAGTGGGAAGGAAGCGCTGGTCTCTGGAAGCGCGGTGCGTCGAAACTTTCCATGTATATGACACTGTCCGTAATATGCGTTTATGCACAGGTTATGGACGTTGTGAATAAGCTCAAGCTGGCTTGGCTAGACCCCACATTCCCCGCTGCCATTTAAACCCCTGCATGCGGATTGAACTCCATCGTGGAACCCCATAAAATCCACTGTGACCGAGCGCGACTGCAGTCGCGTTCCAAAAAGAAACGCATGCGCGCCAAGGTTCCCCATTCCAGTCGACGTCTCCCCATTCCAGTTGACGTCTCCCCAACCACCCCCCTTTTGTAGCAAATATCGTTCAACAGTGAATGTACGAGTTGGCATTGCCGGCTTTGTTCACCTATACTCGACACCTTGGACAAACGTCGACTCTCCTTTGTCCTCTTTCTTGCCTTTCCATCCTGGCTGCAACAACCTCGAATTGCTGATCCCTGGCTTTACCCTGGAAAACCGACGCGCCCAAGCCCCCGTCAATTGAAGAAAGCTCCGCCGGCGCATCCACCTTAGCTCCCGTCGCAAACCACAACACCGGCCCAAGTTTGTCTTCCGGCCTTCTTGTCAATCGCGACTTGGCAACCACCATCTCCACGAACTTGGACGAGCTATCGATAAACAACTAGTCCTAAACAACCTCAACGTCACTTAATCCGCCTCTCGGACGACGCCAGCGAACCATCCCCCTACCAAAACTTTACCGATCATTTGTAATACACAACGAAAACAACAATGCCACCGAAAAAGGGAGGAGCAACAAAGTCGAAGGCGGTGCCTAAGAAAGCCGCGGCGGCAGGCAAGGCCAAGGCCACTCCCCCGGGGAAAAGGAAGTCGCGCGCCAGCAGTGTCCAGCGTATGTTCTATTATTCCAGTCCCGTCTATGGCCAGACTCTCAACGCAAACCGGAGGGGCGGCGCGGAGGTTATCCACGGCCACAGCCACGGCCACGGCGCCAACTAGGATCACGCACGGCTAACAAATAACAAACAGCCGGCGACCCTGTGCCTCAAGGAAAGAGGAGACGTTACAGACCCGGCACTTTGGCACTCAAGGAGATCCGCAACTACCAAAGGACGACAGATCTCCTGGTTGCTAAGCTTCCCTTTGCGCGATTGGTACGTACTCTACCAACCTACTAGGGCTATCCTTGGGTTAGGGGAGCCACCCATACAGCCCGATCCCATTGCTGACATGTCTAATGTCCAACAGGTCCGCGAAATAGCCATGCAATTCCGCCCCATGGACGAGGAAATGCGCTGGCAGTCGCAAGCCATCCTGGCCCTGCAAGAGGCCGCCGAGGCCTTCCTGGTCCACCTATTCGAGGACACCAACCTGTGCGCCATCCACGCCAAGCGCGTTACCATTATGCAGAAGGACATCCAGCTGGCTCGTCGGATACGCGGCGTGTGGGGAGGTGCTGGATGGGTATGATTTGTACGACTTGCGAGCGGAGCGGAAAGCGTAAAGCGGTACGGCTGATGTAGCAGCAGCCGTGGTAGCAGCAGCAGCAGCAGCAGCAGCAGCAGCAGCCGTGGTAGCAGCAGCAGCAGCAGCAGCAGCAGTGGTAGCAGCACCAGCAGCAGCAGCAGCAGCAGTGGTAGCGGAAGTGCAGTCGGAGGTCGTTGCTACTGCTTAATTCTACTGCTACGGTGATGGATTATGCTGTTGTGGGTTGGCTCGACTTGATCACAACTAGGCTCCGTTTGGTCTCTGTCAGTCAGTCAGTCAGTCATTCTATTCCGAGCAAAGAGAAGGAAGGGAACGGAAGATGTGGGGGGAGGTGGAAGAGAGGAAGTTGTCAGAGCAAGGGTGGTCTTCAAAAGCTGAAAGCGCGACAACGTTGGATCGCGTCTTGTCGTCGCTGGGCTAGGTGGCAGGGAAGGGTGGGGACAGTGTGAGAATCACTCCGTCCGTCCCGTGACTCCGCCTGCATGTTGACAAGTGACAAGACCAAGAATTTGGTCCCCATCACCAGTACGACAGCATAATGGACGACGAGCACACAGACGGCAGCCGAGGATCTGCGCATTCGCCTTGATTACCTCTAGCCGGCGCCAACAACTTTAGCGTGGGGGCCAAGGGGGGATCAAACATATGATCCGACTAGAAAGGAGAAAGGGGCAATGAGTGCGGAGGAACTCACTCGACTGAACTCCGAAGACGGCTAGTCCATGGTTGAGGGGAAAAGGCGGCGCGGCTCAACTGGACATTGGACAGGAAGTTGTGTGAGGGTGCTGGTTTGATTTTTGGGTCGGCAGGCGGGCGGGCGGCGTTTAAATGGCATCAATCCTATGGGGAAAAATTATCATGATTCATTTGCTTCAAGAGGAAAGCGGCGTTAAATAGTGTGTTTTACAATCAGGAAAAAGTACTTATATATACATGTATTTCCACGTCTCTGTTAAGTCTTCGTGTTGGACCAATTGAACGTCCGGGTCTGTTTCTCCCGTCTTCGCCTTGGCCAGACCAGAGGTGGAGGTTAGGTTACTGTGTGATACCTGCAATGTGATCGTTGGTTGACTGGAAGTCCACCCAACAACTATTGTCCAACTCTTACTCTTAAATCTGCCTGTCACCATCAAATATGACAAAGCATAACGGAATTTATCCCTATACAAACATATATACACACATATATATAGCAAGCAGCTCGAGTGCGTGAAAAGGAAAAAAAAGAGAAAAGGGGGTAATAACCCCCCAATAAGTAAGGCCCGCCTCGGAGTCGAACCGACACTCTCCTGGTCACTAAAGAGCACTTTCCCCGTCGGTACTAATACCCAGACCAGGCCTGCTACCACTTACACCAGCGGACCACGGAAAGATGACCCAAGAATCTGCTTTATATACCCGTTAGGTTGGATGAGTCGTTTGTAATTTGGGACTTGGGACGAAAGAAGGATGCCGTGCACTTGCAAGTGTCCCAGAATCATGCATAGACCCAGCATGTCCTCCCGTCCTCCCCCGTACTTCCACCCACTCCGGGATCTCCATCTCCGCCATCCTCTCCGCCATCTTTGCCTCCATCTCTACCATCCTTTCCCGCATAACGTCCGCATTCCCTATCCTACCATGCATAGAATCATGAACCCAACCACCTTCCTCCCTCCTCTCTCCTCCCGTACGCTGGCAGTCTTTAATGGATCTCATTCATTCACGATGATGATGAGAAAATTGGATGTTCAAGTGGAAATGTTTCGACTTGGTCGTCCTTAATAAACGGATATAGGTACCTGTGACGACTTGAGTGGGAGTCGGCTGTATTTGCCTGCTGGCACTCCTGCATCGACTGCTCTTTCCATGTGGCACAAAAAGTTGCGGCAAGTACGAACGTCACAGAGAGTCAAAGGGCTATTGCACTCGTTGGGAGTTGTTCCTTACTTTTACCTATTAACGAAGCCAGTGGGATAAGCGCGCAGAGTGTCAGCATCCAGTCCTTCAGTTTTCGCTCAGAACAAGAATCAACAATTGCGAAAGATTTTCTTGTCTCCCAAAACCCAACTGATACCTCGAGACTCTTTGCCCCTATAACTCCCTTTTGTGTTTTGTTTGGAATTACTTTCGACACGATGAAAGGTCTATAAATCTCCACGAGATGAAGGAAAAAGAAAAGAGAACGAGTGGATTCAACCACCAACTCCTCTCATATGTCCATGCCCTATCAGTACCCCATTCCTATCCATCATGTACACAGCAGGAGCGCCGTGACCGTGTTGTCCGTGTTGAAGATGATGATCATGCTGTTGACCATGCCTCAACTGGTCAATGCTATGCAGTAACTGCTCCTTCTCCTTCTCCAGCGTATCCCGTTCCTTTTCCAATGTCAATATATACCGCCTCGACATATCCAGCACCTCCGCCTTGCTCAGACGCCGCTCAATGCTGAAGTCAAGCGATGGGTGTTGGCCTGGAATGACGCTACCACCACGATTGCCGTTGACACCGTCCGAGTCCCCGCCAGCGCCACCCATCATGGTCATCGAAGAGCGCAAAGAGTCCGGGAGCACGGCCAGGAGACTCTCGAATTGAGCATTGAGTCGGTTGCGGTATTGCTTCTCGACCAGGTTGTGGGAGTTGCGCGACTTTCGCTCTTCTGGCGTTTCTTCCGGTCGCGGCTGGATGTTCTTCGGAGCCCGGGAGGCGCTTCGTAATTTTCCTTTGTTTCTGCTAGCGGTGGTAGATGCGGATCCAGTTTCGTTCTTCCTGGTCTTGACACCACCTTCTTGCACTGGTGGCAATGCCGCCAATGCTGCCGCTGTGTTGAACGGCGATCCGCGAGATATGGGTGTCATGCTCTGACTCGAGGCCTTCCTTTCGCCATTATTCCACGAACCCTGCTCGTTCTTGCCTTCGATCGTTTCGGTAGTAGTTAGAATCCATTCATGTTGCTGCCGTTGCTGCTTTTGTTGTTGGTTTTGCTGCTGCTGCTGCTGCTGACCGGCTCTCTCGTTGACGTTTGCGTAAGTGACGCCGTCCGAGTTATCCGAGAACCCAGTTTCGGATGGCGCGCTGATCGATCCAAATGTTCTTGCAGTCGGTGACACTAAGGCCCCTTGAGAAGGCGTGTTCGGTCCAAGGCCGTTCGGAGGGCAACCGTTTGCCCACGAGAAACCAAAACCGGGCTGCACTGGGCTCTGGAGGACAGGTGGCGATCCGTAAGTGTTACCGCCACCGAGGTAAGGATCCGAGATATCATGCGATGGCGCGAATTCGTAGGACGTCACGGCCAGAGGTGCTGAAACGGCGCTTGTAGGAGGTGGTTGTTGTTGTTGTTCCCAGCCAGCCCCTTGTTGATAGTAAGGAGGCTGTGCGGTGTTATCAGGAGTCGGAACGTGATATGACGCTGTCGCCACAGGGAAGGTTGGAGAAGTCGGAAGCGTGGTTTGCTGGGCTGAAGAGGCGAAGTTCGGATAGGGGAAGTTCGGTCCGTTCCGTTGGTGTGTGGTCTGAATCGAAGTGGTTTGATTTTGCGAGTAAGTGGCGTGTTCGGGCATGCCAAGACTTTCCAGACCGCTGCCAGGACTGAAGACTGATGGTACTTGGTTCATCATCTGCTGAGAACGCCATTGTTGATATGTTAGCTGTTTTGCGATGGTCGACTTTGTTTGAATGCAAGGCGTATAAAGATATGCGTTTAACTCCGGGCTTCATCATCCGAAGTTGCCCCCCTACCAAACCTCATGACTCTGTGCTCCCTTTTCGTCTTTCTTGGATGACCCCGACAACGAAATCTCTCCACCACAACGGTCTCCTGGTCTCCCCGCTCGCGGTGCTCCTCTGATTGACACCATTGTCAATGTTATGACCGGCAACTATGCCATATACGCACCGATATCTCAGGGAAGCGACTGTTGAGAACTTTTTGCTCACTCGAACTGTTGGGTTTCAAGTCATCCAGTCATCCACCTAGGCTGCCTTGGCTGTGGAGTCTGACTTGCAGGATTTTGTTGACCTGTAGAGCCTGCGCGGCACAATGACCTCGAGGTGCTCGGGTGTTCGAGGGAGGGCAATACAGATTCTCTGCCCGTCTTTGCGTCTACCCAGCAGGCCCAGCCTTGCAAATCACCAAGCAGGGGAGGGAAATGGATGAGTTTCGGATAAAGGGCTCGGTTTGAATCGGGTAAAAGCGAGTAAGACAATGAAAGTTTGCGTACCTCATGTGTTCCGGCGCCGTAGTTGTTGAAGTACGGTTGGTCGCCGCCGGTTCGTGCCATCTTCGATCGGTTATGTCCCAGGTTATGCGCTGCGAAAACCCCAAACACGCGGAGCTGGGGAATTTGAAGTCGTCGTCGTCGTCGTCGGGAAATCTGGTGTGGCCCACAAGCAATTGGACTCCTGACTCTTCGCTTAAGGTCACTATATACCTCTATGGGGAGATGTCGACCAGGTTGGATCGGCTTTTCCATTCGCTGTCAACGTTTAGGTGGTACCTCAGGCCGCCGGCGCCTCGTTCAGCGTGGATTAGCTGGGAGATCACCCCGGGATCAAGGGATCACACACGTCCCTCCCCTATCCAGTCCAGCCCTAATAGGCGCAAACGAGACCCAGACAGCTTTGGAAGATTGTGCTTGCGGTATGCCCAACTCCCATGGTAGATCGAGCTTGTTCGAGAATAGTCTTGGTTGCGCTGGCCGCTTTCTGTCGTCCAAACTGAGTTCCGGCTGTCCGTAATAAGCTGATAGAAAGCACAAGATCGGGGCAATGCGCTTCTTGAGAAGGATGGGTGGCAGTGGAGTGAGTGCGTCTGGCTTTCAGGTCTCCCCACTGGTAGTCAATAACTTGGGCTAAGCCTTAACGAGTGTGCCGTTCAGATGTACCATGTATAGGGGGCGGAACGGAGGGGGCTACCTGATCTCCTGAGTTGCAGGTCAAGTGGCTGGCATATCCTCGTAGAAACACCACCTACGCAGTAGTACTTCCGGAGATAGGAGCGGAGGTTCTGGTAGCCACTGGCTTCCTGGTTACCTGCTCGGACCGAGCCGCTGGCCCTTCCTTATTATATGACACTCTTACTTTGTGTGCGGTCCCGCCCGCACTCCATCCTGTTACAACTTTATCATCGCCTCTTGGCACTCTGTTTTTTCGATGGACGATGGCTGATCCGGCTGCGGAGTGACTGCAGCCGCGGCAGCCGAGTATCTATCACTGGGTTACTCGACATGACCGGTTGGCACGCTCGAGTGTCCAGTATGTTGCACCTATGCTTGAAGCTACGCCCGCCCCCATCCGCCGCCCTCACCTTGCGGTGGACAATGGACGGGTAGAGTGCACACCCAAAAGCCGAGCTGACTTTTGATGACGATACGGAATCACCCCTGAGCTACTGAACCCCGGACGCCGTTGCTTTGCCAGGGTGGTTGAGGGTCGCCGACGCTGGCTGGTCTTGGTAGATGCCCGGGCGATGTATCCTGGTCCCACTCGGTCAACCCTTGTGGGCGTTGAGGGAGGATGGGCTCTGCATCTGGCTATTGTTTTGCCCATGCACCCATGAGGGAGATACCCACGAGTCCCACCTGGGCAGTGAAAGTCCGCTCTACAGGGCCTGTCTAGTCTCAAAGCTGCATTTCAACCATGGATTTTCAGTCAAAGTGCGTAGCTGTGGCTTCCGATCGCCGATACAGAATGCCGTCTTGGGACAAAGCTGACTTGATTACATGACATGCCGTCGTATTCAGCTTGCTCCGGTTGTGGATAACCAGAGCGGATGGGCTTGCCCGGGTTTTATGACCTCCCGTCTTTGGAAATTGTTTCGAGCGGAAAAAGCAACGGCAAGATCGATCGTTGCAGGAGAACGATCTCACTCAGTCGAGCGGCTGATGATGAGTGACGGGTGAGAATGGTAATTCCGATGCTGAATTTGTTAGTTTGCCATGCGTTTCTTCTACGATGACGAGGCTGTTGCCGAATCCAGATGAGGTTTTAGCTCGGTCCGTGAATGCCAGGCCCTACCACAGCCGTCGTGACACGTCGATGGGCATTGCTCGTCGAGGACCTCCAAGGGTATGCATGGTGACCAACGGTGGCTGCACAGGCTAAATTGTACTGTGATGTCTGTACGGAGTAGTAACCATTGAACAGGCCGCAGGATGGGATCCATGTTGCAGCCCTAAACCAGTCCTAAATTCGACTGCTAAGACCGGGGAGATTGTCAGGTTGTCTTGCAGGAGGACGTCTCTGAACGCTGAGACACTGTAGAGATCCATAGTTCCATCGGCAGAGAGGTCCAGGATTAGTAGCACCATCATCATCGTAATAGGCTAGGGACTGGAGAAGCTCCATGGCGATTTTCCAGAATCAAGGAATCGGCGAATGAGGACGGTTGAATGCTGCGGTTGAACGCGCTACAGGTATAGGAGCGACTAGAGCGGTCCCATATCGAACGAATAGTTTCTGTCCAGAACACACCGATGGAGTCAACTGGAGATTTGCTGGACCCTCGGCAGGCCGTTTACTCCGTTTTCTTTCCTTTGCCTGGTCGCCCTGGCTCGCCTGGGTGGACTGTCTACCTGTCTCCTGTTTATGGCAGGTAGGGCTCCAGACACAGAACCGGAAGCGGTGGACGAAGCCGCGCGGTATTGTGGATGCACTCGCATGGCATCCGGCTTCCAGTCGTGTGTTTGCTGAGCCCTTTAAGAGCCAGAAGCCAAAGCAACGGCGGACCGCGATGTCCAAGGCAGATGCGCAGACGGACTGCTATGGCAGACAGTGCTGTTTTTGACAAGCAGAGCATCATAGTGTACCGTATGTGACTCTGTGGTGGAGGGAGGTAATGATCAAATGCTGGTTTGACAGGTCTTGCCTTGCCGTCGTCGCCACAATAAGACGATGCGAATATGTATAGGGCAGACAGTATGGGGAAGGCCTTGGTCTGCTTTTGGGTACCTAACCCTTGGAACTCACCCCTTGGTAGTGGTAGCGCAGAGTGCTATGACAGGTGAGACATGCCTCGAGGTAACAGAACAGGCCGTGACAGGCATCGTACCGAAAAGCGGAAGCAGGGCAGGGATTGAAGCAGAGCCGCCTTTGAGCGCGTGATATCTGCGGTCTAGATTTGACGCCATTCCAATAGACGCCGGTAATCGGTAAAAATGAAATTCCCAGGCGAAGGAGAAGAAGTTCCGTTGGTCTAGTGTTTCCATGTCAGATTTCTGGAAGAAGTGAGGTGATTGTTTAGGTATGGGCGAGTAGCGACAGACTGGTCGACACCATCCGATAGTGGTAGCTACCACCTCGAATGAACCTGGCTTGACAGGCTCATCAGGTCCGGTGCCACAAGAGGTGCAGCAGAGAAGGCAGGAGCCCGGGACCTTCAGAGTCCAGTTCAGGAGGCCACGTAGAGGATGCTCCCCACCGACTTATGCACCAAATCGGTTCGGCCGAGTGAGTTCCGGTATGAGGAAGAGACTTCAGGACTTCATGACTTCTCAAACCCAGCAGTGACTCCATGGTCGCAGCATCAATCCAGGTTGGATTGGTCGCTGATTCCGACTTCCGTGTTGTTCGTAAAAGGGTCGGAGAGGACGAAGGGAGCAACAAATAGTGGCCTGATCGCAAGTTGGTCGCGAGTCGGAGGGGAGTCTAGATGCAGACTAGACCTAAAGTTAACTACTGCTTGAGTGCTGGGCGTGCGAGTGTCCAGTGCCCTGGGCGGCGTTTCGTCCCTGAAGGATGACTGGCGACTAAAAATGGGCGGTCCCCGCCGGACTACACCTCCAGGCCTATAGCTACCTAGGTTGCAGCGTATGAACTAGTCGATTGGATCCACTGTTAACGCCAATTGCACAAATGAGCGAGCGGGTACCTTCTTCGCTCTTTCTTTCATCTTGTTTCCGCTTTAGAGTTACTGCCTAGGTCGGGTACTGTGTCCTCTCTCGAACGCATCCAGCTGTTATATCCGTGGAACAACGAGACCGGAGTCACATGAGCTCTGCTCATATGTGGTGGTTGCAGGCGATTTCCCGCCATGATCTGGGGGGGGGGGGGGGGGGGGGACACATAGAAGGTCGAGTTGAAATGGTAGAATGTGGACGAGGAAACCCGGCCTAGTTTAAATAAAAATGGCACGAGCCTTGTCCAGAGCCCTGTTCGTCCAAGAGGGTCAAACACGGAGAAACGGAAGGGCACCTCGGTCTCTGTTTGTTGGGGGCGCCCGCAATTGAGGGGACGTGAACTCTTTGAAAGCACTGCAACTCCAAGCAACAGCCCGGGCCGGCTTTGCACTGGAGATATGCGATGCTATGCGATGCCGCGCCCACTCATAAAAAGCTATGAATGACATTGTTGCGCATTGTTGGCCGTTCGTGCTGCGGCCAAAACTGGGGCCATCCCTGAATGGCCCGGATTCGCATTCATCCAATGCTTCCAATTCATCCCATGCAGGCACCTGCGATGTCCACTGTAGTAGGGACGAACCTTCTCCAAGGTCAGGACCGACACGATAACATCCCTATCACGGAAAGAACCCGGGCAGCGTCAGCCGGGCCATCCTTCCCCATAGCCGAACAAGCGAGTGTAGACTGGACAACCAGGTGAGGCAGGAGCCAAAAGACGGCTGTCTTTCCTGTCGCGGTTTCTTCATCTCTCAACAGGCGCGTCAACCTCCGCTGGAAGTCGGGTCCCGGAGTTCAGTTTACCCAACTGTCACTGCCGACTTCTCGTGTACTAACAGATCTTGACACTTTCACCATCCGCTCGCCATGGTGCTTTTCGTCGATGCTCGAGTCAAGTTGCCAGCAAGGAAATATGAGCTTTGTCTGTGGTTCTGCGGGCCAAGTCGCTTGACTACGCTGTTGTCTGTTGGGACTGAAACCCAACATCCTTTTCCCTCCTTTGTCGACCGTCCATTTCCTTTACAACCCTTGAGCGGTATCGAAAGCAGGTCGAAGAAGCCCACAGACTGATCCCATCAGCTTAACACGATTCAACCACGAGTCTAGACGTCCGACTTTTCGGTCGACCAAGCTGTGGCTCCCGCAACCTGAAGGCGATGTTTTTCCTCGGCGCGACCGACTCCGGCGTGCTTCGACGGGCTCGACACTCTGAGTAAATATCCTTCTTCCCCTAGTCCAATACCATAGCAACTGGAAGTGGCTCGTGCTAATGATGCTCGTTGACGCAGTCGTAGACATGAGTTCCGCCTGAATCTGGAAAGAGGGCCAGCCCCTGGATGCAACAACGGTCAACATCAAATCAAATCGAACTTCAGAGACTTGATCCAGATCCACGAAGATCTCGGTCGAAAAACCAACCTTTATATGCCTGCCACGCTCTTTCTTGTACTGCCGCCAAGTGCAGGTGGGAGGGTCGAGCTTCCATCCGCGCTCGTTGGACGACACGAGTTGACAACGACGAATACACCTATCCGCCTTAAGCCTGTCTTGCGATACATGGACATTGTTCCGGAATATTCGAGAGCTGATTTGCGCGGCTCAGTGCAGGACTTCCACTTGTCCCCTTGTGCAGGCGTATCAAGGCATGCTGCTGGGTCACCCGATTCTTGAGGCTGAGATCGAGGTTCTGGACCATGTCTCACCGAGTGCCGAGTTGAGATCAACCGCTTGATTGGTTTGGTCGGCATACGCCGTGGGAATTGGTCGTTGCCATGGCGACATCCGATAGAGGCATTTGACAAGTTGCGCCGACACTCGAATCACGGAACACTTCCGCGTCATGGTGTTGTGCTTTGCTTCCGTATCCCCGATGGACTTGTTCCTGTACTGACGCGCTGCTTCTGCTGGGCGCTAGAGCCCTTCGCTGGCATGCAATACGACCTCGATGGCGGTTCAAGCAGATTGCTTTGGCATCCTTATTCGTCCACGGCGACCGAGCTGGCAATAGTCCAGGCCATGGACGGCGCACACTGGTCGTCAACGGAAGGGATGTCGTTGGAATAACATGATCATCTCTCATGCTTCACGGCGGCAGTGGGATGCTCTTGTCAAGTGCAAAAGTAGCCCTGATCTGCCGATGTCGTGCATTTCTACCTGGGCCATGGCGTCTCAGTCTGGAACATTCGGCCGCTCGGCTCCGCTTGCGCCAACGTCAAAGCTTGAGCTCGTCTGCTTTTGCATTAGCGCAAGGGTCCAAAGCTCTGACCTGGAGGAGCTGAAAGCTTAATAGAGTACAGCATCGTCGCATCAGTGCTGGAGAGGCGTAAAGCCTGGTGGTAGGGGAAACGGGGCACGACGTTACCTATATTCCGGTCTGGCATAAGCGATCTACACCGAGCGGTCTTTGCTAGTGCAAAGCAATAGTGATGGATATCTGCCATGGCGAGCTCTCTCGTCGGAATACGGGTCTGTGATGGTTACTGATGTCTGTCGAGCCAAGGACGGGATGGTTGTAGTGGAAACTGGGGGTCTTGTGCTGCCGGGGGCGGTAGGAGGGAATATCCACAAAACAATTACCCTCCCAACAGGACAATGACGCGAGGACTACAGGACCACAACTCCTTGGTTTGACTTCGGACGAACCTCCGATCGCACCTCCGCAGCCGCCGTGGACCAGGGGGAAAAGGCAACAGAGCAATTGGCGAATCAGAATTCGCGGACCTCTCTCAATGTCCCCTGATACGTGAACCCAAATTGCTGGATATTCCACCTTTCAGCTCCCGTTGTTCCTCACAACATTCGGCAACGGTCAAGGGGAGTCGAGCAACTCTATCCAAGCTCTCGCGAGTCATTATGAGCCTGTCCGATGTCCTGATCCAAATGAACCGAGCACAAAGTCGATGATTTGGGGTATATTGCTTTTTCCTGTTGTTTTTTTCTGGCCCAGGTTCTCCTGTCACAATCTCGAAATAACTTCGCCCAAAGTTTTTTTTCCCCCGGGTCAACGGAAACCCCATTTTTCCCCGGTCAGAACCCACTGGGAGGAGTTCGCGCCTCACGGCGTAATGAATATGGTACACTGCAGTGCAACGAACGCTCAGGGTTTGGAGTTGTTTATGGATAATTGACTTGGTTACAGATTCCAGGCAGGTACATTGCTCAATTGTTACAATACATGCTACATGCTACATCTACTCTACTGACTTGAAGAAAAAGCTTCTCTCCGGATATATATCTCTCTCCCTCCCCTTCTCTCTTTCTTCTTCCCCCCTTTTCATGACGGTCATAACTTCGTGTAATGTGAATCGAAGAGAACATGTAAGGAAAATTTGTGATGCGGTGGTGTGTGTGTGTGTGTGTGTGTGTGTGTGTGTGTGTGTGGTGTTGTTGGAGACCTTGCGGCGAGTGAGTGTGTTGTTGAAACTGTGGTGTGAATGATTGGATGGTCGGTCGGTGTCGATCGGTGCGTGTGCGGTAGGTGGTTGCTGAGTCGAGTCGGTCGGTGCATGTTGAATTAAAAAAGTTGTAAAGGCGCAAGAGCGAAAGCTGAGTAATCGGAGAAATTCTTTTCCCTTCCCATCCGAATGTGAATGAACCCCTTCCCGTTCCCGTTCCCGTCCCTCCTTCCCTTTCAAGTTTCCCGTTTTTTGTTTTGCCTCATTCCCGCAGTTCCTTTCTCTTCCATCTTCGTTCCTTCCTTGCGTCCTTCCTTCCTTCTTCCATGTTCAGTTCTCCTCTTCCATCAATCCGCTGGAACCAAATGACTGACTGACTGACTGACCGACAGAAGACGACTCGATAAAAAAGCAGCAAAGATGGATGGATATATATAAGAAAAAAAAAAAGTGCGGTGCTTGCTGCAGTGCCTGCTTGCTCCTTGCTCCCTGATTCCCAAGCCCAGGTCTATAGTAGGTACGAAAAAAAAGGGAAAGATAACGATGCTGATGATGCTAAAGACAATGACAATGACGATGGTTGGTTGTTGGTGGTGATAAGGAAAATTCGCCGGTTTGCCTGCACATCCTCCTCCTCCTCTTCCGAGGAAGGAGGTCGGTCGGCTGGCTGGTTGTTTGGAAAAAGGGATGGAAATCGCGCGATTACCGCGTATGCTCATTGCTTTATTTCGAGCAAGACAATTCGGTACGCCGGGATGTTGTTGATGGTTGATGGTTGATGTCGATGGTGTTGTTTGTTTTGGTAAGGACTGTTTGTTCTGCCAGAATTGGCTTCTTCATCGCCCTAGCTCCCGCCCCTCTAGCTTCGCCCTCTACTGGTAACCCTCTAAATCTGAGGTCCCGTCAACCGAACATTAGGAAACAGCGAGAACTGATTCAGAGGCGGCGGGGTGCTCAAGCTGGTCGTCCTCGCGCGACCTCGGCCTGGCCTCTGCAGCCCACTGAGCATTGAATCCTTCCTCTTTGCGCCGGCTACCGGTACCTCACCACCAGCACCATCCTGCTGCGCCTGCGCCTGTTGCCCCAATCCAACAAGGTTAGGAAAACTCTCGCCCCTCCGAAGCGACTCGTCGGAAATCTCCTCGAACTCGGGCACCGGAGGCATGCTGCTCGTCGGAACACCGGCGCCCTTGGCGCTGACGCTTTCGGATCGGACGTGGTTATTGTTGTTGTTTCCGCTCGAACCACCAAATTCGCATACCGGTGATTCGAAATTGCAGCCGCCGTCCATGTCCACCAGGGAGTTTGTGCTGAGCGTCAGGCGGGTGAAATCGGTAGATATGGAGGCCGTCGACACGTGTCTTCCCGAGTTGATGCTTTCCATCGTGGCCGTTGTCGAAGCGGAGGCGCGGTGCGGGTTGTATTTCAGGGAGGAAATGCCGGGCTCGCAGAAGGCGTGGGCGGCGAAGGGGTATTCGCAGCCCCCGTCGTCGGCGGCCCCCGAGCCTTCGTCGAGCGAGTCTAGCCGCATTTGACGCTGGAAATCGGTGGGGATCAAGAGGGAGGGAGACAAAGTGAAGCCGTGTGATTCCTTGAAGCTGGAGGCATCCGAGGGCTTGCGGGCGTGGAGTTCGGGGGTTTTGAGAAGGTCCGAGGGGGACCTCATGGGAGCTTCGATCCGGGGTAGAGAGAAGTTGGAGGTTTTGTGGCTGTGGCCACTATGGGTCAAGTAAGGAGGGAGGGCGGCCGTCATTCCTGTGGGCGTGATGGCTTCGTGGGGAGTGGTGATGGCCGAGTTGAGGCTGACTGGGCTTAGGGAGGGGATGTCCAGCTGGGCCGGGGCGAGCATGGATGGGTTGCAGGATAGCTTCTTGCGGTGGTAGTGGTGCTCCACGGGCGTGGTGCTGCCGCAGTCCCGGCTGATGTCCAGCGATGGACGATCCCACTCGTAGTCGCAGTCGGCTTCGGCGGCGTGCTCGTAGCAGTAGTCGATGTCGTCCTCCCAGCTTTCTCGCGTAAGCGATTGGCATCCGAGGATGTCGTCGAGGGCGGACACCAGGGCTCGCTGGGCCTCCCGTAGATTGCAGGGCCCGAGAGTGTCGCTGGGTTCGCGGCTGTGGTGGTCATAGTCAGACCGTCGTGGGGAGAAAGCCCGGAGCATAGGGACCGACTGGCTGGCGCGGAGCGAAGAGTTGCTGATGACGCTGGCACGAGATGGCTTCATGATGGAAGCGGCCTCCTCCTCTTCGGGCACGTTTGGTAGCGGGGCAGCATCAAACGCGGGATTCGCCGGGGCGGGCAACGGCCAGTTGACGTCGTTGTCAGGCACGCTCACCATGCGAGCGTGTCCATGAGATGTCATCGGGGGAGTGGGGCCATCTGCGTCGAGACTAAGTGACGGAGCCTGACGGTGCCCAGTACTTGTCTGCGGCCGGCCCAAGATTGATGGGTCGAGGCCATCAGCAGTTGTCGAAATACGGCTAGAAACTCGGGGTGGGATGCCGGGGACAGGGGGGACTGGAATGGACTCCTCAATCGGGGACCTAGGTGGGCGTGGAGGCGCAATGCTCATCGAGTCCTGCGACTTGGCGTGCTTGATGAGGCGGCGAGGTGACGTCTGCTTGGCGGACATCGAAGGAGGGCGCTGCGAGGGTGGCAGATCGACATCAGCAAGGGGAAGAGAGTCGGACGAGAAGTCGGAAAAGTGCAGGTCGTCGACATTGCTGCCCTTCTTGGTATGGGCCACGTGCTGGAAGTTGTACGGCCCAGAGATCTGGATCTTCCTCTGGCCTACAGAGTCTTCGGCGTTTTCAGCCTTGATGGTCCGGCGGCGGCTGAAGAAGGCCGGGATGGACGAGTCCCTCGAAGGGGCTGAAGTTGGGGCAGGCTGTGAGGTGGGAGCGAGCGGCAGATTGGCTTCACTGCCCGATTCGGCCGAGTACAGATTCTGAGAACTGCTCTCACGCCTTAGCCTGCCTCGTCGGTTAAAGAGAGTCTTGCCAAAGATCTGGACGCTCTCGGGGCGGTCCCGGTTCGGCATGATGTGGCTGTTTGTTGACCGTCCTGAAGATTTTCGCGAAAGACTGAAAGTTCCGTTGGTACTGGGTGAGTCGGTCGAAGTTAAGGAGCGTAGTGAGGAGGAACCTGATGAGGTTGTGTGGTGACTAAGATGCTTGTCTCTCTGTGAGGCCTTCTTCATTTGCTTGCTTAGCTGTCGAATGCTCTCTGGGGACGGCGGGCCATTGATGGACGGCTCCAGAAGCTCGTTATGGATGTAGTCGGAAGGATCGTGGTGTAGAAAGTGGCCGTGGTTTGAAGGAGCGAAAGCCGGTACCGGCGAAGTGGTGGATGGTCGGGGTTGTTGTTGTGGGTGAAGTTGGTGCAACTCGGTGGTGTGCAGTGATGATGGAAACTGAAGAGGACTTGGATTTCTTTTCCGACCTGCCTCGTGCACCTCGTTCCGAGTAAACGGGCAGGGAAGAGATGGCCCACAGATTCATGGTTGCTCGTTGCTATAAAGGGACTGGAGGTGGACTGGATGTGGGCGGTGTCAAGCTGGTGGACTGCCGACTGGGGACAGTGGACAGTGGACAGTGGATGTGGATTCGAACAGGGCCCCGTGGACCGTGGATCTCTCTCGCTGCTCCTCTCACTCAGATACAATCGGCGCCCTCGGCCGAAGTGGACACGGGACGGGACGGGGATCGACTTGGCGAGGTTTCCGGGCCAAGTATATGTTGTTGTTTGTTGTGGTTTGTCAATGTTTCGGAAGGAGTGATGTTGAAGAGGCAATAGATCTTCAAGCTGTGCCAGCGATGAGATCTGACGTGAGTGGGTGAGTGAGTGAGTGAGCAAGTGAGACGTTTCGAGGGAGTGTCAGTAAGATAGTTCGGCCAAACAAAAGCTCAGCAGGGTAGAGTACCCGAAAGTCAAGGAGGAGCAGCAAAGCAAAAGAGCATTATCCTCAGGAAAACCTCGCAACTGTGGGGGATGCGACGGGCATGGGGTCCATATAATGCAGGAGTGATTTCTACCCCTGGTCGGTCCCAGCTGCAATGCGTCCGGCTCAGGACGAGGGTTCAGGAAGGTTGCAAAGGATGAGACTGTGAGGGTGAGCAAGCGGACTGTGTGTGAACAAAGTGTGTGTCCATGCCGCCATGGTTGATGGTGGTGTGCCCATCCATCCTCGTCCCCCTCCATCCCCAATCCAGCGAGGAGTCCAGTCCATTCAGGTCCCGGTCTTCCCAAGGATGTCGGTTGATTTCCTGCGGAATCCCTCTGGTCCCTGAGAGCCAGGGGTAACCCTTGACCCACCAAAATTTTGAACGCAGCCGGCGAGGGTCCCCGGGCTAGCGCCAGGTGTGGTGGGTTCTGGTGGGAAGTGACCAGCATCTGTGCTCCTGATTCCGTTTCCGTTGCAGATGCTTGGCGTTGAAACCCACTGCTGGTGACGGAGCTGAGTGTTGAAGCTCCGTATGTATTTGCTGGAAATGTTTCCATTCCCACCTTGAAAACAAAACGCCTTGAGTGGAGGCATGCATGCGACTTGAAGTCATCAACCACACCGTACTGATAGCAAGCTGTCAGAAGGCAGAACGTTCTATCAAGTCTTGCAGCTGACTGAATAAACATAACACAGACTGGACACGCACGCTAGAACACCAGTCTTTTTTTTTTTTTTTTTTTTTTTTCACCCTGCTTTTTTTTTTTTTTTTTTTTTTTTTCGATTCTTGCTTTTTTTTTTTTTTTTTTTTTCGTTTTTTTTTTTTTTTTTTTTTCGAAACAAACAATCACCATCGTCGTTTTGCTTCATCTTGTCGACCAGCGGGTGTTTGCTTTGTTTTGCTTGTTCAATTACCCGGGGAGACAGAACTCGAACCACTCGCATCCTCAAGTCCTTTCCCTTGGTATCGAATCATGTTCGATTTCCTACACAGCACCCTGCCAATTGGAAGCGTCGAGACTTGAACGGCCAATCAATCGTCAGCAAACTTTCCATCGTGAAAGATTATATGATATCTCCGTGCCCAGGGGCCTTAAATTCGATAGATGATCTGGACAGCACCGGACAAGTGACGGATCAGCGCATCAACTTCCGCGCTGAAGATCGGTTTTATCTATCTACATACCTGGCCCCCAGTTGTCCCCAGATACCGTGGCTTGAAGCTATACAGAAGCTAACAGACTGGGCAAAATAGGCAAGAGCTCGTTGGGCCTGCGAAGGATTGAACGAGGCGGAAAACGATCCCGGTTGAAGGCTGACGGATGAATGAAGGGTCGTACGCTACCTTATTACGATGCAGCCGTGCGCCCGGATTAAAAGGGCAAAACTCAACGCACATACGGAAGCGAAGGAAGGACGGCAAGACATCTGCATGCTGCTGGGACCGAAGACGAGGCACAACACGCAGATGCTGCAGTGCTGCATGTGTCTGTGCATACTGTGTGCACCGGGCTGCCATTAGTATCATGCATTTTGCTGATGTGCCTGCCTACCCTACCTGTATGTACCATAGAGTCTGTGAGGTGCAGGTATGGGAAATCCTGCACGCATAGGTATGTCCTTTACTTTCTTCATGCGCTGAGTTTGATTCAAATGGTACGATAGGCTTTGGTGGGTCATTGAACACGCCGCCTTTGTCATGTGGCCGCCGTTTTTCGAAAGTGAATCCTCTCTGGGAAAACAAAATTGTATAAAAGCTATTCACAGTGCAGCCGTCATAGGTCTAGGCCACTCAGAGCTCAAGGTCGGATGGGCTCAGCCTACTGCAGTGTGACATCGACGGCAGCAAGTACGCGCAAGCGAGGACTCGTTACTCGCATCCAGGGCAGGACCGTGACAGACTGTTGGGACAGTTTGGTTCGAGGGCCGTTCCAGAAAATCATGTCGCGGAAATTGAAGCTTCAACCCCATTAGCTACGCTGAATCGCTCATATTGCTACCTCGGCGCGGGGAAGCAAGCATGGGATATCCTCAGTACCATGGCAAGGACGAGGGTGCCACGGCTTTGATGATACAGGTACACACGGAGACTGGCAAGAGCATGCACTGCATCGCTGACAAGATATATTTAGTTGGCCCAGAGAGCTCACTGAACGTCCCGTCCTTGGTTGCACGCGGGTATTTAATATCCAAGTTAAGTGGTTGTCGTCTTGTCTGCATTCCACCATGACCAAGCTGCCCGCCGTTTCAGTATCTTTCCTCATGTTCCGTGTTTTCTGACATTCAATGCAAAAGGCAAAGGCAAAGGCAACCAACCGTCTCTCACGTGCTGTCATGAGCAGCGACAGCAAGCACGGGCAGGATGCACCAACGATTACCTAGGCATAACGATCTGTAGTGTAGGTATGCAGGTCGGTGATAGTGCCTCGTAAGGTAGGTCCCCAATTGAGATGGGCGGGGTTTGACCGGTGGTCCCTCAATCCAACCCCAAGTCGCGGTCTGGTGCGTTAGCTTGAAACACGACCGCCCGCGCGGTTTTTCCCAAGAGGGTGAGAAGGGGCCTCTTGGGGCTCAACTCGACGGCGCCGGTGCTCTGTCACTCTGGTCGCCGACCTGAAAACCTACACGTGTAGAAACGTTGCCCAACCAGGTTCCTTTGCGGCCATTGGGCCATTGGACGTTACACTAGTTGAGGGCATTGCCAACACTATCAGTGACGATCCTCTTGTAAGCTCATTACGGAGCTGCATCTCTTGCAGAATGTTAAGATGACGGGATTTCAAACCCAAGACTAAAATGCCTCGGGGTGGGTACGTACCTTGAGCTTGGCCAAAGTTCCTTGCTGCGTACCTGGCCTTAACTGACTTGGCTGCAGGTACAGCGGCTCGAGCCGGGTGAAGATCTCTCAGCTAGAAGGGCCAACGCCAATTAAGGGCGAATCATGATCCAGGAGAGCTTCAACAAATATGATCGATTGGCGTGGCGCGACGGGGACTGAAATAATCATGGTAAGCCCGCTGGTCAATATGATCTACCGAGGACCTCGATGGCCACCACGCACATGTGCTCCCGAGCTTCAGGTTCCTCCTGCTCGTCTACACCTTGGTAGGTAATTGCTCTCCTCCTTCATCCACTTGTTCAAAGTTTTCTATTGTTGATCGGGGTTAATCAGCAGATCAGCGAATCAGCCTGGATCCTTTGATGGGTGAGGTGAGAGATATACGACCTCGACAGCCGCATGTGTTACGTGAAAAAGTGTAAATGGGGTTTCCTCGGTCATCATGATGGGTTGTCGCAATTTCCCCCACAGTCCGAGTCGTGTCGGCTGTTTAGTGGGCTGTAAACGGTGGATAGTGCAGTGCCCGCCTATAGGACTGTCCGTTTCTGGGGTCAAACGACTTTGTCCCAAACTCAACGCCGTGCAGCGAACTCCAATGGAAGGAAAAACAAACCAAACCTGAAAATGATACTGAAAACAAGACGTGTACTAGGTTAGCAGTGGTCCTCCATTTCAGGGTCATGCGTATGGACATGCCTTTTGGAGAGCAAGAGCGGCGATACACGGTCTGATACGCAGTTGGACCGTTACCTAGCCGTTGGGTTCCATACATACAGTGAGACAATCAGTTCTGAAGAGGCTCTTGGAACAAGTTGACAAAGTGGAAATCCTTATCAAAGGCACCGACCACTCTTTTTTTTTTTTTTTCTCATTGCGTGCAGAAAGACGCCGCTCATCCCCGCCGTCAGCGTCGCCCGTGGGTGCTAGAAATGGAATGGGCTCAAGCTGCTAAACGGAAGTGCAGGATCGGAAAGGTTTGCGATATAAGGAAGGTCTAGCGTAAAGGTAGAAGCAGAATGGAAGAAAAAACTCGGCGCGGCTTCCATTCTCAGCTTCGGTCCCGTCGGAACAAGCAATCAGCTCGGGCGTGCCCCCTTCCACTTCTAGCAATGGAAATCCCCAAGGTAGTCTGAGAAACTGGACCCAAGGTGCACACCAAACGGGATTCACGATGGACCGGAATTTCAAAGAGCTACAGAGACCAAATACCTCCCTAACACATCGAGGGTCTGAGTAGCGCACTATGTACCTACCTCTT